GCAAAGAGACTCGCATGTGCTGCGCTGCATTGCGTCCCTCATCCAACGGCGTACACTTTGCTCACAAACATGTACACACAGGGCACATTTTCTATCTCCGCTCTGCAGCGCTGTATACATTTCTATTTTTTTCTTCCTGACACACTCGCTCACACACACTCACACGGTGAAGAGGCCTCTTTACAGTCCCGCTTGCTTTGAGGATCAGAGCTCGGCCCGCCATCTGTCCCCTCCTTCAAATGCTCCGGATGTTATCGGCTCTTCTTCCAGCCGGAACCCGCCACAGATCATCAACCAAAAGCCAAACCTTCTACCTTCATCAGCCAACTTTCAGCGGTTTCTTTTTTAGGCCAGATGCTGTTTTCTTTTTCTTCTTTTTTTCTATGCCGAAGTAGATAATTGCCCCCCATCAAAGATGTCTTCTTTTCAAGGCGCTCACAGGAAACTCTGCCCTAATTAAGACCACAGCGTCGGAGCAGCAGGAGCTGTCAACCTGGAGTACCACCGCTGATCGCCGGGATCCCTAATTGCCCCTGTTTTTCGATACCCACCCTCCCTTTCTGTTGCTTCCTCCTCTTCTTCATACCCGTCTTCATTAGTCCTCAGCGGCGGCGGCTCCACCACCTCGGCTCTCTCTAACGATCGGACGGACGCGCAACGCCGGACAAACGAGTCCAAGCAGGCCGCTGTGCTCATCAGCGCAGGAGAAGCACGTCTCCTCTAAATAGAGCGCCTTTAACAAAATTCACTTTTTCTTCTGTTGTTGGCTCCTGCTGGTGTGCGGCTCTCAAGGCCATTTTGTTTCTCTATTTCAGTGAATTTATTTATGTCCCTCACGCCCTTCTGTCCTTTTTTTTTTTTTTTATCATCGCCCATCATAAATTGCACATTTTTTAATAAGTCATATTTTTCTTTTTGGTCAATGTATAATTTAGTCTCTTTTTTTGTAATACAAAATTACAGTTGGTATCTAATGAAGTCCTTTTTTGTCATCGTCTCATCTCAGGCATTGAGAAAAGGTTGTTGACTCATATTCATAGTTTTTGTTAGTTTGCCCACAGTGGACAAAAACTGCAATCAAAATCCAGTAAACAACACACAAATGACATACAATAAATAAATATATATATTGAGAATTGACTCCTCTTTTCTTTTCTTTATTTTTGAACCGTTTTGCTCCAAGCTGTCAATAACTTCTGACCATGTGTGGAAGACTTCTCTTGGAGGAGGCTACAGAAAACAGAGTCTTTAGGGAGTGCAAAGGTCGTACCTGGCGGCTGAAAATGTTCTATTGGGTTGTTGATTCTCGATACTGGACATCCAGACAGTGTCCTGCTGGGCTGCATGATTGCCGCCTCTCAGCCCTTATTCTCAGTTTCACGTCCCTGAAGACCCGGCATCCTCACTGAGCCCCCCCGCCCCCTCCTACTGCATTCATTCACCCACACAAAATCAATAACAACTTGGGAATGGCATCTCTCCGCTCTGAGGGGGTCCGGCACACGTCAGGCGTAATGCTTCACTGCAGTTTCAGTATGTCTTTTCCTCGAGGGGCCGAGCTTAGTTGGTGAATGGAGAGGGGGTGTGAGGGGGGGGTCTGGTGAGGAATTAAAGGGGATTTCGTGCCCCCTTAAGACCCATGTGAGTTTTAAACCACCTATTCGATGCCAGCATGCACTGCCAGACCTGCACCCGTGGGACCCATGCGCAGTGAAAGGCTCTGAGCACCGACTAAGAAGCTAACCAGGTCCGGCCGGAGTGCCCGACCTTTCACAGTAATAATGTGTTCCTGAACTACAAATACCACTCAGCACTACCAGGCTTGTCCAGAGCAGCCTTACAAACCCTGTAAACACATTTTCAGGGACAAGCATCATGTTCAATCAGCGCTTCGACATCAGAACACTCTCGTTGGTCCCCGCTGACCCCGTCGCCCTCTGCACTCAGGGATCCCGCCTCCCCAGGTGTGCCGGGGGCTCGGTCGGCCTCTCACCTCCCCCTATCTCTCTCTCTCTCTCTCTCTATCTCTCTCCACGCAGCTGTGACAGCGGCGTTTTCCTCGGGGGAGGAAGCCTGGCAGTGTGAGTGGTGGTGCACGCACCCCCTGTGAGGAAGCAGCGTGAAGAAACAGAGGAGGGCGACCTCGGATGTCCGGGTTGTCGCTGTGATAGGTGGAGCAGAGATGTGGGCGCCGTCTGTCTGCGTGGTGGTTTTGTACGTTTTACTAGGCCGTAGGATGGATTGGTGGGCTTAATGGAACCAGGCCAGGCTCCCGTTGTGTTGCCACAAGTGGGACAAGGTCACCCCTTAGGCTGGAAATCTCATTATTAGATGAAAAACTATGTTTTCATGGTGTGAGCCTGTAATAAGTTATTCACTGGGTGCAGATTCTCCAAAGTGCTGATTTAGACCGTTTCTCTATTTGACATAATAGTAAATTGAGTTTTTATTATTTTGAAAATAATTAGTTGTTTTAACTTTTAAAATATCATATGTTTAATAACTTCTATCACTTCAGTAGATAATGGACTGATAATGGTATTTTGGTCCCCAGAGGAAAATTTGTGCAAAACTGCACATACAGTTGACATATCTGTATATAAACACACTATATACATATGCACTTTATAAATTATATATATATATGACTTTAATAAAAACTCAGCAGCCATAGTTTAAATGCAGAAAACATGTAAATTATGATCAAAATTGTAGGAAATTTATTTTGGAACGATGACTTTTACCCAGCCAGTTTTTTGGTAAACTAGAGTTTCCATCAGCTCAACTCAAACCACCGTACTGCATGGGTGACCTAACTCCGGCTGAAATGGAGAGCCTTGTCCAGACCATCCGGACGATTTCTTGGTAATAGGCTGACCGAGCTCCCTGAAGTGGCCAATTCTAGGCAGCGAGGCCCACTTAAATTCTCTGTGAGACAGAGGAAGAGAGAATAGTGTCTGTGGAACCACTTAAAAGCCCCGGGGTGAAAATGGGATTTCAGACCTGCTCCACTGGTGCTGCGCTACAGCCAGACTGGCTGTCAAGGTGCTGCCAGGTGGCTGAGGGGAAAGGGTGGGGTGCGGAGCAGATGGAAGGATGGGGGCTGCTGCTGGTGTTCTTGTAGACCGCCAGGACCTCATTAGCTCAACATTTCAAACACTTTGGCACTGAGGGGACTCTCACTGCCTCTATACATCTTCTCCTCTTTTGTGATCTTTTCTTTTTCCTCTTTTAAACGCTTGTTTTTTCTTATCTCTGTATTGTTCTCCGCCTGCTTCTCAAGGTGTCATTAACCAGATGAGGCTGTTCAGCTGTTAATCTGCCACTAAGTCAAAGTCAGAGCATGAGGACAACAATGACACGCAAACACATCCAGCTATAATCATTTGTTCTGGTTAACGCCATGAAAATGTAAATGTATTATGGCAATAAGAATGTCTATAACCATCATATGTCTGCTGGGGACATATTTCATTGGGCATTAGAGGGCTCTGCATAGCCTAGTTTGCATATCATTGCCTATCAGGGCAGGGGGAATACACAGACAACCCCACATGCACACGTATGAAGAACGTGTCTAGCAGTCTCATGCACACACACACACACACACACCACCAACATGCAGATCGGCTTAACATACGCGAATAGGTTTATGTTAATGATTGATGTGCTTGCACAAGGCAGAGCTGAAGGAAAAAACAGGCTACGTTCTAAATTGACTGTATATGTAGGTTTAAACAGTAGCTGGGTCTTCAACGTGATCATTGTACGCATTAATGTAGAGAAGAAATAGCAGAATAATCAGGAAGATGGAAAAATGCAATTACAGCTATTGCAGGTAATTACAGCTATAATTCAAATGAAAAATACTACATGATGCTAATGTTGGATTTGGTGGATTGGGAGACCTTTCACATTTGTTTTTACACAGATATGACGTTACTGCTGAGTTCTCTTGCTGCAACCATTATAGTTGCATCAATCATTAAATAGAATAAAACAGCATAAATTGCTTGTATTGTCCTACAAACAGTCAAAAACACAAATACATTATTTTTCATTAAGATATTGTGTAAAAAAAGGCAAGACATTGCTTTATTCCTGAATTTGTTTGACAATATGCAACGCTGACATTATTCAATTTTAGGTCTCTGCTAGTGTTTGTTTATTTTTATTTTAGCAATACATGATATGAATTTAAAAAATTAAAAAGGAGACCAAAATCAAGCATAAAGAAAGAACAGAAAGGTTGTGCATATGGGCTCATAAGTACCCAAATGTACACATTTATTCTTACATGAAACAAATCAAATGCACATTGAGTTGAACAAAGCACATGACCAGCTGTATTTCATCCTGTTGATAGTAGACAAAGATAAAGTATTAAAGTTTGTTTTGTATTGGTACATTAATCCTCATATTCATTACGTGGATTATGTTAATAGGACCTTTCATAAATATCCTAAAGAGTTCCTGAGTTTCAAATATTGAATTTGATGAATAGGTTTATACTTAATAGGAAGCCAACATGAATTTGATGAAGCGGGACGGTTGTTTGGGGGGTAAAAACACATTCCTCTGTTGTGTGCGCGTGGGAGAGAGATGTAAGGTGAATCCTTTGTAAGACCGCGGGGTTTCCACCAATCGCAAAGCAATATGACAAGCTGCATTTCCCCAGGAGGCTCTGTCGCAACCCATTTGTCAACAAAGCAATTCCAGCCTCAAACACATAGCAAAGCTTTTTAACAGAGTCCCCCTAGGTGTGCATTTCTGTCTGCTTTGCATATTTCTCTATAAACTTGGGCTAAACACAACTTTCAAAGTAGTTTTGACATCTGGGAAAAAAAATAGTTTCATACAAATACATGCACGGTGCAAAATAAATCATTCTCATGGCTTTGCTGCGAGTGGGAATGACGAGACCTCAACAGTGTGATGCGCGGTGTATCTTTTGTATGATAAAGTTATTTTCCGTTTTTTATGTTTTTGCCGCCAATCAGCCTCCCAGGATGCACTGCCAGACCTGCGCCCTGGTGACCAGCTCGGGTCACCTCGTAGGAGGCGGTCGCGGCGAAGAGATCGACCGGGCCGAGTGCGTCATCCGCATGAACGACGCCCCCACCGCCAGGGGCTACGCCAGGGACGTCGGCCGGCGCACCTCCCTGCGCGTCATCGCTCACTCCAGCATGCAGAGGGTGCTGCGGAATCGCCACGAGCTGCTCAACGCCAGCCAGGACACCACGTTCATCTTCTGGGGGCCCAGCAGCTACATGAGGCGCGACGGGAAGGGCCTGGTGTACAATAACCTGAGGCTGATGAACCAGGTGCTGCCCAGACTCCGAGTCTACATCATCTCCTGGCAGAAGATGCTGCAGTTTGACGAGCTCTTCAAGAAGGAGACTGGCAAGGACAGGTGAGGAAACGATGACCACAATGAGAGTCTAAGAACGCAAGAAGTAAGATTCTATCCATGCGATGGTATTTAGTCAATGTTTAATGAATGGAGGAGTAGTTCAACAGAATTTAAAACGGCAATTTTTGGGCCGAGGTTCAGATTAAACTTCAAGGAAAAGAAAGTATCTGTTGTATTTAACCCACAAAATATGAAATTTAACAGCTTCACCTTTTGCTTGGGGGAAACTGTGGTAAAAAATCCATTATTTAAAAAAGCTTTGAGTTTGGCGAAGGCCCTCATCTTGGATCACGGCCGTCGCCATGTTATTTTTCCAATGTTGGAGCTTACTGCTACTGTTTGAAAGCATCACGAAAGGTAAATAAGTGAATTTTCAGTGTGAAATTATAACGTGTCTAACAGAAAAAAAATCAGTTTTGTCCAATTTTAATCTCCCATTGAGTCCAAGCTGAGCTCTCCGTCCCGCGGCCATTAATGCTCCACGACGATGCCACTCTTTGTCCGGGGCGTCACTGGGAAATCCCCATGTAGTGGATTTGGTGAACGGCTCAAACAGCCGTCCTTCGGCATCGTTGGATGCTTTTATTGTAAATGTTTAGCAAGAGGATCCCGATGTACTCTCATCCTTTTTATAGCATTAGGCAGTAATATCTGTGAGGGTTATTTGAGGTCAACTCTGCTCTCTGGAGCGTGGGAAGAGAGAGCAAATCTTAAAGTATCGCATTTATACATCGAGGGTTTGAACGTTTTAAAGGGCGCTGTCGGTATGAAAGAATATTACCACCTGTCGAATGAATCCTACTGTTTTAAGGATTGGAAGCCCGCGTGAGCCGCGTTAATAGATGAGTTTCTGGGTTATTATTTGCGCGATTGGCAACCCTGCAAGCCTATAATTGTGATTATGGGTTATACAGTTGCAGTAAAGGCAATTAAAAAGGGCTGGGTTGCTGTCACATCCACCCATTTTAATATCACTGCCAGAAGATCAATGAAAAACATGTGTTCCTCTTCAATCTCTGGGTTTAATTGCCACGGCAGAATGAGTCTCAACCGGTGATTAAAGGCAAATTAGCTTTTAAAATTAAAAAAATGGATTGTATGCAGTATTTAATGCTCCCATAATGCGTTTTTCAATCACGTCCCTGTGTTGCATCTGTCAGGTGTCCACTTGATAGATTTGTTGTTGATTACTGATGTTTAATGTGTAAAGGGAAGCTTCTTCAGTCACCAAAAATAGATTTGATCCCTTTTACCCTGAAGAACACCAGCTTGAGCACTGGTAAAAAAAAAGATGACAAGAGAACCCCAAAATGCAGCAGAGCACATTGCAGCAGTGGAGTTTAAAGAGCCACTAGAACCGGACTTGCATATTCCTCTTTTCTTGGAGCTGAGTTTAGGAAAACTCTCAATTTAGGAAATAAAAGCTCCACTAAAAGTGCAAAACTGCAGTCTTCTGCTCAAACATTATGAAATACATGATTTTATATACCACAATGTACATTTCCTCATTGGAGTAGACTGTGATGTTCAACAAGTGATTCAGCTTTAACTAATTGCACTAATCACACCTTCGTGTGACCTCCACCCCTCAGCAGTTACATAACAACCATTATAATAAACTCACCTCTTCAGAGCTGAATGCACCACACAACAACACAAACCCAAGGAACGGCACAGTTCTCTCGCCGCAATCAGGTCCCATTTCCATTTTCTTCAAACTAAATAGAGCATCCCGCTGGCAGGGGGGGATTTTTTTTATCATTTTTCCCGCGAGGCAAACTTATTCTTGTATCAGTGCCATTATATTGAAAATCTTTTTTTTTTTATCTCACTCTTTATTGGAAATAAGATTTTAAGACACAAGGATCATCACATAATTAAACTGCTCATTAAATGAGTACTTAAGCCGGATTTCCAGTACCGAACTGGAACACATGGAGCAATACGGCTCCTGTGCGCTGGGATTGATCCGGCTTCACACTCACAGCTCGCTTCCAGTCCTTTGAAAGACAGCCATTGAAGCTAAGCGCTTGACATTTCACACCACATTATTCATCAGCATGTTCATCAACAAGGAAACGAGGAGGACTTCTTAAGTGAGATTAGCTGCCTCCTCACTTCGACCTGCATGCATCTACCACACGCTGCTTGGGGGACAAAATGTTGCTCTTTGAACTTTTCTGAAGTTTTCTAATTTGCAAAAGGTCTGTGTGTGTGTGTGTGTGTGTGTGTGTGTTTGTGTGTGCACGCGTGTGCGTGGGTTTGCTGTTGTCATAGCAAAGCCCGGCGGTCTGGGTTTGCATATCACAACAAATCAACATGTTCCAGACAACCTGGGTCCTTTCGTAATTAAATGAAAATGAGAAGCCTGTGCTTCGGCCGCGATAGCATCACTTTGGATGCGCTGTTGTTTGTGGTCTGAGCGGATTCTATTAAAGATGAAAGTGTTGGTACTATTCATCCCGCTGCCGCTCGGTGCCGATTGATTGAGCGGGGAGCTGTGGGGTCGTTTGGCGACACAGTAAAACAGCGGGAAACGGCGCATCTGTGGAAGCATGAAAAGCTCTTGAGATTTTTTTTAGTCGGTAATGTATTTGGGAACATTTTGTTATTCTTTAGTTGCAGGCAATGTTCTGCCTACCTGCGCACTCGACCCCTGCGCTCTTTTTCAGATGTTTATGCTCATTATGATCACTTTGTGGGAGTTCTTTCAGGGCGGTCGTGAGGGAAGGGCAGTCAGTTTAGTGCACTCTGAGACCTTTCTCTCTCTCTAGAATTGGCTTAACGGGCTTTATGTTTCCTGCCTGACGTGTAAAATAAGAGGAACCCCTTTTCAAACATCAAGTTAAACCCTCTACTTCAAATGTGTCACCCTCTTCTACCGGAGGCGAGCAGCGTGCAGAGTCTGCCAGGTTGTTCTTGTCACACATTCCTTATCTCGCCCTTCTCGCTTTGTCTCTCGGTCTTGCTTGTAGTCGAAACCGCCGCCGCTCTGGATACTCGTGCATACGTGTGGAACAGTCGAGAAGCAACAAGCTATCTGCGATCACAGCAGGGTGACATGGCGGCGCAGGGAACAGGAGATCCTGTCAAACTGGGTTTGACCCTCGGCCTCCCGACTCCCTACTCACATCAATCACACAAGTGCGCGCCTCCTTATTTGCAGACGCAGGCCAGTGTGCCACCTGCAGCGTCACATACGGCAGCAAGAGTGAACAGCAGACCCGGATTCACGTCCGTTTTTGGACAAGCTTTGTCCGCTTAGCATCGCTGTACTGGCGCCGGGTCCGGCTCTGAAACCTGCGGCGGTGTAGTTCGTACCGTCCTCTCGGATGGTCACCGAATGTCCAAACACTGATGCCCCGAAACATCACAAAAAGACAACGGTTCACACTTCTAGTGGGTCTTTAGTGATGATTTAGAGGGATTACTTTTCTATTAGTTCATGCATTTTATTTGAGGAGATCGTATCTTATACCAGATGATACTAGCACATCAGTGATGCCAGCATATCAGAACACAGGTTTGCGCATATCCTTTGAAAATCTTTTCAAGCAATCGAAATTATGGATTTTTTTAATTGACATTGGATTTCCAATTTTCTAGTTTTTGTCTTGATTTGAAGTTGACATAGTATTTAACAACATTTAATTTGTCCAACACAAATTTGATCGTTTCTGGGACCAAATTTCAAAACAAATTCACTTTAGCTGTAATTTGTGATTAGTATTAATTAGCTCATTTTAGCATGCTAAAATTCAATTATTACGGTAAACATTATGGAATATTATATTAGTTTTCAAAACTAGAGATTTTTTTTCTCCAAAAGGTTATTAATATGAAGCCAATAGCATTACCTGCCAGCCCCTCATCTCATCCCCCATTTAAACAGATTTTTGTCTCCCTTCAACCTTCACTTCTTAAATCATCTGAAGTCTGAAGGGTTTCCCCCTGAACCATGAAGCAATCGCTCTTTATCCTGAGTTTGCTCTTTCTGCGTCCCGGCACGCGTTCTGCAATATTTAACTGTGATTCGTGCAAAATGAAATCTTTACCGTGGCAATGAAAGGTTGCACTATGAGCCAGTTTAGTTATTGATTGAGGGAGTTCAGTAGAGGGCATTTTGTTTCTCCTCTTCAATGGTGGCTTATTTTTCTAATCAAGGACTCTGTCGGAACAATTCTGATTCAGGTTGCAGGGATTATTCGTCTCGTGAAATCTAAACCATATTTGATATTTTCAAGGGGACCATCTTAAAATGTGCTGATACAGCAGAGTCATAATGCCAGTCAGGATTCTGTGCGGGACATTCAGCTATGATTAAAGTTACTGAGTTGTGTTTCATTGACTCATAGTTAAATATTTCCTCACAGCGTGTAAGGGAACAACAACAATTTCGCTTTTTTTCCCCCCACTCAAAATAAATTGTTTCAATTATTACAGATTGTTCCAAAAGGCTGTGTGGAAGACAACGGCTAGACCGGACAGTTTGGCAATGATTGCATACGTGGCTGCGGGCCAACTAGCCGGAGATCACAATCATTTTGAGTTTTCTGTCTCTACTGTTTTGTGGAAAACGCAGCCAGCAGCCACGCGGGCCGCTGTGTGAGTCTGCACGTAGGACCAGCGGTGCTTTGTCCTTAATGCAAACGTATCCTTTCATTTGGATGTATTGCTTTGACAAACCCATAATCAAAATATCATAGTTTGGGGGTTTTAGTTTTAGTCACTTTTAGAATTGTTGGTTAAAGTTGTCTGATTTTTGAGGTGATTGAATCTATTGAAAAGCAATAAGGATTATAATCATAAAAATGTAATAAAGTCAGGCTGTAATGGGGCTTTTTTTAACAACCAAATGAGAGTCGCCACTTTGATGGACATTTAGATTTAGAGGGATCCAATAATGCAATGAAAATATCATTTAATATTTCTTTCACATCGGCATATCTGAGAAAACTGATAATTGCTCATTTCTTTTCAGGAACAACTAGGAAACGAAATGAAATGTGAAAGCAGGCTGATCGCTCTGCAGCTGAAGCTTTGTCATTTCCACTAACTGCAGTAAATTTGCAAACCACTCTCTGATTAAGGGTTTGATTATTTGACAGTTCATTTGTATCGGTTGATGTGTTGGATGGATCTGTATTTCAATGAAGCTGCGACACTTGAAACGTGATCTTACAATTAGAGAAATCAAACTCTAGACATAAATAAATCTTTATTCTTCTATAAAACGCTGTGATAGCCCACACTGAAATCCATCCTACTTCTTCTCCCCCTCCTCTTCCTCCCCCTCCTCCTCCTCCTCCTCCTCTTCTCTGCAGAAGAATATCAAACTCGTGGCTCAGCACCGGCTGGTTCACTATGACCATCGCCCTGGAGCTGTGCGATAGGATCAATGTCTACGGCATGGTTGCACCTGACTTCTGCAGGTGAGACGGTAGAGCTGCATGTGAACCATCTTCATCATTTAACCCACGAGCACCGTCACAAAGAGTGTGTAAAGCAGAGCGTTGGGTTTATCGAAGTTCATAGCAGCATATCCACCTAATAAGAAACATTTAAATTGTAGATATATTCATGCAACTGATGGCAGTGTGGGTAGAGCTGTTTTTGAGATGCCTAGAATGCCTGATTATAACTTTAAAAATAAAAAAAGTCAGAAGTCAAAACTCCGGCAAGAATTAGACGTATTGAAACGGTTGTTTTTTTTGGTTTATTTGAGACATAAGAGGGAGTAAAAGCTTAGGTTTCGATCTGCTCCATTTTTCTGGGCGCCGCAAATATCATTGCTTAGTTTGTCAGCGTGAAAAGGGGATTTGTCGCCCACATTTAAGGTTTTCTCTAAGGCCTCTCTATCTGCCGACAGGATTCCTTCTCTAGCCGTCTTTTAAACAGAGCTTCAGCTTACCCGGTTGAAGTCCCGTGCTACGCTGCTTAAGCTCGTGGCAATCAAACGGTCTCCCTCTGCATCCCCCTGGCTTCACTACGGCGATGTTTGCTTTGTTTGTCACACATCACAGCATCCCTGCAGCCCTTTTCCTTCTGGGCTTTTATCCTCCAAAACAGCATCCAACAATTGAAGAAAACACAAAGTGGATTGATCATCGACCACTGAGATCTGCAGTTGTTTCCAAAATAAGTTTGTTTCTTGGATGAATTTGAGTGAAGACAGGCCTTGTTTATCCTTTGTTACATATTTTGTATTATTCTGTTTGCTTATGTGGACTCCTGAACATCTGGCCTGCACACTGGAAGGCACTTCATGTTAAGAGGGTCACTAATATGAGAGATAATTCCCACTGGTTGAGCCCAAAAGGGAAGCCTCATCTTACTTGAACTATTGCTCTTTCAAAAACAGCCCCTCGCTTTTGGATAATTCAAATGCATTGCGGTGATATTACTTACTACTAAGTAAGATTCGGAATTCACAGCCTCCTTACAATGAAATACTTTTAGAATTATTTTGTCTATTGTGGAAATGATCTCAGATCACTGGCATATATTTCTGTTGTATATGTGCTGCGTGTTTTAGTGCAACAACCCAGGAATATGTTTGTCAGCATTATAAAACAGTTCATTAAAAGCTGATTTCCATCAAAAGATGTTTTGGTTCAAACACACTTTCTTTACATGAAAATGTTTTTTACATCGGAAACATTAGTAATGTTAATCTGCTAATGAACCTTACTATCAATGTTGTCTCTGTATCAGTGTCGACTTTACATTTGAACTAGAAAAGGCTGTTTGGGTTTTTTTAATCCACCAAAAATCAGACAGCGGAAATTATTGTTCGTGTTGTTGAGTAAGACTTGTGGTAAAGTAATTTTGAGGATATATTTCATGATATTGTATGTGCCAAACAGACATCACACTATAATACGCCATCACCATTACTAAGACATAAACAATTTTAATATTAATAATATTAATAATATTAATAATATTAATATGTATTAAAATGAGCTGAATTGCACTTAACCAATGTCAAGACAAAGAAATGATTGCAAACAGTCCCTGTTTCCCCCCCACGAAATGAAAACACTCTGTGGTGTCGCATGAAACTCGAGCGGCTCACTAAAAGCATTTTTAAATGTCACCCGCCCCTCTCCCCCCCCCCCCCCGTCCCCCCCGCAGGGAGCCTCAGCACCACTCCGTCCCGTACCACTACTACGAGCCACGCGGGCCGGATGAATGCGCCATGTACATCTCTCACGAGCGCGGGCGGCGGGGCAGCCACCACCGCTTCATCACCGAGAAACGGGTCTTCGCCAACTGGGCGCGGACTTTTGACATCCACTTCTACCAGCCGGACTGGAGCCCCCCGCCTCTCCCAGCCAACCGGACGCTGGAGGCGAGCGTCACGCCGACGCTCCTGGTGCCGCCGAAGACGTGACCTGTGTTCCCGGGGGAGGGGGGGTGGGGGAGGCGTTTGTATTGAAAGGGCTACTGGACCCTTAACAGAGAGGATGGGAAAAAAAAATCTAAAAAATGAAGATGAAGGGTCTTGTTCATCGCGCTGGACATTTGCTATGAACGTTTCTCCAGCTCCACCACTGCGTGTGTGTTTGGTTAACTGAGCTGAACCAGTTCAACGTTGTACGGCATTGTTAAGTCAGTTTGTACAAGGAGGCAACGTCATCACAACCCACTCTCATGCATGCAGTCTACGCTTTGTGTGTGTGTGTGTGTGTGTCACAGAGAGTACACGTTTGGTTTCTCCCCGAAGCCTCCGTTGGATGAAGGATCCATGCAGGACTCCATGCTTACGTTTCACTCAATGGACAACATCATTATTCTGCCTGTGAGACAGTGGGAACTGGATACTTATTAACAATGTGCTTCACTTTGTCAAAAGGATTGAGGAGGTCAAGTTGAATGGGATTCATTGAGATTCCTGTGTCCGGTAACAAAGGCCAAAAACTCCTAAAAGGCTGAAAAGAAAATCCTCCTTGGCCCCGTACGGACGTGTCAGGAGGCTTTGTCGGCGCCTGTCGCCGCTTAATTGCTTGATTTAGTGAGCCGCGAGCCGCATTTCCATGTAAATGCGCAGCCATGTCACACAAGACAAGTGTGAGATTAGAATCGAGAGCAGGGACGCAGCGGCCTCATCCATCCTGCTATACAGCATTCGTCTGCCTCCCAGCAGGAGAATTACACCGTTTTCTCTCCGTGTGCGATCGGTCAGTCTCGCGCTCCTCACTGTGTTTTTATGTGCACTCTTCTCTCATTTGATGGAGTACACACAGCTTGTAGACCGCCCCGTCCTCCATCCCCCTCCTCCTCCCTCCTCTTCGCTCCATGAATAAAAATCAGGTGTCAGTGTGGAGAAAGACGCGTGTTTAACTTAATGATTTATCCTGGTGCTAAGTTCCCTATTGATTTTCCCCTCATCTCTCCAATGTGAGCGATGAGAGGAGGGATGCGGTGCGGCCGGAGACATGCGTGCTCACACCACCAGAATGTGTTTCGTGTCACATTTCCTTGGCGGAGACGGGGAAGCGATTCAAGATCATAGACACCACAAACAGCTGCAGGGGTCCAGCTGCTGACTTTGGGCTGTGGTTGAGACCAAGGTGTGCGCTTGTTTTCTAGAGACCCATCTGTGAAACAGTCTGTTTTAGCGAAGAGATAAGCACTCAAATGTTTCCGTGTTTTTGCCTAATGACTGAGCCACAGTGTGTTGTTCTGCAGCCGTGTGCTATTTTCATTTTAGATTGTTTCTTTAAAAATGTAGGAAAAACGAATTTGCAGTGATATGAAACCGACTAATGGCAAATCATTGAAGCATTGCTGTTGTTAATGTGTTATCTTTTCATGCCGCGCATTATCATTATGCTCAATAAAAAATACTTTTTATCGGCGCTCCTGCATTCAGCACAGAAATGCGGGGAATGAAACTGTCGCATGTGTGTGGCAGCCTCCCAGACATAGAGATGAAACAGTGGCGCTGTGGAGGACGGGAGGCCGGTGACTCACCTTCACCCTCCACCGACAGCAGCTGCCGTCTCCACTCTTCAATCTGGTTCTTCCTGTCTGGTTGCGACATCGTGCCGTGTCACAGTGAAATAAAAATGAAAGACAGGCGGCATTACGAGGCCATTTCCTCCCACAGCTACGATAGATCCCGGAGCGTCCTCACCGGCGAGTGTCTGACAAAGGAAAATGTGTATTTGAAGAGAATTCTGGTGAAGCATTTACAATGGATCACGGTGCCGCGGTCAGGTGACGAGGGGACAGCCGAGTGCACCGCAGACGGACATGAACACTTTCGTTTGGCAGGTGAGCCAGATCAATAGAATCTCCTTCATAGGCATTTAGGAGGATCAATTGCTCAAATTTTGAAAGTATAACGGAAACACTTTCTCTTTACTCTCTAATATACAGCAGAATATTACCAGTTACCAAAACAATGCATCTGGAATGAAGTTTTTTTTTTTTAGTAAATTTATAAAGGGTCTGCAACATGAGTTAGACACAGTTAAATATAACTGTCATAGTGGTCCGATGTGTGTTAGAATTATTATATTGTAGTTTTCTGTACTTTCCAGCAGTATTAAACTAAAATATCCAATTGCATCGATTACTTCCATGTGATCTGGGTAACTATGGTGCTGACTGAAACAGAGGAAGATTCCTTCGTCAAATGCATAAAATAACGACAAAACAGCATAATGGGACTTATTTAAATATCTAATTAACAAAAAAAAAAGATAATCCAACCATAAAATAAGAACTGAATGCTAGCTTGTGATAGCACCACGCCATACACAACTCTCTTGTCTTAACTACTAAAAATACATTTGGGCCAAAGTCGAGGAAACCTACTGCGTGGTTTCCTTTAAAATGTTGGATGGTCGCCACCTCAGAAGTATAGAACTATCACGAGGTGATGGCGGCTTCATGAGGGCCGTGAGATGGACCTGAAAGCCCCGTAAAAAGAACATTGCAGTCGATACATTACACATAAATTGACAATCCAATTTCACCTCATGGTTTTCTGCCACATGTTAAGGCCTTCTGGTTGGAAATAGTCATTTATACAACTTCATATGTTTGGACCAGACATTTTGCTTCCATCAGTTGAATCTTCTTTGATTTTCTACCTTTGGTCAATCTATAAAAAGTACATTTTGCAGACATTTAAATTTGGAAAATACGCTGTTCTTATTACAGTGCTTTCTATTTGAGACCATCATTCAAATTAGACCCAGTCTTGTTTTTTTTCCTTTTTAAAATGTTTCATAGAAAAGGCGACACTTAAAATGAACACTGAACAAGCATTGCCGAGCAAAACGTGTTCCACAGAAATTGCAGATGAGAAATGAAAATCTGTCACTGAAATTGGATTAAATATTCCTGGGAACGAATGACATGACAAAGGCTCCCTGACAAGGAAGAAGGAAATTTTGAGTTTCCATAGAAATTGGAGTTGTCAGGCGCACACACACACACACACACACGTGTGCTGGAGTATGTTTCTGCACAAATCATTAAATCCAGCAGGCTGTCACATGGGACTAAAGATGACATTGTTCAACTTCAAGACAACACACACGTGTGTGTGTGTGTGCACGCCACGTCTGTGTTCATTGCCGAATACCGACGCTGCTCCATCACTGCAACAAGCTGTGTGACACATTCGGAGCATCCTGCCCGACTGAGGAAATCACTCTGCCTCTTTGGAGACGGCTGCTCGAATATGGTCCTGTCACTGGTCCCCCCCCCCCCCACCTGCCCCCCATTGAGTCAGGTGTGAAGGAAAACAGACGCAGATCTTGATTAGCATATAGGGAAACCATATTGACAGAGAGGAGAGTATATTCTATTCTATCCGAGCACAAACTCATTTTGAAGTGGGTTTAGAAAAAAACAAACAAGTCCACCTGCGATAGGTTGGCTCTAATTTTATTGCATCTGCTGCCAGGCTGCTGTTTACGGACTGTACATTGGGGCTTGGATCCAAAGGCTGCTCGTTCTTCTGAAATAAAAGACTGGAACTGAAGGAAAAATGCATTTTGAAGAGCCCCTGTGGATTGTTTGAAATGTTTTCAGTAAGAAAACAAAAGAGCAGGTGTGTGAGTCAGCTCGAGTGGTGCCGCTCTCAAGGATGCGCTTGTGAGCTCGGACTGAGACTCTGCCATAAAGGATAGAAAGAAAGAAAACTACAGAAACCACACGACAATCCACTCTTTTGATTTAGTGTCTCATCTTTAATCAGGGTATCAAAATCCTTCAAATGAAGAAATAAAATGACCTCGCCCTCTCTGAAAGGTAATCAGAAGGAAAAAAGATGAAGAAATAAGCATCGCATACATAATGAAAAACAAAAAGGAAAGCAGCTGCCTGCTGATACATATGGTTTGATTTCCAACACAATCCGTTTTCCACTTTAGCCGTGAGGGGGAGTGGCGGCGGGCCGGCGGGCAGCCTCTCGCGGCAAAAGACGGACAACCCCGGGTTCAACGCGTGTGCTCTGAGCATCAGTCACTCCCCCCCAAACAATGAGTCGGATGCAGAGTGGTTACAACTGCAAGGAAAAGGTAGCGGGCGGGGGGCTGAAAACACGTCCCGGCACAGAGGAGATTCATTTTGGGACGGCTGGCGGCTTACTAGGTTATCACTCACTTATCGCCGCTGTAGCGCGGGACGCGGAATGGCCGCGGAAATAGCTGTCCATCACCCAGAACACAATCAGCGGAGTGCGCGGCCGGGGAGCTAATGGATGTTTCCAGGAGGGCAATTTGGTGAGCGGGAAAGTGGATGGATCCATCACGCGGGATGGGATTATGTGCGATTGTTATCCTTCACAGGCACGATATGACAGTCAAGGGGTGTAATGTATATGGACATGGGGGACATTAAATAGTAATCTCTTCACGGCCCACTCACGGCCAATAAGCCTGCCCGCGTCCCACACACTCCTTTTTCTGACTGAGCAGACGTTGTGAGTAGCACTTAAACAAAAAGGGCTGCCGCTGCTCGTCTATGCAGAGTTGCACGCTCTCAAAAATAAATTAAATTCTTATCTGCAGACTCAATTCAGTGCTTTTTTTTTTCACTAAATCAAAGCAATTACTTGACCAAACAGAACTTTTGACACAAATAAAAATAATTAGAAGTAGAATTCCTTGTCAAAAAACGGATTAAAATAGACGTGATGCTAGTGGTAACACAAATGTTGTAATTGATCAGCATGGAGAAGTCATGCAAACGCCCCCCCCCCCCCCCCCAAAAAAGAAAAAGGCACCAATTGCATTACACAGCTTTTGGCCAGGCAGTCGTGGTGCCATACGTCTACTTTCCATTTTCAGGAAAATAAGCCTGTCAGACGGCGCACCTCTAATACGCCTGAGGGGGGAGGGGGGGAGCTCCGTATCTGCAGCCGTCCTCGGATATCCAGTGGCGTACGCGATGCGGCCTCAGAAGATGTGTTTGAGGTGCTTCATGCCGTACGTCTTGAAAAACACCAGGAGGATTAGAGTCCACAGGCCCAGGATGAAGCCGTCGGGAGGATGCCAGTCCTTCTGCTTCGGTTTCTGAGGTGTGGGGGGGGTCGATAGAGAGATTGCAGGTTAGCGGTAGTATATTTCTTCAGTTGAGGCCACTGCTGATTGTTCTGTCATTCACACAGGCAGGCAGGCGCGGAATCAAATATACACTCGCTTCATCTCACACACTTGTGCACAAAACACACACAACGGTTCACACAAAGAGCAGAGGGGGGGGTAAAGCTCGTCAGTACACCTCCCCTGTCTTGTGTTTGTCCCATTCACTGCCACATCATCACTTTGTGTGTCATTATACTTTTAAATCTCCTCCATATTAAACATGCATCTCACAAAGAGACGATTTATATGCTAATGCGGCGACAATATTCTGCGAAGAGATGAGCTTTAACCTCTAAAAAAAAAACTCTTCTGCTGCCGACAAAGCTACGGTTGGGTCGTGAGGGGCGCACTCAAAGAGATTTCTGGTATCCTTTGCTATACATGCTGCCTTTATCGAATACAGAAATCCCAAGTAAGAAAACGGCATCCCCCGAAGCCGAGACCCCAGAGACACGGAGGAATAAGACAACAGCGCGCACTACAAACTGTACTCACGACATACATTACAGTCAAGCTGCCACACAAATCCTCATCCCGCGTTGCGATAGTGTTGCTGAGCCTTACAATGGTACCTAGTGTACATTTACTCTCTCTGAAGTACGTCCACATGGGCCCAGCGGTGTCACGCAGCAGCAGCAGGAGATGGAGGAGATGGAGGAAGGCCGACAGCAGACTGATTGTCCCGTGAAGCTTAGATGCGGGTGTGAAAGTCCAGGGTTGTTATTTACCAATTGTAAACCCTGCGAAGGGAAGTTAATGGTCTCAAAGGCTAGTTTCATGTCTTCTTCAATACAGCATGATGTTAATTTGGTAAATCATGGTCGCTTTGGGGCTGGCTGCCTTGTGAATGATGAATGCTGACACGGCTTTCTCCGGTCTGGGATTGGTACGAGGTTCGAACCCCGGCTGCTCTGTGTCCCAAGTGTCCCTGAGCAAGACACCCAACCCAAAACAAAACCATGGGTTAAAAATGCAATGCAAGTCGCTTTGGATAAAAGAGTCAGCTAAATAACATGTAATGTAAAATAAAATATTTGCTGTGATTTAAAAAAAAACCTCTTTTAAATGGAAGTATTTGGGAAAAGGTTTTTGGGGCCCAAAGCATTAAATTAAGGACCTAAAAAAAATGGGATTCTGCCACCTGGACACGGGTTCATTCTTGGAAGCTTATTCCACGGTGGCAGAACACAAACCAATGGGTGAAGATACGTCCATGTATCAATCTAAACACTGGCCCATTTAATCAGCAAATATTGTCAGTTCATGGTGTAACGTCTGCACATTAATATATTGCAGAATTGAGGTTGAGAAGTACCAAATTAGCATATGCACAGTGGACAGTGCATGTGCAAATAACAGATTGGCACGTATTGCAGAGTTTAGTTAATTATGCGCGGCATCTGAAAAAAGTACGAAATGTGTCTTTGGCAGCTAATATCTTCACAGAAATGGCCAAGGACATTTAAACACCTCGGCTATATTCAGTTTTCTGCAAGATGATCATCAGCCAAACAACTCAAAGCAAAAGACAGCTTTGCCTGAAACTCATGCCGTCCTGAACAGATATCCATCTCCATTTCTTAGAATAATGAATAGTTACAACGTGTAATACTACTGTTGCTTGTAGTTACCACTGGCTGGCGACTTATTATAATGTCCTATTATTTTAAAAGCTGACCACAGGACCTCAGTGCTCGCGACAAGGTCAACTCAAGGCTGCCATTTCAACACAAACGCAACACCGCTGCCACTTTCCAACTCACAGAGACTGAAAAGAGCATTCAAATTGGATTACGTCTGACCCCGAATGTGTTTAACAGCTCAATCCAGACAAATCAATAGAGCTTCAGTGCCAGCCTGAATGCTAAAGCTAAGGCAACTATGCATTTGAGCCTCCTACTCGTCAGCGTTGGGTCGGGGCCAGAGGTCCAAGGCAAAGAGCTTCTGATTTAAAGTTGCATTCACAATGCAGATATTAGTCAATAATCTTTGCTTGTGTACAATGTGTATTGGCCAACTATGCTATAAGCACATGTACAATTTTACCAGGGGAAAGAGAAGCCTGAAGAAGTTCAATTCTGACTTTGAGAGGCGCTGCGGCACATCGATTGTGAAAAGGGCCAATCGTCCAGACTGCCACAGGCACTTATCCCACATACACTACCGTGTCTAATGGAAACCAGGCTGCAGGTTAAGTGCTGGAAAAAAACTCAGCTTGGCGCCGAGACAATGAAACTCAAAATATCAAGGGACGTTTTCAGCATTGAAAAGCAGGCAGTCAGAATCACACAAAGTGGTTTTGTCCCAAAACATCCCTCAGTCCAAAAGGCCCTGAAGAGCACAATGAGGTCCTTACTATGAAGAATGGGAACCCACCTGACTACAATCGTTCCCGCCGAAGTCGGATGAGAGGTTTCAAATGGAATTACGCTCTCCCCCAAACATATTGCTGGGCATTGTGGCCAAATCGCTCGATTTTTGTTTCGTCTGACTACAGAACTTTCCTCCAGAAGGTCCTATCTAAGGGCCTCAGAGACGCAACCAGCCGCAGTCACTCATAACCACTCACAAGAAGTTAAGAGGCCGTGCTATGGAGCTCGTTTCATTGACACAACTTTCTAAGTCACCAAAATTGCCAATTCATGTTGCTGTATGTATATTTTTGACCCAGCCGATTTGACCACTTTTTCTGTTAACCCATAATAAAGTCATAAAAGCACCAAACTTCAATGTTTTTTGTGAGAAAGAAGTATGTTCCAATCACTCTATCAGAGAAAAATCAGACTTAGAAATAACGGGAAAGCCACGACATTATGTTCTTTTCAAGTGTATGTAAACTTTTGACCACAACTGTATGTATATTATATATGTTGTAACAGACCTTGTGGCTCCCTAAATCACAGATGTGTCTGCTGCAAAAGACAAAAGCACATTTTTGGGTACGGCTACTGTTTGAAAGTGGATGATACCAATACCTGTAACTTTAATACATTTGTTTACTCCTTCATTCAATACCTATCGTGTAGAAATATTCAGCTGCGTTAAATCCCGCCATGTCTCTTTTTTTTTTTTTTTTTAAACAGGATTGAATCAAGGTATTGTTTCCCTAGAAATTGAAATTTTGAATCCATGTGTTACTTTGATCGATACCTTAATAAAAGGCATTTAATACCCGTACTCAGCCCAACTCGCAGTTTCAAACAGGTCGATTTTTATCCGTCTGTTCTAGTTTAGCTGAAACTCTCCAAATCCAATTCTGCCTTTGCACAGCGAAGGATTCCAAACAGCACAAATGCAAACAGAAAATGATATATCCCATGTGGGGTTCCTTCAGCGCTTACTACATTTAATGTAATTAATGAAAAGCAATAAATGAGACTAGTTAATGAATCTGATCGGAGTTACATAACACAGTGTTGAGATACATTCAGCTACAGCCTCGGTGACAAAGTGGCCCGGCAGGAAGACAGAAGGGAGCAGCTGAGGGTTAAACATCTGGAGGACGAGGCAGAGCCCGGCGGGGGACATTCAGAAGAGAGGGCCGCGTGGCCTTTGGGGGCAGTTGGCCTCCATTACAAGGGTAGGAAGAGGTATGTCTGTGCGCGTGTGCGTATGTGTGTGCGTGCTTCTTCCTTAGGAGGAGCTGAGAGATGGATCGACTGTGACAGGAAGTCACGTCAGCACCGCCGGCAGAGAGGGGAGCATATGTCAAGAGGGAGGGAGTGACATTAGAAGAGAAGCGACATCAAGTCACAGGATGGAAGGTAATAACTACAACCTCTTTTTTCAGTATGAACACATTTTTCAAATATTGTGGTTTTGTATATAAAATGTAGCCAGACTATTTTTGTATTTTTTAGTTTTTGATAAGATTAAAAAAAGGTGATCAATACAGTGACACAACCATCAATTTGAGATTTAAATTATTGAACTGTTTTTGACATGACTTTGACCGACCTCTATTCCCGACTTAAATCAAACTCCCATTTCGATACTGACATTTTTGGTAAATCATTGGCCTACATGAGCCACACTACCCATATTTGTGTAAAAGAGTTACCCTGCCCAGTTATTGGTCCTTGTGAAAGAATTCGGCATGGCAATGTTCCAACATACAAGGACGCATCCTTGAATGAGCTTCTTTTGTCGGACCGGCAGCCCAATGCCCACACATTCATTTCATAATTCTATAAAAGATAGAAAAGCAGCTTAAAATTGTCATACTTTTAATCATGTCTGAAAACAGGCTAAATCTTTGGAGCCTTTGCTTGATAAATGACTCCAACGCATAATATTTAATCCCAAATGGTTATTTTCTGCTAGACAACTCATTGCTTTAATGACCAGTTGATAAAGCCCTAAATTAAATAACTACTTTAAATATCCAATTCGGCTAGTCTTTTGGATAGAAATCATCAGTAACCAGTCTACTCTGATGAGTTTCCCACTGAAACAGAGCGACTGCGGCTTCTTCTTCAGAAAAAAAAAAAAAAACATTACTGAGGCAGAGAAAAAGAATCAGCGGCAGAAGAGAGCGAGGAGCAGAAAAGAAGGGAATGTTTTTTGACCTTCACAGACTGAACCATTCACTTCATTTCGTAACTCTGTGTCTTACGTATTCAAGTAAGATCAATTAGCAGCCACCCGTCTGATTGATCGGGGCTAATTAACACGGCCGTGCAGGATGCTAATGGTGGTAGAGGGAGGTCTGAAACTCTGCCTGACACGAACCCTCCAAGGTCAAAACTGCCGCAAATTCATGTTGATGACAGAACAGCTGCCATAGTGCGATGCCAGTACACGCCACCGTACTGCCGCGGCATTTGGCTGCTAGGACAGGGTGTGTTATTTTCCCGTTAAGCACGTTTCTGCTTATTTGCTTATTTGTTTTTTTTCCCCCCCCATTATTGAACAGCAGCAACGTAGCGAAGCCGATCTGGCGGAGAAGCTCGTCAGAGTGGGGTTGGCCTCCGAGCCACGCGACCCCAGGAGTCACTTCTGGAAAGCGGTCAATGTCCCCGGCTCGGTGAGGAAAAGAGGGATCTGGCAGCGGTTGTGAGAAAGGAAAAAGCATTCATTTTATGGTGCGGCGTCGAGCCGCCGAAGGTACAAATAACAATTTGACGCAAAAAGACTAGAGCCACAAAGCAGGACAAAAAGTAGAATCCACAAGGCAGTTGAAGAAAAAAGGAACTTCTGGTCATTTTCAGAGCCGAGCATATTGTGATTTGGTGTTGGCTGCGTGATCAGACGTGCGAGGTTTGGGAAGAGAAGGTGGCAGGAAGACGAGACTCAACCGGTCACATCTAGCGGGGGGAACTGCCAACAGTGACAGGACATTAATCAACCGCTCACATGTAAGCTTCCACATACCCAATTACAGGAGGTTTGTGCACAGACCCCACGTAGCAGAGGCTTGCACGTGCACTCGTCAGTCAAAAGGTTCAAGCCTCTATTCACAAGCCAGGGGGCCTTTTTCTGCTGGCAAACGTAAAAAAAAAAAAACGGGGGTTCTTAGAAGATAAACACAGTTAGAAGATTTGATTTCGTCGGCAGCACACAAAGGAAACCGGGACCATTAGGGAATATTCTAAACATCAAGTCATACGAGATTCAATCGCATCCAGCTCTTCAGAGGAGTGCGTCTGATCAGCAGCGACAAAAGACGCCGCCGGAGTGGCGCGGGGACAAAGACATCTCCCCGAGTGTTGCACACAATAGCACAACTAATCAACGAGAGGAGAGCCGTCAATAGGCTTTATGGACATTGGTCATTCTGCTGCAGTGCAGATGGATTATGGTGATAGGGGGGGAGAGGAAGGGAGAGAGAGAGAGAGGGGGTCATTCCTCATCACTCCCGTCGTCAACCCAGCAGGAGCGCCGCCCGATAATCGAAATCTCTGACGGGGGTCGTCGGGTCGATGAATGTGTTTGTGGGTTGTTCAGGTGGTTGCATCGAGGAAAAGAAAAAAAAAAGAAAAAAAAAGCGGAGCAGCGTTGACAGGAAAACACGTACAAAAAGGTGGAGACCAAACTAAAAAAAGAAAGTGCGCCGTGATATGAAGCAAAGCAGAAGGCAGCAGCGGATAGGGGGGGTTTGTGCGCAAGCTTTCAGCGCTGAGATTGGTTCTGTGCATCGCAAACAACAGACGCCGCTCACTCCTGACCTGCGCTTGAGGCCCTCATCAACCATCAGTTCTCCAGAGTGCCGCTGGGTGAAGGAGGCCGTCCCTCGTTTCCCATCATTCCCCCGGACCTGTGGTCAGCTTCATTGCCGCGGGCCAACTGACTATGACTCCTTTTCTATGCACCAAAGTCCACGTTGAACCCAGCAGCAAGACCAGGACTTTTTCAGATTTTTAGTGAGTCTTATTTTTCTTTTCTACACTTACTTTGTTCAGATGGAGTTGACCTTTGCGATCAATAGCGTCTGCTGTTGTTCTGGAAACCCCACAACAAATACTTCAATCCACCACTATGGTTATAATATTGCAAGGCCAGGTTATGTACTTGGCCTTAGTTCAGCAACTGTAATGACTTGGCAGGATTTTAAACATTAAAAGCAAGACACCGTCACCCTTTCCTCAGAAAGGAGGTAGTATCGTAGTGATGACGTCCAAAACTTTATAGTATTTAGTTATAGTTAAACCATTTATCTAGTTATCAAGTAAGTTGAGAAATAAGCAATTGACATACTGTTATGAAGACATGTTGGCGATCAGTAGATCAAGCACACTTATTATTATTATCATTATAAGCACATTTATTATGATAAATTTGGACTCACTTGGCAAATCCAATTCCCATATTCCCTTTATGTCTGTTCTGCCCTCCAACTACTCCTGAGGGATCCGTCTCTTTAGCTGCTAGATTCTCGATTATATTCACCAGCTGCTCCCTAACTTTGGATGTCGGCTGTTTGGCGCGATTGAGTAGTGTTCTGTGGCTTTAACAGCTGACTGCTGCTGAAAAACAACATTAAGAGTAAATGAAAAACATACACTCCGGTGTGTAAAACTGTTTCCACACAATTCAAAAGAGTTTTGAAGTATGCGTTTCTCTTCGAGGCAGCGGAGCCCCGTGTGTAAGCGCCACTCACGTCTGCGCTTGGCCGAGATTACTGTGACTTCTTCACCTCACTGGCACCAGTTGAAAGGGAAGTATAAGAGATAGCGTATTTAAAAGGCTCTTAATGGGAAAAAAAATCTCACAATAGTGGTGCAGACGTCTATTCTGAATGCAGAGCACACGTTGTAAAAGGGGGAAAGAGGAGAAATAGCCGTTCATTTGTGAAGGTCGACCCAACTGCAAGTCGCAATTCATGTGGAGATGAGGTGAATGCACGATTCCTCGCCGCGATCCTGCCTATCCGTCCTGCTGCCGTTGGCGGTGGCCCTGACGCACACCGAGGCCAGCAGCCACTTGCATTTCACACCCAAGAGCCGTCACGGCGGAAACGACACAGAGACATCTGTTGGTGGAGGGTGTACATAACTGTCCGTGTCCGTGGACACACTTTGAATAACAAAGACACGGGAGCTAAAATCAAATGTTCAACTCATGGGGTTTAGATTCTCCCCAGGTGACCTTGATGTTTCGGGGGGGGGCTCTTACCTGGTGGATTATCTCGGACACTGGCAGCTGGTCCACATATGAATAAGACTCTTTTTGCAGATCTTCATTCACGAAACTGAAAGAGAAAATACAAAACAGCACTCTGTTAGCATTTACCTGGAGAATGTTGCAGTCCAGAGTCAAGAGCAAGTAGAGCCCCAAACTGCCAGACCTCCACAACTACCCACAATGCACTTTTTTTTTGAACAACAACAAAGCAATAGGGCATCATCTTGGTGGCTCTTTCCCAGTGTAAAGAAATACAAGCCCTGCTTTGTGCTTCTGCTTTGTCTCTTTCTCCGGCATCATCTGAATCCACCTAAAAACACATTGGAAAACGGTTTCTTCAGGACAGTTAGTAATAACACAACTTCATCTAAAAGGCGCTGCACTTACAGATATTTAGCGTTGCTCGTGATGGGCTGTACACTAACTCTGAAGTGTAAAAGCAGCGATTTAAGTCGTCCATGAGCAGCAGCAAGGTGAAATATTATTAAGTGGTGTGGTTAGAATAAGGCTTTAAGAGGCACTTCACAAACGATTATCTTTAAATTCAGTCATCTCACGTAAATACAACTTATGACTACAAAAAACGAACAGTAATATTTGCAGAAGGGCACAATGGCGTTTCTTCATTCTGAGGAAAAGGAATGGCTTCCTGGTTCATGGACACGTGAAAGGTAACCGATAGACAGATTGTTAATGTGAGACTAGACGTATTAAACCTGTGACCTTTTGAGACACAGGACTGGTTATCCGGTCGCGGAGCCTTACTGCTGCCATTGTTGTCCAAAAGCTATTATAAAAAGGCGTTAATGAGCCACACTTGGTTCCCTGGTCCATCATTATAATTCCGATGAGGACAGGGACTGTAATTAATTTTGAGTGAACCCCAGACACCATGCTGCTGCTGTAAATACTCACTAGAGCACCAACTCTGCATCTGAAGATAGCTGGCCACTGTGGTGTTGCGGCCGCACTGTGTTACGCTAAATCCTGAGCTGTTTTTAACAGATGTAACTTTGTGTTTCTTTAATTTTTTTTCTAGAAGAATTCCATACTTTCATACTACTGGAATGATCATTTTCTGTCTCAATAGGAAAGAGTTAAAACACACAATCAACCTATTGCATCAATTGAGAACCACACCAATTGTGACATTTTTAAATGTTTGTACCTTTCTGTGCATCTTTTTTGAGACCAAGTTTGTCTCATCACAGGCGCGGGCGCACGCACACGTGCACGCACACACACAAAAAGGAAACGCTCGGCTGAAGGTCGCGGTGGAGTGGAGGTTTGATGAGAGGCCGTCTTTGGTTAATGAAAGAAAGTTCAGGTCAGACAGCTGCTGACAAAGGGGTCCACATCCCACAGTGAGCCACCGCTTGCTGTGTGAAGCAACCACTCTCCTTTTTCTCTTCTTTCTTTCCTCCTAGTTACTTTTGTTCAAATTGTGAAGGAAACTGTCCTAGCTGGCAGGCAGAGATTTCCCCCACTTTTACCTTCGCTTAAGAGATGAACTCTAATTGGATTTAAACCATTTTCCACTTTTTACAACGTAAAGAGACATTTTGGGAGAGGATTTTTCAATCCACTTAGCTTATTCTAATGGATTTGACTTAACCTCCACTAACTCTAGCTCCGGTGTCACTGCTGCCACAGGCTGCCGTCTTTAGGTCAAACAAATTTCTTTTTAACATCTGCTCTACTCGCGACACGAGTCGATTTTGTGGGTCCGTCCAGCGCTGCAGGTTACACATTGCATACAGATACTTTATTACTGAAACTGAGCCTCTGCTTGATAATTGATATTTTCCTTGGAGTCACAACATGACGTTTTGGTCAACAAGTACAAATGGCTTCAAGTGAGTAAGTACACAATATCATTATACAGTTAAGCCCGTGTATAATGAAGAGGATTGAGGGGGTCCATTAAAACGTCTCCTCAATCAAGAGCAATTCACTTAATAGAAGAGCTTGTTCTGAGGGAAAAAGCAGCCGTTTAGAAAAGGTTGAGAGGAGAGAATAAATCAGGGGTGCAAGAAAATGACTTGCAAGAGACTCACACGTGTAACAATCTTCTTTAAATATCCGGCGCAACTCACCTGAGTGACCCAGATGAGCTCATAATAATGAATTGGGCTGGAACATACAATTATTTTCATTACTGATAATACTCAGATTAGTTCCCAATTAACTGATTGTGAAACGGATTAAGTAATAAATGCACATTATGATTAAAGCCTGGGGGGGGGATTGAAGTTTTATTTCTGCTTTTACCTGTAATTTAAATCCTTAGATTTGTGCATTAAGCTGGATTTTCTGTTATTGAATTTCATCAGCTTGGTACATAGTTTCATTGTCGTGTTGTCGTCGTGTTGTAACAACATAAATCTTGTTAACAACAACAAGCCATCAACTCATATCACAAGGCTGTCACCTTGAAAACTCCAATTCTGAAATGATTCGCACGACACCTTTAAATTACATTTGATAAGCAGCATGCCGTTTTTTTTTCCAGCAGAACAACATCCTTGTATACTAAACTCAATTCACACTATTCCATTACCCACCTCCCCTTATTGATCTCACCCCAACAGTTAATGATAATGTCACCCTTGAATGTGACAGACCAAATGACGGAAAGCGTCGTTAGCCTCAATAATATCTAACTTTCACAATAGTGTCTTTTATCATCCCTCAAAGCAGAAAGGTGCTACTAGTGCTTCGCTGCATCACTGAGCTTGGTTCCATTAAACATCAAATGAGTTTGGGGATTGCTGCTTTCTTACATCAGAATTGGAGATAGAACGTCACCCTCCAAGACTGAATTAGGGCAACGGCTCGATAACGCTTGTGGTGTGTTTCTGGCTGGCATCGGTGATCAGCCAACGTAATGTGTTGAGCCTGATCAATAATAAAGTAATAGGAGGAGTCGTGTGAAATGACTAACCAGCCTAAGGCCAAAACAGTTGATGACCAAAATCGGTATGGCAATTGCCTCTAATTACTAATTAGCAGCCAAACACATTAGAATATTTCACTAGAACACCTCCCAGTGGTTTAATTAAATCCCATCATAAATTAAATTAATAGAAGAGGGGAGCATAATCAGGAAGAGGATTAAGTTTCTTTCATATCTATTTGTATTGCTCTGCAATCTTTTCCTTACTCGCACCCCAATGAGTGTATGGAGGTCTGTTTGCATTTTGGTGCATAAGCAGTGAGTTTTCCTAAAACATCAGGTCATCGTCCTTATTTATAGGATTAGCGTGTCTGGGAATTAATATGAGCTGGTCAACAATATGTCACCAGGCACAGAGGATGCTTGAGTTATTTTGCAGTCGCTGGTACAGTTGGTGAATCATCCTGAACATTTTCAAAGCAGTGAGTGCTTTTCTCAAAACAATTTGTAAAAACTGCACCCCATCAGGAAATAACTGCATACGCTTGGCACAACAAGAATTGTTAGTACATCCCTCAAACGTTAGTTTGCAGGTCAATAAACATTTCAGTGTCGTTGTTGGAAAATAAGCCCCAACGCTTAGCCGAGCAGTATTTTGTGATGTACTGTGTGGCTACGGTTTTGATGGCAGTGATGAAATACATACGGCATAGATCAATTTAAGCAGTACAGAATTAAACGTAACTGCCTAAGTGGGAAAAAGGATTACATGAGATTGTGGACAAGATTCACCGTTTGTAATAGTTCATCTGTTGATGACAATCTGGTTCAATTGTTGGGTGTGGAATGACTTCCGCAATGAACTAACAGTAAGACAGGTTAAGAATTTAAAAAAGGGAACCAGTACATACATACATTTTGATCAGCGTGTGGTAACGTAGTAAAAAGACAATTGTAGATAAACATTTACATTTACAATGGATCAAAGCATTTGCAATTTCTTCAAAAGAAATTTAAAATGCCGGGATGATGTGCACATGACGTCGAGGTGGAATCACAATCTTTGAGAGCTGCAAATTATAAGAAAACTTAAGACTTTGACAGCTCTCTGCAGACATCTAGTGGACAAACGGTTTTATCACATGATGCATTAAACTGATGCTGATTCAATGTGGATGCATTCCGTTTGGTAAACGCAGGGTGGCGCCACAGATGATCTATCAGCGACCCTGCTACTCACTCAATGGCTCTCATGAAGAGTTACTAAACTATAGCCTTAAGCCAAATGAACTACACTTCGCTGTGAAATAGAGGAATAATGGTTATAAATAATATCTAAATCAGCTGTATGTTTATTTCAATAATGTTATTGGTTCGCCTTAAAAACAAAGCCACCTGTCGGGTAGTCATAGCAACGTCCACCTCGTCTGCTGGAGACAAACCACTCAACATGACATTAGCAGAGAAATCAATTGCACTAACGGGAGACGTTTTAAATAAAAATCGAAGTCCAACTAATTCCGCTCGCAGGCCTTCAATTAAAACCAAGAGGCTGACCTCAATTAAGGTTTTTTCTCCTCCACCTTTCTTTACAGCTATTGCAATATCGTAGAGAAAACTGCAGGTAAACATTACAACTTCATTTTGTACTTGGCAACTTTGCTTTGGCATTCCATCCAGATGATCTAAATAACTGCAAATACAAATACACCAATGACAAAAACAATCGAACTCCGCTTACTTTTGCTCCACCTGCTCAATGGGGTCGGTCAAGTTGACGGTTTCCATGGTGATTTCGACTTTGCGCACACTACCAAAGAAATCTGTTATGAGGGCACTTCCGGGGTCCCTCAGGAAGAGATCAGTACGGTGGCCCGGGGTGGACACACACTGACTCTTGGGACACACTTTGAACTGTGGAAGCAGATAAAATACGAGCAGTTTGTTAGCAAAATGTAACTTTGTGAAACACAGAGCTCACAAAACAAGCAAAACAAATAAGACTAATCTACGTAGGCAAGTACCTACTCATGCTGCCGTCAGGATATTTAGCATTAATCTGTAGTAGAACCACAGATAATAAACAGGTGCCTCTTGTGGCTGAAACTGCATAGAGATGTAAAAAAAAAAAAAAAATTTAAAAAGGAGTGTGGAGAAGATTAGAGGCAAAGCACATTATTAGTGCAAGTCATTGTTGATACACATCTTCCTGCTCCTGCTTTACCACTTGTGGTGGGGTTAATCCTCTTAAGTATGTGATTCATCGGTGTGTTGTCCATTTGGAGAAAAAAAAATAGAAAGAAAGGAACAGAATCCGTTAAACCGAGGTAAACATTATCTATCAGCCAGAAGGAACTAGAAAAGCACACAAGTGGTGAAGGCTTTTGTTGGGACCCTTGTATCAAAGGGTAAGCATTTGCACACTGGATTAAAATGGAAAACTTAAGTTTATACGGACAATCCATAGAATGGATCTTTAATCCCGCTAAATAACAACAAAGAACAAAGGGTGCATCCCCAGAGATAGCGTTGCAAAGAATAACGATTATCAGATGGAGCACTTCGATCGAGCTCAGACGGAGAGCAGCAGTAAGGATTCAAGGTGTTTGGATTGCATCTCCTGATGAGGTGGGGTTGAGTGATCTCTGCAGCCAGTCGATCTCTGCAGGAGTGTAAGAGATGAAAAGGGTGCTGCTGAGACATGGCCCATAGCAGCGTGTACTCTCCTTCAGCACAATCATTATTATTATTATTATTATGTCTTAAAGGCCAGCACCCTCAGCACCGTATCAAGACGTTCTGCTTCAAGTGCAGACTTTCATCTGGCTCCTTTCAGACTGGAAACATTATAACATTAGACAAATACTTTCATAGCAACCGAGTTGACCCCGTCTAGTCAGTCCTTTGACTACTTTAGAAATAATTATATGAAGGTTAATAAAAAAATAATTTCCAATTATCTTTCGAGTTTACCAGTTAATGCTAATCATTAGGGAAAAGGCAATATTAGCAATTTCTCAAAAACCGAATTGTATTTAACCAAAATCCAATTATAAATCAAGTAAGTGCTTACAGATGTCGAAGAGCTAAAATCATCACGCTGGAGAAGTTGATTCAGTGAATGTTTGGCTACAGAGCTGACCTCTAAGCGTGCCTGGCTCACTGAATCAATAAGTCAATCTAATTATCACTCGTTAGCAAGCAATAACATTAAAAAGGTTTTTCATCGATGTGCCTTAAATACTTCCAATTTGGACGAGTTAACAGAAGATTTGAAAGTATATATATAGTTTACAGACTAAATCTATTAATAGAAATGATGTAATTGATAATGAAAAGGTCAGTGGCTGCTGTTCGGCACAGGTGTCCTCTGGGACGTCGCATGCACAAGCACACACGTCCTCACCAGGTCATTCATGTTGGACTTGCTCGCAGGGTGGATGTCTTCCAGGAACTCCAGCAGGTAGAAGGTGTAACGGTCCATCAAATGGACTCCTATGGCCAAATCTGGCTGGTGCTAGAAACAAAAAAAGGAAGCAGAAAATAAAAAATACTAACAAAAGGCAACACCTTTATCAGCACAGTTGCTGGTTGCGTTTTCCTTACCAGTTAAATAATAATTTGCTTTGAATCACTGAAACAAGGCAACAGTAATGTGTCATCTCCTACAAAGAAAATCCGTACCCTCACTACACAAATATGACACCGTGTTATAATTCACTATTATAGCATAGTGGGCTGCTGCCGGCGTCCTCCTGTGTGTAATGGATTCAGTGTCTTTTAATCATTGCTAAGTAGGAGGTGTGGTTGCCAGCGTGACACTTGTTGCCAAATGACAATGACAATCCCACTTCCTGGTTTGTTTGCAAAAGGATCCTGATTGGACTGCAATCAATTCGGATGAAATAAATAGCACCAGCACTAATTGCTGGGTAATACAATTTCTTTTCCACTTTAGCCTAACCCCAAATTAATGAGGCAGAGTGTGTAATGCCAAGTGACATGGGTGTCATTCTGTAACGTGGAGAGGGAACAGAAAGTATTCCTGCGTCACAGTTTAAACGCTAACAAGTCGCTGTGCAGTCTGAACAATTCATGTTCTTCAAGTGTTTATGAGGAGCTATAACAGGGAATCCAAAGTATTTAGGTGATTCATCTTCACAATATTGTCACATTTTACAAGTATTTTTGATACTGCAAATATATTCTTTTAAAGTATTAAAAATATTAAACAAATATCCCATCAATTCACACATTTTAACACACTTGAAGCTCATGTATCGCCATAAAGACTCCAGACTACTAAACCCAAATAGAAACTCCTCTGCTTGATATATTGTAGGTTTTCTATATTATGTTACTTGTATACGAGTGGGTTAATATACTAACCCAGGTGGACTTTTTGATGTTGGAAGTTGTTTCTAAAAAAAGAGCCCTGTCCTGTACGAGCGCTCAACACATACAAACATGGTATAGTGCTTAAAGACTGAGGCTAGAACTACGAGGTATAGAGTGGCACCAGAAGTGAATCACAAAGAAGAAATGGAGATGAAGGATCCAAAATTCCATCCATCCATCGTCAAACCGCTTATCCTGCACACAGGGTCACGGGGGGGCTGGAGTCCATCCCAGCCAACTTCGGGCGATAGACAGGTTACATCCTGGATTGGTCGCCAGCCAATCGCAGGGCTACACAGAGACATACAACCAATCACACTCACATTCACACACCTACGGGCAATTTAAAGTCCCCAATTAACCTGATCCCCAGAGCATGTCTTTGGACTGTGGGAGGAAGCCAGAGAACCCGGAGCGAACCCACGCAGACACGGGGAGAACATGCAGACTCCACACAGAAAGGCCACTGGGCGGAATCGAACCCAGGACCTTCTTGCTGTGAGGCAACAGTGCTAACCACCACGCCACCGTGCCGCCCGGATCCAAAATTCTCCTAATCAAATTAATAGCAGGTCAAAAATATATATATTGTATTCACATTTACAGAAATGGGACTCCTGTTTGGAGAAGCAGTCACAAGGGGAATCAGTCTGCAGATGCAATGTGCTGTATCAAACCACACTGCTTATTAAAGAAAAAACAGACAAGCTGATGGATCCTTTTTAATTTGTCAATGTCCTTGATGATAACTCACCGACAGGGAATCCTCTCCCACTTGACTGCTGGCCAAAGCCATGAGGTTTGGGGAGTAGAACCTTTCATACATGGAGGCCCCTTGGCAAGTGTCAATAATGAAGAGCAACTCATTGTACCTGGTGAGACAGACACAATCATGTACATTCTCAAACAATACTGATGAGAGAATACACAGCTGGCATACCGCTTGTCTATTTGCTCCAATATAACCGGTTATATTACAAACCTTCAAACCATCTTTCATTCTGCAGTTGCCATGGTGACCAAGAAAAACCAACCGCTTCATCCGCTGCCGCTAACACACCAACGCACACAGATTCTCCCTCCCTTGCTCCTGTCCTCCGTCCCCCCTTTCTTCCTCCGTTAGAACAGAAAATGTCCTTTTAACTTATTTCCCGTGTTTAGGCAAACACAATAAGACAGTTATTTCCAGTTGACTAAACTGAGGTGGTTTTCGGAGATGAAGGAAGACAGGGTGGCCAAAGGTGACTGTAATTTGCCAGTTCTAGTCTGTTATTATCACTTCCTCAACAAAGCTGCCGTCACTAGGCTTTTATCAAGCAGCCTGAGGCCTGATTGTAACCTAGATACTCCTTATCGATAGGTTTGGGGGACAAAAGGGAAGCTGGCAGCAGAACAATGCTTTTGCTCAATGAGTGCCTTGCGATGCACGAATTAAAAACCAGCAGCATTAAAAAGCATAAATGTAGTCCATTTATGAAAAGAGAGGGTCGCTCTTTGATAGGAGGAGTCTTCTTGTTGTTACAGGACGCGTTTCATTGACAACTTCATGTTCACAGGCTCACTTTTCCAACTTTCAGACCACCACTGAACTCCTTTGGTTGAAGGTTTTCATATTTGTTAGACTGATTGACACGTTCAACAGGGATATTGACGTGTACGCTGTTGCCATTGACCCTGGGAACACCTGTACATCACGGCAGCAGGAAGAGAGTTTCCATATGTCATACTTTACATACTCTGGACAGTTATGGCCGTCAGGGGGAACAAAAGACTAGTGTCTCTTCACATGGACCTTTTCCATCTCAGTTTTATGTTGTCCTCCGTTTATTTACCTTCTTTTCTGCCACATCTGCTGGAAGGCATCAGCCAGTTCCACATTACTTATCTCCTCAGAGTCCTGGAACTTCAGAAAGCCATTCCCGCCATGGCCTGTTAAACAGACATGTCGTTAGTGGCTCGGCCCTTTCTGCCGCATTGTATTTCGACCCAAACGTCACTGTGAGGGTTTAGCTGAGACAGGGGTTTAGACACAGAAAGGTATTGACATTGCCTGAGCCTTAAAATGAATGTGTCTATCAATGCACATTCCGTACAGAATGAATAATATGAGTGGGAGTATTTGAGGGTGGATTTCTGACCTGTCAAGTATATAAGGATGTTGCTGCGGTCATCGGAGAGAAGGCGCTTTGAGCGAGGAGTGCTGGGTGGAAGCCGGCCGGTCAAAACGCGCAGGAAGTTCTCCACTGTCACCTGAATCATTAGATGGCAACACTTTCCATTACCAAGCATGGATTGGAAAGGATACAGTATGTAATGTGCATCTTCTAGTCCAATGAAAATAGAAAATGGTTTAAGAAGACAGAGTTGACATTGGTTAAATGATGTTCCTCTTTTTACAGGCTCAGATTCTTTATCAATGGAATCACAAAGGTAACTTTTCATCTGCATCTGTTGGGACAGTGAACATTACCTGCTTCACTTATCATTTAATTACACTGAAAGAATCAATCAATCATTCTATTCTTTTTTTTTTTCCCTGCTGAGATTAATCACCTTTTCGTTACCGTTGGACTGCAAACATTCATCGGTAGACCAGTGTTAATTCATATTTAAAAAGAACAGACAAAGCAGAGTAAATAATACGTCACTAACTGTAATAAAGAGAGGAGTTCTGCCTTGTGGTATCGAACAAAACGCTTGGGTTCATATCTATTTCAGAATGCAGATGATATCGAGTCATTTCCTGACGTAAACGCAGAACAAACACTCAAAAAAGACTGTTTACCGTGACCCAACAGAGTGAAATGTGAACCGACCTCATAGCCACGGTAGTCCACCTCCACGTCATCGCCGTACACATTGAGCTCCATGTTTTTGTGGCTGAACACTGTGGCAGGTTTGGGGTTCCGGTGGTTACAAGCCATGTCATCAGCCAGCATGAGAACTATGTGGCTGGGGGGGGAAGACAGTAACAGCGATCATTCAAAGCGAAAAGTTGGAAACTAAGAGAAATGCCTAATGCCCTCCTGTTCACTGTATTATTATTATTATTATGTCACTAAATACCATTAGCGAAATGATTAGATAAATAACAGTATTTTCATTTGGCAGACACTTTTGTCCTTAGCGGCTTGTCCTTCCACATACAACCACAGAAGGAGCAATCAGGGGAGATGTGGAAAGAAAGAGCTCTTGATTGAGCCGCCAATCCTATAATCAAGGGCTGATTACATTTTCATACAATATGTCATCTTATTGTGTGCAGAATCATATGACTCCACCATAATTTTCCCACGGAGAATAATAAACAATGATAATAATAAAAGTCAGTGCACGTGAACAATAAGTAGTGTTTGGCCAGCAGGTGTTTCAGAAGTAAAAAGCCTCATCTTTTTCACGAGAAGAACCCGAGTGCCGCTCCCTTTGTCATTGTACACAAAAATACATCACATTCACTCAGACTGACGACATATTTTGGCCATGGAAGGGAAGGAGACTCAAACTGATTACTGCGATGGCATAACATTTAGGGCCCCCCTATCAGAAGTGTCTACTGTATCCTCAAAACCCCCAGTTCGAGTGTAGAAAGGGGAACATTTGTAACAAGCACTCAATTTGTCTCTCACAATCAACTTCTATCATGACACATAAAAAGATGTTACAGTAAATGCGGTTACCTGTCAGGAATGCCCAGCCTCTTGACACTTCTGTAGACGGACAGCGTGTTGGCAACATGGCGGTAGTTGAACCAGAATCTGGACGTACACACCTGTGTATGAAATACAGCAGGTGTGTTAGGTCGTCAACGTGTTTCTGCTGCCCCCGTTATTAATGCAGCAGACCAATTAGCATGTTAGCGTTAATAATAATCCCAGAATACACACCAGAACGGCCCAGTTGTTTGTGTGACCACTGCTGAAGAACTGGCCTGCGTTCTCCTGAGGAACAAGTGGAGAACGTTTTTTAAAATGTAACGTTAGTTCGGGCTCGTGAAAACCAACACACTACTCAGCAAAACAGGTAGTGTTAGCATGAATGCTAAAGTGGCTAGTATGGGAATGTCTTTACAGGTCAAATCAAACATAAATCAAACCAACTGGCGGGATTCGTGTTGCAGCACGTGGTAGAATATACACTCACCTCAATATTGACACTGTTAGCCGATAAATGTGTGGCTAATAAGCTCAGTAAACCTAGTATTTTCATTGTGCAGCACTGTTAGCTGAGTGCATCAAGGAAGTGAAAACCGGCGACTCCGCCCTGTAGGTGCTTCCGGTAAGAGGCATTTCAAAATAAAGGCAACGATAAGGAGTATTCGAGTGGGAAAAAAAACATTAAATTATATTGTAAACAGAAAGCAAAAAGGGAAGGTCTCAGTAAGCTGCTTGATATCCTTTAGGTCTTCAGGTGTACACGCCATACATCCTCCCCACTTTACGGAAAGTGTGAGGTAGTACTGCGTTTTCTAATCTTCATGCAGGGGAGAAATACAAATATAAATATCACATAGGTTTCATTTACAGTACATGCAAAGCACGAATTACACACATACTAGTTGTAATCACTATTCTGCGAAAGTAGATTATTTTACCATCCTCATTTTGCTATGAAAATGTACTTATAATCATGCATGCTTAGAGAGAACTAAAACTATATTGAGGAAAAAGTATACAATTATTTATATTGTTGTACCATTGACCCACCAATGATAACCCACCATTTGTGGGTTATCATTAAATGAGCAGAGTTGTTGTGGGAGGGAGCTTTAAAGATTAAATCAAGAACAACAAAAGCAAAAGCAAAATACCAAAGAAAAATATTTGGTATTGTAATGTCTCCATTCAGTTCCCTTTAGGTTTTGTGATAACATTTTTATTTCTGAACCGTTCATTATTGAGTTCCCAAATGTCCCAGAGCTAGTTAAACCATGTGTTTACCTCGTGACCTTCATTAATGGGCATGGTGGCTTTTTCTGCACGTTTCCTTGTGGCATTGTGATGATTATTGTTTGGTGTTGTGGTTTCTTTTGCTATATGTGGCATGTGAAGGGACAGCATGTCCTATTCCGTCTATTATTATTTGGATTAAAAAGATTAGCCATCAAGTGATGCTGTCAGTTTCATATCCAAATGCCTGCAGTTAATCGGTTAAGGGCTCTTATCCGAAGTGGCATGTGCATCACAGGCAGCAGATGTCAAATGTCATGTAACAGCTGAAAGAGTTCAAGTGTCTGAGAGCCCTGCAGCACGAACAATGAAAAAAATATCCTTCATACATAACATATAATGCAAGTGAATGGTCTGTTTGAAAAGAAACTTCAAATTGCCTTTACAGATCGTCCAACACGTCAGTACTCCAGACTTTTCTTGCTTCTGCTGTTTCTTGACCTGCAGCGACACAAAATCAATGCCCTCTCCAAATGTATTACATTAGAAAATAGAAGAAAAACACATGTCATTGACCTAACTCACTTGTCAAGAGGATTAAGATTCAGAGGTAGTAAGAAAAGAAAGAAAGAGCAGAAATATAAAGCAATGACCAGGAGACACCCGGAAGGACTAGTGAAAGGTAACCGATAACTCAGTCCATATTCTTTCGCCATTTCTCAATGCCATTTATGTGCGTTAATGTATAAACATATCCCACAGATTTACAGCCTGAGTGTCACGGTGTGAAACACGTCTCGTGGAGGCGGTGGGCGCGTTATTTGGCGAAGCGCGGAACCTCTGTGCCAACGTCAGGGCGCACATGGTGCGCGCTGGAAGCAGAGCGCTGTGGGAGGGAGGACGGATGAGCCACGCATCCGCATCACCGAAAAAGAGGGTGGCGCGGTGGCATCGCCTGCAGGAATCCAGTTGTAAAGTCCTCACACGAGGCAAATATGCGCTGAGGGTCCGGAGACCCAGTTGAGCACCACGCGGCACTGAGACATCGGAAGAAGCGTGAAACGAAAGCTCCGAACAAGTTGTGATTTCTGAAGGAAATCCGGCTGGAGATGAATACCAACGATGCCAAGGAGTATCTCGCACGACGGGAGATACCCCAACTATTTGAGGTGAGAGATGGCGTGCGCTTTGCGGGATGAGGCGATACTTGCGGGTTTGAGGCGCGGCGAGGATTGGTGTTACTTATCGATGACTGTCAGAGTGACGGCAAAGATCTCTTTATGAAACATGGCGAGATGGAGGTTTGAACGAGGAGAGAAACGCTGCTTCATTTGTTTTTTATGGAAATAATCACACATAAGCTTCATAAGGCAGTCCTCTTCACCGGTGCATCATTTAAAAAGGAATTTGTCGTAATTATTATCATAATAAATAATTCTCCGGTGGAGATTGCATTCTTTTGTCATTGATTTTTTTTTCAATTACCAGAACACTAAAAGTCCACCTTTGGATTTTTGAAGGAAAATTATTTAACACTTTTATAATGAACATTGGTTGGGGGTAACCAAAATTATATAAATGATGACAAGGTGCTTACAAAATTAACTGAAACTTATATTAAAAGACAGACAGCAAATACTCGTTATTAGGCAGCACAGACAGAAATATAAGTATTCATTATTTCCGAGGGGATGGAAAATTGTCTCATCCACTTAATTAGACTCAATCCTAGTGCAGTTAATGTATGCAAGCAATCATGCTTGTTTATTTACAGCTGCAGTTCATAGCAGTGAAGTGACACATCACTATCATCATTAACTGCGCTGTGATTTGACTGCTTCTCATTTCAACATGTATTCATTATCAGCTCGCAGATCCAATTGTTTTTGGCTGGGAGATGCTTTAATTGTGTTTTCATGCCGCTGCGGGAGGATGGAGATGGAAGTCTCCGGTGAAGCTATTGTTTGAGAGCGCTCAGCGTTGAGGGGGCAAATGTCACACAAACACACACTTGTTGTGAGTTGTGTTTCCGGCGTTCTCACATTCATCACAGTGGTTTGGCTTTCCACCTAGATAATATCATCCCAAATGAAAACACAGGCGTCCTCATGACCTCGATCCGATTTCATGGGCTTCTGACAAAACAAGATGTTTTGTTTTCCGTTGGTGGAGCCGGGGCCGAGACGGGGCAACCAAAATTTGCACTTCAAAACTGCCCCCCGTTTCCGCCACAGGACATCATGTTTTGACACAGACGTGGAGATGCCAGAAAAAAACCCATTCTATCGTTCTTCTCCCACCTCCATGTTTTCTCCAGAGCCTGCTGACAGGCTTGATGTATTACCGGCCCGATGACCCCATCGACTACTTGGAAGGCTGTCTGATCAAGGCCCGGGAGCTCGGAGGACCAGATAAGGTGCGGTGGGATACCTTCGTGGGACAGGATAAGAAGTCCCTTCCGCCTCTCAACGGCGGGCAATCACGCAGGTCCCTCTTCAGAAATGGTGAGCAGCACTCCAAGCACGTCGGAGCTCAGGCTCCGTTAGGTGAATCGCTCGACTGGTCGGGCAACAGGAAAATTCCTCTGCAACAAGTTTGACACCAAATAACCGTTAAATGGGGAGATTTAAAAAAGAAAATTGCGATGTATTTGCGACACCTGATACGATTGTGTAACAAATCCACTGCTTCTTAAATTTTCTGCAACATTTGGTACAAAAAAAAAATCTTGTTCCCGATAATCGTGACATGGTGACAGCTCTATGAAATAATAGATTACGTGATTATTGGAGAGAGTGAAATAACAGATGAATAAAACAGCCATTTGACCTCCTTGACGTTGGCACCAGAACGTCTTCCTCTCCAACACAAATACAAATGGCTCCCAGTATAACCAGGAAAGGGTGGAGACATTTTATTAGCCCCATTGTAGAAAGTTGTGCAACCCTTGCATATAGGAACAGCTTTCAGATTGTTATGAGATAGGAAACTTTTTTTCCTGCAGTGCAGCTGCGTGCATTGATACGCTCGGATGAATTTAGTTTCCCAAAAAGCGCAGGAAGCATTTGTTGAGACACCAGAGGACTCACAAACACACCGTAATACAAAGTTCAAAAGCAAACCCGGCTGCGGCTCCCAAAGCCGTCAAACTGTCATGTGCAAAAAACAGAATCCAGTGTGCAGATCTTTGTCTCGAACACGCCTGCGCTGCCTTCACTGTGGCAGCCCGATACGGCGCGGTGAAAGACAGTTGAACATGCGTATCGTAGTAGATCATTCACATGGGCACAACAAACAACTCACTCACTCAGGCATCGCTCTTTGCGACTGTGGTTTGCAGCAGGTTTTACAAATGTAGGAAGATGCAAAACTTATTTTGCATCTACAGAGCAACATTGACAATGGGTCTCACAGGCTAATTCCATCTTCTGTTCGTGCTGCTTTATAATGTTTGTGAGGAGATGATGACATCAGTCGTGTGTGTGTATGGGTGCGTTTGCGTTTCTGCTCTGATCTCGTAAACTGCTGAACTACACTGCAGACAGATTTTGGGGGCTCAAATACTCAACGACCTCTGATTGTTGCATCTACTCGCTTTCTCAAAAGAGCTTTAAATAATTTGATGCTGCCCCTTGATTGAATATTATCTGCGGGCTCCTCACTTGCTGCTCCAGGCCTGTACCGGGGGGGCTGTTTGGTCACTTTCAGTATTTTGAACTATATGTTCGGCACACACATACACACACACACACACACACACACACTGCTGACTGCATTGTTGCCATTCAGATGCCGCTGGGCAGAGAGAGAGAGAGACATAGTTGTTCTTTGCCTTTTTATTGGGCATCGACACACTTTAAGTCCCAGTTTGGATTGTGAGACAAAGCTGAGACGCACACCTGCACAGATGTGCTGCAGACAAACGCGTCTGAAACGGAGTTTGAAGGCAGTTTAACCAATATTGGGCCGGGCCTTCAGTGAAATATTACTCCTTTCTACCGTGGTGAGGTCTATTTTAAATTTAAACGTCTTTGTTTAATGGGTGATAGCGGAGCAGCAATGACAACAATAACTACCATGATAGAATAAAGGACACGTTTGTGTGGTTTAAAAGAAAAGCTCACAGGCATGAACCTCAATCACAGTAATAATGCAGATGTGAACTGCTGTTTTTTAAATCAACTTTGCGGAGGGAGCAGAATGCTTTGTGAAATTCTGATGACGCCCAATTAGATCCCTGAAAGATGCCATCTGCCGCTTTTAGCCACTGGCAACTGCAGACAAATCAGGGATAGCATTCCCTTTCATTTGCAGCATTCTATGCGTTTGAGTGAATTAGCGTCTCTGTTGCCTTAAATTGAAAGGAAAAATCTCTTTGTATCTCTGCGACGTGTATTGTCATTAGTGAAAATGATCCATTTTCTCACTCATAGTATAAAGTAAAGAGATAATGTTTATTCTGCATTTAAATCAAAGCAGCTCTGCTCCCTTTAAAGAGCAAGCGATGAGGATTTCTTGAATAACTCTTTGAATTCGTCATATGTTGCTTTCAGCGATTTAGAAAATGTACTGTTTCATTGTCAACGTAAGCATGAACTATTTTATTTTTTGTGTTGAAATGATTTGTAGTGTGACAAGTGCACAACATACTTACTTAAGAAATCCAACTTGAATGGAATACTCTGTTACTTGTTTCTCATCTATACATCTGTATATGTGTGTGCGTGTGTGTGTTACAGTGATGCCCGACAGTCCCAACTTCCCCTACAGGCGGTACGACCGCCTCCCTCCCATCAGCCAGTTTTCCATCGAGAGCGACTCAGACCTGTCAGAGACGGCGGAGCTGATAGAGGAGTACGAGGTGTTTGATCCATCCAGACCGCGACCCAAAGTCATCCTCGTCATCGGTGAAGGACCAGTGCACCCGACCAACACACACACACACACACACACACACACACACACACACACACACACACACACACGCACACGTTAAAGCTAGAAACATCTGTGACCTGACACAGCAGCAGCGTGAGGAAGCTTTAGATTCGAAGCTGTTCACGTGGACTCCTGCTGACCCATGTCGAAAGCCGACCTTTCACATAAAATATAAAAACATTTATATTTGTGCATGTGTGTGTGTGTGTGCGCGCATGTGTGTGTGCACTAGCTTTGTGTTCTTCCTGGTATTTCAAAGAGTAGCCCCGCCTCCCCCTGCTGGTATCAGCGGGGTAGATCTCGTTGCATGTCACTGACTGCAGACACTCCCGCTCTCCTAATCTGGTTTCCTTGATGGGGCCTGCATTGACCTGTCAAAGAGATGCATTAATCCAATGAATTGAGCACAGCAGGAGCACAATAAGAGTAATGGCACAGATTGAGCTGATAGGGATAAAGCCTCTTAAAATCATTTAAGGTTTAAGTAATCAATAAAGAGACCCTTCTGACGCAGTAGTTTTGCACCTCAGCTGTTCGCTCTCTCGCTGTGTTAGTTGGGAGTTGTTTGTCCCCACAGCACAAACGCCATCTCCGATCTCGTCTTCGTGGGAACATTGTGCCCTGTTTTAAGGGCAAAACGGGGATGGCAGCAGCTGTCATCTCTGTGAAGGATCATGGCTAATGTTTTGTCAGTAACGTTGGCAGAGAGAGAGGCGTACCGACACGTGCGGTCAGGAGGAAGCGGGGTCGAACATTACGAAATACTCAGATGTGAGATAAAAGTGCACGTTTGCTGAATACATACTAGACACGCTGATCCCTCTCGCTCCAGCAAAACGTTCACCGTGCCTCTTCAAAAGACAACGTGAAAAGAATAACTTTTCCTTTTCCATAACAAATACTAATCTTAGATGATTAAAATCTGCCTTTTTCTCTCTTTACACAAGTTCAGGCTTTACTTTGGATTCCGGGAAGGACACATTACAATAACTTGACTGTAACTCGGCTGTCTAAAATATACGATGTACTTGAGCTCACCGCTTGCTATTCTAACTACTATTCTGGGAAGCACGCTCCGTTTCCTCATCCCAACAAAACCGTTCCGGGGAGTCAGACCTCAATGGAACAGTTATAACATTTCTGTTATAACAGCAGCATCTCACAGTAAACACAGTGAAAGCAGCTTTTACTGGGACCTATGGAAGCCTTTTACAAACCTTTAGGATGATACTGCAGAACAATTAGGTGGGCAACTTAATTCCAAATGTTCTTTAATTCAACCTTTGGAGGTATTATTACAATCGAATGCGTGAAATCAGGTTGCTGGAGGATGTCAAAGAAAGGGTGTGTGTTTTACCAAACATCCAAGCGAAGAGACATCCTCTTCTGTTGCCGCTCCTCTGCACATCCTTCTTCCCGTTGACATACAGAGATAATTAAAAAAGAAAGATTTGGTGGAAAACGTAGGAGGTTCACACACCTGTTTCTCTCATCCACCCCCACATGCCCTTCTCCCCCACGCAAAACACACACGAGCCGCAACACACAGTCACGCAGGGAGAAACACGTAGTCTCAAATGTGCAAATACAAGCAAACACACACACACACACACACATAGAAAGTCTCACGTAGTTAGTGATGTGCCCACGCCAACACCCCCCCCTCCCCCCCCCCCACACACACACACACAAAATGTTTCACACTCACACACACATTTCACACAGACGACAAAATCTCTCCCAAAACATCAACAGCTCTCCCTCTGTGCTTAGGTGGCCCCGGCAGCGGCAAGGGAACACAGAGCCTGAAGATTGCCGAGCGCTACGGCTTCCAGTACATGTCCGTGGGCGAGCTGCTGAGGAAGAAGATGATCCATAACGCCACCAGCAACAGAAAGTGGAGCCTGATTGCTAAAATCATCACCAACGGAGAGTTGGCACCACAGGTAGCGGAGGAAAGGCGACGGAGAGCGCGTGTTGCATGTGTGTGCGGAATAGGGGGGGGAATATGGGACGGAGCGAATCCGGTCGTCTTTATCACCGAGTGTGAGTATGAAAGGACTAATTAGCAGAATCCATACGACAGGCCGGCTGCAGAGAGAGATGCTTCTCTGTTGTATTGGCGTGCTTTGTTTTTAAGGTAATGACTGGGGGAGGAAAATAAGCACAGACGCCCTTGGAAAGAAAAAACGAACACAAGGCCTTTACACTTTGGGTGAAGCGCTTCTATTTTACTGTTATAAAAAAAGAAGTAGATATGTTTTACAGGATTTCCTTTCATAAACCAATTCACCAACAATGATATTTAAAAGGAATTCTGCATGGACATTTTTTGACCTAAAAGGTTATGAAAGGTGACGCAGTTAGATTTGAGACTCGCAATTTGAGGTTAAATATCAAAGGCTTAGTTTGGATTTTTTTAAATGGAGCCGTATGAGATGTTCATCCATCGTCGACGGCGATCGGTGATCTGCACGGCCAAAGGTTTGAGAACCAAAGAGGGGTTCCAGCATGGGAACAAAGCAATAGATGTACTGCTGTTTGAACGGAGGAAGCAGTGAACCGAGGTTAACGGCTGCAGCAACACCTGTAAGTGTTTTGCTCACACTGCTTTGCTCCCTCCAAGGTGTTCTTACCAGCTTTTTCCAGGGTTTTCAACCTGACTCCAGAGGCCTCCCCCAGTGGATGGAGCAGGCTCAACTGGTTGTACGAATGGTCTTTGTCACTGGATAAGGACAACGATCTATATTTCCATACTTAGGTTGCATGATCTTGTTAGGGGGTTTTTCCTGAAGAAGGCTGTGGGATACAGACAAAAGATTATAGAAAAAGATACATTTATTTGAGATTATTTTGCATGCGTTCCCAAAATCAAGAATTCATATTTATTTCCCAAGAGTTTAATATAGAAAATAATTCTTCCGAAGCGCCGATTGCTTATTGTTTGCCCTTCGGGTTCGATTTTATGACGGCAGATCAGGAAGGAAATAGTAGTGATAAAAAACTACTGACGATTTGAAGAGGAAGAGGTCCAATCAGATTGTGATTTGTCACACATATACATGAGCACAGACGCGCACAAATGTATGCTGCAGCCGGAAGATGGACGATAAGAAGGCTCAGTGGTTTATTATCGGTTACAAGGTTGTAAATTCGCTCAAAGTCGCATTACCACCTCCTTCGTTCCATAAATAGTCACGTTTAAGGTAAACTCTTTCTTGTAAGCCTCTTATTCTACAACTCTTATTCTACAACCAAGTCATACGTCACCGATGATTCTTTGATTAAAAGTTCTGGTTCTCGTTGAGAGCTTAAAAGTATCTGGAATGTATCTTTAACAGATTTAAGACAAGTGACTCAGGGTGTCTGGGTACATTTTAATGAAAACACCTGGGGGAGGACTTCGTGCCTGCCAGTCCTTTGCTCCCATCTCCTTGTGAATAATCTTTAATAACTGCCCACCTGATCATTCGCCGTCCTCTCCTCGCCGGTCTGGTACCATCTGGCCGTTCACCAGATGTCAGTCCAACAAACAGTGTGATAAACAACAGAGTGGGCCAAGCTAAAGACACATTAGGTGCGACGAAGTGACTTGTGTGTCTGTTCGGCTTGTCATTTCCTGGCGGATAGTTTAACAAAGCAGAGGAGGATTTGGTTTCATAATGATTCTGTGTGTCATGCTGACAGGAAAAGGCAGAATGCTCCCGTGTAAGAGTCTTGGAGGAGCTTTAATCAGAAGCCCTGATGACACTGTGTAAAATGATTGAATGATGTGTTGAGTTACGTATTACAAATTTACGGCTTCTTTCGTGTGGGTTACTTGGATTTTATTCACTCCCTTATCAATCTAAAGTAAGTTTAATAAGTTTCCTTATTAAAAAAAGCGATTCTTGTGGCCTCGAGGATCTTCTGTAACTCCCCAGCTGTGAAGTCTCATCCGTCTAATTCAAGATCCAGCAAAAACACAGAAATACACCACTGACTCTCTGACAAACGCCACATCAACTTGACGTTCCTGCTGCGAGGTCATATGACTCAGTATTTTTCTGCACTTGTTCCCTCAGAAATCCCACAGGTCTCAACATAAGAGGACCTCGGATGTTTGACTGCCTGGTTTAAAATTAAGACTATTAGAACATTTATAGACTCAGACTGTGGAAAAAAATGTACTGTTATGATGGTTCAGCAAGATCTCCTGTGTGGAAAAGACACACTTATACCTTTCAAAAGAATAGTTGTTTTTACCGCCTTCAAGCTTTACATTGTAGCTGTTAGTAGCTTCTCCATCTCTCCATCAAGACCACACTAAAAGCAAAGCGACAACATTACAACCACATTAATTGTTTTGTGACCTGATTCGAGGGTCAAGCATGAAGCCGACGGCTCAAAGTTCCCTGCTTGACTTTTGACCCTGACAGCAGTGTGGAGCGCCGTGGGGATGATATTGAATATGATCAGACGTGTCATTATTTTCAAGCACCTCTTCAAATAGTAATAATTTGAGTGCACTGTGCAGGGATATTTAGCACAGGAGCAGGACAGGAATGCTAAGTGATACATTACGTTGGAAAGTGGCGGTGCTCTTTAATACATATATATATATATATATATATATATATATATATATATATATATATATATAGTATGTATCCCTCTACCAAATGAATAAATCACATGGGGAGAATTGAATGACATATTTCAGATGCAGCCGATGATTCAGCTGCTGTATGTGTGATGCTATAGTGCTGTAAATATATTGTCTCATCAGTGGTCAGAGAGGATTCTTTGACTAGCATTCCAGCGAGCGAGAGCTCACAGCCGTGCAGTGGATCAGAGATTTGCTTTTTTCATTTTACCTACACTACATTAATCTGTTCGCTGGAATGTAGAAGAGCTTTAACCTCTTTGTGGTGCATCGGGCTGCTGAGTTCCATCTGTGTGTGCAGGGACATTAAACGGCTGTTTTACTCAGCGTTGGTTACAGATGTTATTTTTAGATCAGAGCTCTTGTATCTCAAATCTCATATCGCACGATGCATTCAGCCGCGGGAGAAACATGCTGACCTCCAGCCATTAGGAAGTAATTGATGCTAAACGATGCCGGCACTATCCGGCATTAGGTGCAATCAAGGCAGTTCTTTTCTGCCGCATTTCGATATATTCATGTACAATCAGATGAATGAATTATTCGTTATTAAGGTGTTTTAACTCATCTAACATTGTGATGAATCTGAAAATTGCTTCAAGAAATGAACTGATCTCCTTCTAAACGATTAGAAATCCAACTACAAACATGTTTTTCTTTAGAATTTGTAGCTGAAGAGAGAGAAATCCAACAATCCAACTTTTCCCCTACTAATATGGTAATTTCCTTGTTTATCTATAAGTAACTACGGATCCTTTTGCTTTCCCTGTTTTTCTCAGGAGACAACAATAACTGAGATAAAGCAGAAGATCATGAAGATCCCAGATGCCAATGGTATCGTCATTGACGGGTTTCCTCGAGATGTGGGCCAGGCTTTGTCCTTTGAAGACCAGGTGAGTTCAGGTTTAATTAAATACACAGGATTACCTCTGAAGGCCTTTTTACACTTAGATGCTTGAGTCCATACCAAGGTATCGAGCTGTGAATCACTTTGTCATAGTAGAGAGTTTGTTTTATATAATTGATGACTATAAATTGAGATTGTACGGAGAACTATTTCTATATTATTCTCTTATTGAGAGTATTATATGTCTGATATTGTTCGCATCTGATATATGAGCCATCGACCAGTCAGTTTGTCCAGCTAGCGTTGACATTGACTTACATCTCAAAGGGTTCTGCTCGCTGGTCCTGCAGGTAAATTATTCAAGAGTGAAAATTCTGCGGGTAAATTATTCCGCTGTTCCAGTCGATGCTTCGTGGTGCTGGAGGTAACGACACACTGAGCACGGCCACTGTGCCTTCAGACCGGAGGAATGATTCACCGAGTGTCCTTTGCGAGCCCTGAAATATCTGGTGGGAAATACGGCCGTATTGTTTCTACAAGGTTAGAAACTACAGGCTGCTGGTTTGGGGTGTATCAATTGAGCGCAAATTGAGATTGGCTTCATGATGTGGTAATTTTAGTCTGTATACGATGACTAACATTCAGCAGAGCCGAGCCGATTCACGAGAACGCTGTGCAGGAAATGTGTCTGTTCTCAGATTGTTATTTAGTGTAAATATCAAAACACTTATTAGTGTGGTTGAAACTAGATTGTCCTTATGTTCCATATTCTCCACCATTGGGTGGACTTAAAAAAATTAAATTAGTAATTGATTTTCGCCCCTAAATTTGCTAAGATTTCCCTTGTTTTTGTGTTTTCAATAAATTATTGAGCTATTCAAGTAGCATTAATAAAAATGACTTGAAGAAACGTTGATAAGCTGGAAGTATATGAATGACCTGTTCAGGGTGGTTTGGTCTGCTTGCATGTGCAGTGAAGTGTAAGTTTGTAAGGGAACCTTAGTGCTTCATAGCATTATCCTGCACTCCTACAATTCAATGCTGTTTGCTTTGTGCATATTTATTCACTTTTGCAGCAAGGTTTCTGTCAGTGAGGTTTTCTTCAAGCGAATGATTGCGGTGGGTTTGTATTTCTTAATTACCTGCTAAAAAGGCATTAGTCTGAGTCATAAATGAGAACCTCAGTGTCCCATGGCTTCCAAAATGCTTTGGGAACGATAGTTAGTTTTTACCTAAATCCAAGTTAAAGTACAATAACATCCACACCATCTTTTAAACTCATCTATTGGTGATCAACATGTCCATTATTTACAGATTGTAGCTAATTATTCTATTTCTTTACTTTCATATCCTTTAAGTAGGTCTCAATTTCCTCCGCACTTATATTATTCTAAATAGTCTTGTCCTTTGAATCCTCCTGGCACACCTGCCCTACTGCACAGCAAACGGATGTAGGCATTGTGTCTTTGACTTATAAGGCAAACCACTGTGGACGGCTAACCCTCCATCACGTCTTCGTTACAGCCTCTCGTCTCTCCGGTAATTGTTATGTTCCTTCTCGCTCTCTTTTTGTAAAGAGGCCAAGTCTCGGCTTAATGAGATCTTGTAATGTGGTTTTCTGCTGTGTCAAGATCCACCTCGTCTGACAGCTGATTAGTGCATGTTTTCTCTCTAAAAGCTGCATGAGGAACGGGAGGAAAAAGGGTGATATTTGTGGCTGGCTCGTGTACAGAGAGAGTGGGATTTCAAACAAATGACGACGTTATTATCAGAAACTCCAGCGATTACAAACATGAAGAAGATTACGTGTGAAAATGTTGCCTTTGACACAGTTAGTGACAAACTCACTTACAGGCATTTCCACGTTCAAGGAGCCTGGAAGTCTCGTAATTAAAATGCAGCTTGCATCTCTCATTTTATAAACTGGTTGATTCAATTTTGTAATTAAAATTAAATTCAGCGTAAATATTTCTCGTTTTTTGTGTTGTTGTTATTTTAATCGTTGCCGTAAAGGGATCACCGAAAGGCTGGATGACAGTTTGTAAATGGGCCCCGGGGGATAGATAAGGACCAGAGGAAGTTCACTGGAGATTAAATTACTTAGATAAGACAAGTATACAGTGTTTTTATAACCAAAGGCTCATATTGTTGTTGCTTATTGGACAGGAGACCGCTCATCCACTAATGCACAGATACGGAAGCAGCAGCGTCTTTATTATTATAAAGGAGCTTTTTTGCAGCTTAGGAGCAAAGAAAGGAAATAATAGCTTCATGCTCCCTGCCTTCCTGTTTCAGGTTGATAGTGGAGGCTGGACCATAAGATATCATTGCTCTCCTGCTGTCCAGCCTTTACCGTTCAGATGAATGGTACTGATAAAAATGTTAATTAATTCGTCTAAATTCCCATTACTTATTATCATCAACTTGTGAGCTTTACAAGCAGCAGAAAGCGGTGCCCCATGTGACACCCTGCTACACACAGGTGCCCCCACCTTATTGGTAAGGTTTGGTTCGTGCAGCCTGCAGACGTGCACCACTCAACCTCTTACAGAAGTACTCAACGTTGTTTTCCATCAATATTTGCCTCAAAAAGACAATAAGTGGTAACGGTGAAATATTGTATATTAGCAACAAAACATTGAGGACATTTGAATATGGGGAAAGTGCATTAGTGCAACCATTTAACATGTTTATCATGCAGAGCACGACAGCCAAATTGAATATAGTTGGGTGTACTTTATTGTGCCCCCCTCCGCTTCTGGAACCAACCTAGTTCGCTAATTAACATGTTCACTGAAGTGTACAAACAACAGTTTGGGTTTTTATCTGGTGTTTTGTGCTGGACTATTGACTCTGCGCCAGTTACTTCTGTTTCCCCTGTGCACTCTCGTAGTGATAATTTCATCTAACTGATGCCCAGATTAGCTCAAAGTAAAAACAGAAAATAGAAGAGATACCAACCAGCAACTCAAAATGGCAAAACATTAGGTATTTACGTTATTGCAGCTGGATGAAGGTACAATTTATTTTGTTATAACTTTAGAAAGTCATTTCCATGTCATTTTTGGTGGACGTGCTTTACTTGTCCATCTACACATAGTAATGTCAAATATGTAACTGGTTTTTTAGGATTGAGGAAATGTTACAGATTATTCTTCTGTGATTACATATACACTTATGAACACTTACAAATGTGCATAGTTCTATAAATAGAAACCAGTTACAGTTCAGAAGAACAGATCAAATATTAACAGATATCCTTTTTTCTCCTTATACGCTCTCACTGAATCTTTTTTAGATCTGTTTCATTCCACTTTGTGCACATTTTGTTACTTTCTTATGTGGATTTGATGTTGATATTTTACTGGTGATCGAGACTAAAGAACGCAAGTATATTTCCCCCGTGTAGCTTGTAATGCATCACTTTTCTTCTTAGAACATCTTTAGTGATCTCTAAAGATCTCTCTGCATGCAGAAGCTCTCATAGCGAAGGCAGAACAAAGACATTTCTGATGTGTCCTCACGCTGCACTTTGTGGTTGTTTTTTTTAATTATTATTACAATGTTTTTAAAAATAGCAGCAACACCTTCTGTTATCTTCAATTAACTATGCCAGATATAACATCTATTATAATACAATAATATTATAGTTTGTATTATCTACTGAAGGAACATTGCATTTGATTACTTTATTTTGTGTTGTATTCACATAAACTGACTGATGCACATCAAGTAGATGTTTTATATTTCAGAGAAGAGGTTTTGGGGACCCCATGCCATCCTCATACAGCTTCATAGCTTTTTTTTTTTAGAAAGCCAGTCTTGGCTTTAAAATATTCCTGCACGTTTTTCTATGAAGTTGGTCGAGCTTTAATACACATGGTTGAAGCGCAAACCAGTAACTCTTGAGAGCTTCACTCCCCAGAATATCCACAGAGGCCTTCAAGGGGTTAAATCTGAGTAGTTCATTGAATTTCAAAATGAATCTCAAACACACCCGCTGCTTCCTGAAGCATCGTGCATTTATATTCTAGAAGGTTCATTGTTTTATTTTGCATCCCTTATTCCCGAGCAGCCTCTGAGGACCTGCAGCATCCGTTGTGATCAGTCTCCCACCATCCCATGCTGCTACTTTGCCCTTTGCAACATCACAGGAGCCATTTATGTGCTTCTCCCGTGAGGCACCACTCCTGTTTATAGGGGCCCAGGGAGACCGTCTGACCCTCTATTCTCCCATACAGGCTTTCTAAATCCACTCCTATCGAATGCGAAGATGTCATTCGGTCTATTCATGCCTGTCAATTTAACTGCACGCAGACCTTTCAATTTGGGCAACTGATCAATCGTAGTCTTAGTCACTTATTGCTGAAAATGACCAAACGTGCTTTGGGTTCTGCCACTCAAATATGAGGATTTGGTAAATATGGTTGTAGTTTCAAAGTCTTGAAAAAACAAGCAAATTGGACTGTTCTGTGACATTTGACAGGTCAGTCAAACATAAAATCGAGACTGTATTTATAATGAAAATAATTGTAACACAAAGCCAATTGGCTTAGTGACTGGTTTGCAGCTTGTAGCTCTTATCTTTTAAGTAATCATGGCTTTAACAAAGGAGAGTAGCAGCTACGTGACTTTGGATGTTCAGTGGAGACCATAACTCTTACAGAGGGAAGAGAACATTCAGCTTTGGGAGGAAATACTTACTGTATACCGCAAGTGCAGTTGGTTTAATCTACTGTCTTCTGTGAGACTGAAATTCCTGCAGGTTTACGAAGGTAAATTGCAAAGACAGCAGTGTTACATAATTCTAATTTTAGAAAGCTTGCGACGTTTTCATGCTTTGTAAGAAAACGTCTCTCCTTTAATATTGAGGACATTGAGCCACCTGGATAGATACGGACTAAGAGTGAGCATTAAAAGCGTGATGGTGACATTTACAAAAATCTGCGCTGGTTAACGTTGGTCATCGGACTCTTTTCACTTTCTTTTGGGAAATTAGTCACTAAAAAACCCTCAACCAAAGTATGGATTAAAGGTAGGATTATAAAATATAAACGCCACTGTTACTGCACCAGTGCCTGTTTAGAAAGTGTTGAAATAATCTGAAACTAATTTAATTAGTTGAGAAAACAAACCTGCAACTATAAAGTAAGTTTCAATTCTCCACTCACTTTTTTATTTCCTTATGCTGTAAAAAATGGACGATTAAATCAATTTGAAGATGTCCCCTTGAGCCTCGTGAAATTGTAATGACAGCTTAGTCAAACATTTACTGTGGATTAATTGATAATGAAAAAACTGTTCCCCAGACCCAGCTGCCTGCTTAGAATGAATACATGCCCATAAACCCTGAAAAGTAATGGATTTATGTACTTTAATTCTGTTTGTTTGGATATTGCGATTAATGCCATTCAAACCTCCCGGGGACAAATCAAAAGGCCGTCTTTTGGGGAAGTTTTTCCGTATCTAAATCCAGGCTCTCTAAACAAAGGGTGTCTAATATTCCAGACAGATTGCAAAGCCCTCGAGGGTCATGTAAATAAAACTGACTTTTTGTTCTCCATGAGAAGAAACAACCCCCAGACACTCCAGTTCATGTGGACAGATGGAGACGTCTGATAGTCAGCAGCTCCGCACGGTTAGAAAGGCAGAGCAGAACAACAGCAGCCCGCACTGTCACAAGGAATCGGATATCTCTTTATCAACCGCAGATTTAACCGGATCAATATCCGGAAAGAGTCCACCGTGATTCCTTAAACTTAGAACAGCTGGAATAACTGACTTTTCTGTGATTTTACACAGATGTTGTTCACCGAACCAAATTCAAAACTCGGCACAAACATCTGCATAAAGTTGTTCCGGCCAAACCATAATGAACTATTTAAGTGTGTAAATTACTCAAACGTTTAAAAGTGCATCACATATATTATTTCATTTTATTTATTTTATTTTATAAGTGACAGGATCAGTATCAAGCTTACATTTAGCTTCATGGACGTCATTTCAGAATCGAATGTTGGGTTTTGCAAAGGAGTTGAGTAAACATCAGCTTCTTTAAAACTGTGTACGTGCAGGATGCACGCACGCGTTTGTGTGTGTGTGTGTGTGTGTGTGTGTGTGTGTGTGTGTGTGTGTGTGTGTGTGTGTGTGTGTGGTGTTGTGAGCTAGTCCAAACATGCTTCCTGGCCTGTTAGTGAGAGAGAGATAAAATCACGGACAAAACTGCTAAAAACAGATGATTTTATGTGATGTGACGATTTCACATTTTAGGAGAAATTTTAGTGACGATAAATCTTGAGTGTCTTCTTGTTTCTAAACAGCAGCCGCCATCTGACGGGCTGCACCGCATTACAGCACAACTGGAGAAAATCCCCAATGGGTATGAATGTTGTCCTTAAGGAACTAGACACTCAAATTCAAATTCCTTTCTCTATTTTGGTGTGTGTGGTAAGAATTCCGTACAGGACATTTTCGTCTCTGGGTGTTTGCCACATAAAATGACGTCTCTGAAGTGTCCGTCAGGTGCATTTCATCTGACAAAGTAAGAACACAAACAAGTACAAGTACAGAGTACAAATCATATCAAAGAATTCCCAGTGGCGGTGAGCCGGGTGACTAGTTGTCAGGTCCAAGATGATTTAATACATTTAAGAGGTCAGAGCCACAGAAAGTGAGTTACTTCCCTTTGATGCGGCTTCCTTTAAATAGCCAGCACACACCTCAGCATGTTTACTGCACATACTTGTTGGCTACTAGGGAATGCTTTTGTGTTTGGGACTTTGTAAACACAGAAGCAGCCGAGCTTCTTATTGTGTCACAAATTAAATCTCTATCGCTCCGTCAGTACTGCTGTGGTTGGCCTAACCTTTTCCTTTGAATGGATCAGCTAGTGTGTAATTCTCCCGATTGCAGTAATTTGAGCTAAACGCTCTGAGCTTGTGTGTTAGTGGTGACGCAGTTGAGGTTTTAGAGCCTCGCCAGTTGGACAAAATGTTGGACATTGATGGGCAGGTGGAACATTTGGTCAGGTGGTGACCCTGCATGGCCGCACCTGCAGTCAGTGTTGATGAATTGATGAAAGTTGTGTTAAAGCGCTCTGATAGTTCAGCAGTTTCCCGCGATATAAAAGTACAGGTTCATTTGCTGACATCGTTGATATTAGTTCTTGAAAAATAAATGAAGGCAGCAACTATCAATATTCTTATATCAGAGATTGGAGAGCTTTGCCAGGACCAAATGCCGATGCAAAGTGAACAAAAGTGAATAAATAATGTTTGCATCCGCCCCGTTATTTAGATCCGCTTCAAAATGAGCTCTTCCACGGCACCTTCCAACTCGCTCTCACTGCCAACTCGTCGAATACCGACGGTTGCTCGGTGTCCTGCAGCATCAGATGCCGACGCGCCAGCCTTTTAAATAACTCTAATTTGATTCAGCAGAGACTTCATTGGAATTCATCAATAATTTATTATACGGACATAAAATATGAAGGAATATGAACTCTGTCCTGAAATAGGATTGTTGTAGGGAAGGGATGCTGAGGCCAGATAAAGCCTGATCCCCTGCAGTCCAGACCGGTGGTGACCGGCTACAATCACTGTGATGCTAAACGGAGGTCACTGGAGTGAATTGAGCTGAAATAACAAACGACAGCAGAAGAGAGGTGAACATTTTAAAAGTTGGACGGCAACAACGCGATTAGCTTAAGGAAACTCTGCAGAATCTGGTAGTTCACCTGTTGACTTGAATGTCCTCTCTCTCTCTCTGTCTCTCTCTCTCTCTCTCTCTCCCGGTAGATTTGCACCCCCGATCTTGTGGTGTTTCTGGCCTGCACCAACCACCGCTTGAAGGAGAGGCTTCAGAAACGAGCCGAGCAGCAGGGACGACCGGACGACAACCCCAAAGCCATCGACCGGCGCCTGACCAACTTCAAGCAGAACACCATTCCTCTGGTCAAATACTTCCAGGAGAGGGGCCTCATCGTCACAGTAAGACGCGCGGGACGGCTTGCGTGTCCGTGTTGGAAAGCGACCGTGTGCCATTTTCAATACTTTCAGCTAATTTCTATTTATGTTACCCGGTGTGGCACAAAAAAACTCTTTATTCATCTTGTACACGGAGAATCGGGACATGAAGCTAAAAAAGATCCTACTTTTGAGTATGAAGTTAGTTTAATGTAATATTTCAATGTAGCGTTATAGCCTTTCAATTTAAGTCCAGTCTTCCGACCCCTCCAAACACTTGTCATCATTCACACCCGTTCATCCACTGATGACCGGGGTTAAAGTGCAGGGTGCCACCTGCCCATCAAAAACCTTTCTACCAATTCACACCTGTTCCGCCACCGCGGGAGTCGCCTGCGGGAACGATTTAAGGTTAAACGTCTCGCACAAGGACACATCGACATTAGCTGATCCTCTTAACCAGTGAACCCCAGAGACTGGGGGGTCGCAAAACAGTTTAATAGAGTCCCTAAATAAATTGGCAGAACATGTACATCAAATCCATCCAAAAAAAGTAAAAAGTGTCCGTTTTCATTGATAACAAAGTTGTGATCAGAGGTATTTATCTCCAAAAGGCCTAGTTAAACTGTTTAAGGTGATATCAGGTTGGTAATTGGTAATGGAAGTAAGGAGCGATAGAGCAATGTATAAATGGGTCGCTGTACTCTAATGAACTCAAACCAAACACAAATGTTTTGAAGAGTATCAAGTGTATCTGAGCACAAACGGATTTTACAGATAACACACACTAACACGTCCTCCACAATGGAGCCAAACGGGAAATTGCAGCAAAAGAGAGACAATAGTTTGTTGAACTGAAGCCATCCTGTCGAAAAAGGGCCGAACGAGTCCGGCTCCAGCTTCCTTCCCACATGCTGCCAGATGTCACGCAGATACAAACGAACAAAAGACACCTGGCAACATGCTACGTGGGGCTGTATCCCTCCGGGGGCTGGTTACTAGGTATTTGATTATTACTAAATAAGATACTGGCATTGAAGCTAATCAGTCTTAATTAAAGAGAAAAAAAAAGAGATTTTGCTGACTTTTTGTTGGCAGCTTGTTTGAATCGCACCTCTCACAGACCTCAGCCCCAAACAAAAAGTAAAAGAGTCAACTAAATAAAACAATAATTATTAGGCAGGGCAGTGTACCGAGATGTATGTATGATAATCAACACTGTTGGGAATAAAAAAGGTCTTCATAAAGGAACCTAAAAGCGTACATTACAAGAAACCATGGAGGAAGTGACCGAAGCGGATAATAGCAGCCGACGTCGTGGCTGGTCTCAGCCTCACAGACATGGTGAGCAGCACAAACGTCAGCGTTGAGCCGCTGCGCCTTCGCATCGGAAGGGGACAGCTGGTGCAGGCGATCCATGCACGTCCAACTGGTAAGAGGTCCGGGGGTGCAAAGCCGGAACCGGCTTACACAAATCCTCTGGCCCGGGAACAACTCAGGCTCCATTTTTTGTGAAAACACTTGCATGCTGTTGAATTATTGGAGTGAATGACTTGAATTTAATTACCGTAATTACAGAAAATGTAGAGCTCCTAGTCTGTGCTGGAGAAGTGAATCCGTCTCTGGAGAGCCTCAGGTAGCCTCTGTATGGATTAAGCCTCTCCGTGTTAAGTGGGAACACATTGTGGTTAGAAAACCCTTTTCTCTTCTCATCCTGCTGGATGAATTGAGAGCTCTCATGGGGGTTTTTGGGGGGGGGGGTTGCTGCTCTCGGCTCCTTTTCTACAGGTGGGGTTGCTAAGCCGCAAGCTCAGCAGGGTCCTTTTTTTTTTTAGGTAGTTACCATGGAAACCCTATGAGGGCGTTGACTGTTGGTTATCTTCTATCTCAACCTCACATTCTGCCATTTGACCCCCAAGTCGGCGGTTGAACCCTGCTGAGATTCCCTCACCTGGAGGCAGAGCTGTTTGATCCGCTGTGCATATTAGTTTCCCTCTATGCACGAGGTCGCGCTGTCATCGTCGCTGACGGAAACAAAGGAACAGCCGAGGGGGTGGGGGGGAGAGGTGGGGGGTTGAGGAGAGGAAGAAGAGAGGTCTGCTTCAATCGGGCCTCTCGCTTGCTCACAAACCACGTTCTTCACGGTCAATCACGGTCAAAGACAGGCGGCCCTCTGAAGAAGCTGAACGGGTCCAATTGACACAGTGGGGGGGGTTAATTAATCGAGTGTCATTAAAGCTTCCGGAGGGGGGGGTGGAAGGTAGAATATGGAATAACCCAGAGAGTGTAGCGCCCAGGATCATAGCTCGGCCCTTCTGTTTCCTCATGTAATGATCTCGTGTCACAGCGGCTTAAGGGAGCGAACGCGTCCGCTGGTGTTCGTGACGTTGAAGGTTTCGGGGTCATGACTTCCGCCTACGTGTGTCTGTCGTCCCTGTCGAGCAGAAAGGATTAAAGGCCACAGAGTACCGAAGGTGATGTATTTTATTTATTTATTTTTTCTCTTTTCAGTTGGATGCTGACCGGGATGAAGAGGAGGTCTTTTGTGACATCAGCACGACTTTGGACAACAAGCTGTTTCCCTCCAAAGAGCCAGCAGCCGGTGAGATCTCTTTAAAAAATGAGACAACGAGAGATTTTTTATGTTCACACCCCTTTACAAAGGATTATCTTGGGCAATATTGCAAACTAATAAGGACAAAGGATGTGAATATTGTTGCTTGTCTGGGGTTTTCAGAGATGCAACACAGGCTTAGCATATTCCAACATTTTCTTCAGTAAATATCCCACTTTTTGAATTTTTAAGCTTTAAAGTGTCTTAAAAGACACTTACTGTATCTTTCAGTTTGAGTCTGTAAAAACATTGTCTCCCTGGTAAAAGGTACCTTTATTCTTTTGTTGATTCATTCAACAATTGCTCAAGCGGGGTAATTTAACAGTACATTATCTCAATCCTATGAAGCAATTGGAGGAACTCACAATTTAAGTAAAGGCATTTTCTTTGCAAAATGTGTACATTAAGAATATTTTGATGCCAATACCTTTGTACTTTTAAGTTAAATTTTGATTGCAAGATCTTTATTTACAGAATATAACAGTATTTCCACACATAATGAGTCCTGGGTACTTTTTCCACCACTGTATAGTAGTAAATATTACACACCTGGAGAAGCAGCCAGTATTAGATAGCATTGAAGACTATCAGAGAAAAAGGCTTTTAGGGTTTAAGTTATAGCAAAGAAAAAAAATATGTTGGACTGTGCTCCATGTGTACTTGGTTGCCTGAGTGTTTTTGTATGTATCATTTATAGGGCAGCATCAAGCCAAATGATGAGGAAATGTAATATAATAGATAAGCATCAAAAAAATGTTTTAAGAGCTCAATGTGTTCATTGTAAAAGTGTTCCTCCAAAATAATCCACGCACACAATAAAAGGGAAAGAACATGCCCCACCAGCTCCCTGATTACCACAGGAGTTGGCATAGCAACGGGAGAAGCAGGAGTTTGCCAGGCTTTGTGAGGAATACAGAATCAACAGGGTCAGAGTTTGTCTTTGATCAGTCAGATGGAGACGGTACACGTGTGGTGTAAAACCTGATCATTTTCATCTTTTTTTTTTAAACGTGTCATATTGATTTGCATTTCCGACTGAGACAACCTCATGTTTAAAAGATATGATCAGTGGCTTCTCTGAAGGTGTTTCTGCAGTGATTTCATAAATTGAAAGAGATAATTAAGGTTTTGGCTAAAAGGAAAGAGAGTTAACGTCAGCACGGAACTGAGCTGTCAGGATCAGCCATCATTTTGGTTGCAAAGCTGTCATTATTTTTCAACCTGATTCCAACAGATATCACTCATCATCTCGTTCGCCTTGTGGTGAAGAGTTACTGTAAATCAAAAGATTGATCGCACTTTAATTTCTGTCTGTTAAATCAAAGTCAACGGCCAGTTAGTGTAGCTTGGCACAAAGGCTTGAAACAGTGGAGAACTCTGAGCTCTGCCGAAAGGTAACTAATTCAACCTGTACCGTTAAAGCTCAGTAATTGAAACAAAACAGCAATAAACCGTTTTACAGCAGGTAAAGACTGTTGGTTGGTCTGGATCATCATCCTTATCCTGACATATGAAGCCAAAGCTGATGATATTTTCCTTAAACAAGTCAGTTTGTGCATAAACCGATTCTGGCAGAAGCTCTTAAAGCAAAATTGTCCCGTTTGCTTTTGCAACATGAGCCTGCAGTTCTGGTTTAACTTCAACTCTTTATTGTACTTCTTTTCTTTAAAAATAATTAAGTATGAGCTTCAATGCAAAGGATAGAAAGGATCACTCCTCTGTTGCTTTTTTACTAAGACTCTTCTTCTGTTTTCTGATAGACGTGTAGTTTTTTCTTTTTTTCTTCTTCTAGTCTGCGTTGAGGCTGTAATGAGAAGTTGATGCAAACCCCACGGGGTTACAGAGCGCACCAAGAACAACTTGTGCTTTATAAATAAGCTTGACTTGGCTCGTTTTTGCGCTTGTGTTGTGCCACACGGCTCGGGAACACTTGCAGCACAGCAGGAAGCTGCGTAGGAACAAGAGGAATACATTCTAAATTAATTATTATGCAACACCCATTAAAAGAACATTTTAATGGGTGGATTTTTTTATTCTTAAAGGCATTCTATGCAACAACAGCACTGTCGTGATAAAGTGAACAGTTTTGAGCCACGACCTGTTCACTTAGTAGGAAACTGAGCAGAAAACATGAGGCAACATATGGCAGGGAGGAAATCTCTTGCCTCTTGTTTTTCTGATCAGAGAGCAGTGAGCAGCCAGAGAGAGCTGCCAGCAGACAAGTAGGACAGTTTGGATGTGGCATCACTACGACACAGCTGGTCTGGATCATTTGTACATTAAGTGATAAGGGGCCGATAAGGGAGCTGATGCTGCATTCTGGTACAACGCATCAAATGGTGACATTTATGTTTGAACTGTACATGGTCCCTTTGAAATAAAACAAATAATCATTAGCATAATGGGACCGAGGCTCACATTCATAGCACATATTTGACATCCAAATTGCCAGCTGTCAAGCAGGAAAGGCTCCATGCAGCAGCAGCAGCGCGCTTCACGGCAGGATACTGGAATGCACCACAACTACCACCTATACGGCTTGACTTGCACAAAGCATGCACAATTTGCCAAACGAAACAAGAGAGTTCAAGCTGTTATTAAGACAAATAATCCAAAAGCCAGTGCTTTTGACTGACATGCTAATGTTTGCAGGATTTGTACAAAACAATCATTACACTATATTGAAACTTATGTAAAAACTAGATGGGCACGCGTGAACAAGAGATGCAGAGAGCTGTGCATCACAAAGACACGTCCATAGAACACGTACAGTATGTAGCTGCACTTTGAGATGCATTTAAGAGCAGCGTGACCAGTAAATTTGTCAAGGTGTTCTCCTGTCATGGAGCAGTTCCATTCAGGCATAAAAAGATGCTGGTGGCAAATTTCATCGGCCTATTTTTGCCCTACAAAACGTGTCGATTCACATCTGAAATGATGATGACAAGTGAGTCACGTGTGAATCTTTAGCTTCCTTTGATTATCTGACAGATTTGATGAAAATGCTGCAATCATCTTTACGCAAAATGTGGAGCATTAAAAAAGAATCAAAGATCCATTGAAACCACTCTTCCTCCTTGAGTTTTTCTCCGAGCTCCTCTGTGCCCTGTTTGCATGGCAGGACCTGCCGGATGTGCTTTTAGTCCACGTCGGTGCATGTGAGCGTGTCCCACTGGGCAGCTAATGGCCGTCATTCTGCACAAAGCTGCACAAAGCTAACATGGCAGTTACGACTCCTAACACACAAGCGACCTGCTGCATTGTTGCGGACGCGTAGCTCCAACGCTGTGGTCCTTCCCGTGGACTGTGTGTAAGAATTGGAAGTAGTCGTCGTGGCATCTTCCATTGATCTGTAGACTGCTGCTGCTGTTAAGCATTTTGACTGTTGCGGTTCTTGTATTTCTGTGAAAAGATGAGACTTGATAAAACGACCATGTGTTATTATTTCAATGGCAATTGGGTGAAATGAAGATCCATATTGCTTCAGCGAGACTTTAAAATGATCAAACATACATGGTACAAGGGGTACAAGGTATTTTTCATATTACACAAGCTCTAAGAGTATTTTCCAATGAAAGTAGCAAAAATAATTATCATTATCAACGTAATCCTAAACATTGCTAATGTTAGCAATGACTCTTTACTTGTGGGAGACTCCACACAGGCAGTTAGTCATTCCAATCATTTATTTATTCATTCATTGCTGTCTGGATGTTGAGACAATTCCAACAAAAAAAATGTATATATATTTTTTAAAGCTTTTGAAGGAGATTTAAGAGCGAACTCCGAGTTTGTTGATGGTTGTGTTTGTTCGGTCTTCAGGTCCCAGTGAGCTGGATCTCAGTCTACTGGGGGAAACCAGCCTGGCAGATGTTGCTTGCAAGTACGACGAGGTAAGATCTGTGTCTAATTCTTGAATAATGACGGTGATTTTGAATTTGTAATCCTGAAAAAAACGGCAGTCTTGGTGCCAATACCGTATTTCTACGGCCGTGTTTAATGTGTTGAAATGCTGGAAGACAACAACTTTTCCCTAATAAAACTCATCTAAAGAACAGATCTTTCCCCCATTCTGCCGCTTTCACTCCCTCCCTGATTTCCACGGCCAACGGTGAAACAGTGAAGGCCGGTGATTCAGAGATGGAGAATGTTGTGGTTGTGTAATGCTCGTTCGAGGGTGCAGACGAGGGTCGTTCCTCCACGCTGCAGTGAAGCGTAACTCGGACCTCCGTCTCACTTCCCGTCCTCCGGGTGCCTGGAAACAAATTGCTCGTCTCTGTCTCTTTTTCTCTTCATCTTCTACTCAATTGTCTGACTGAAGGATTTCGTCCTTCCTGCGTGTGAGTGTCGCTGCCTGAGTAGCTTTATTGGGTCTCAGGCTTCCCACCAGGCATCGCTTCCCCAGAGAACGAGCTCTTTTTGTTTTCAGGCCCACACTTCTCCACATTCATGAATTCACAATTGGGAGCTACTGACCATTTACTTTTAGGCCGCTCAGTATTTTGCTGCTGGTTGAGTATAAAGGCAGACTCTGCAATATTTGCTATCGTTTTCCTCATCTCCCTCTCACGTACTTTTCTGTTCTTTATTAACACCTGGCAATTTTGTTCTCCCGCGTATCCGTATAGTTTATTTAAAAATGATGTCATTGTTTTTTATTACCTTGGAATGAAGCGTTTATACACCTTCATGCACATACGGTCCTCTTCACAAACTTACAAATTAATGTAAACATGTTGACAGGACTTGTTTGGCCGTATTGATCAGTGCCATGCAGTCAGTCAGTTGTCCACAGAGCTTTAATCTCTACCAGCACTGTGCATAAACATGTTTACTCTCACCGCAGGGTGCTTTGTACAACAAACATCAAGCTGTGTGATTACCTAATAAAAGCCTCTCAGTGGCGACACATGAGCGGTGAACTTCAAGTGGGGATGATTAAATAAGGAGTTTGTGACGGCGGGCGATGAATAACTGACAACTTCAGAGGCAGCGTCACTCCGCGATGCCACGCCTCCTGCGGCCGCGCTCTTCTCTGCCAAGTGGAAGGAAGGCGCCGCGCGGCCCCGTCGTCCCGAGTCGGGGGCCTCGGGTGCGAGGCGGCACCGAGAGGCCGAGCGGACACCTCGGGTCTCCGGAGGAAATGTTTTCCTTCAATAATTTCTTGATTTTTTTCCATCTGCAATTTATTTCTGGAGAAAGAAAATCAAACATTGATGTTTCCTATATTTCATAGTTGATTTAAAAGTGCAGTTCAGAGGTAGAATGTCACAAGTATTGTACTGTACATTTTAGTTACTTCACTCGAGTTTACAGAATGGGTTATTTCCCAGTGTTTTTACATTTTTACATGATAGTTAGTTTTTGTGACTCTAAAAAATATGTAGTTATGTTATATATAGAGCTAATTTTAGATACTTGATAGAGTAGTCTATTACTGAATATCATTTGAATATATATAAATATACATATGGATGTAAAAGATGTAAAAATTGTACACAACACTCATGTACATTCCAACAGTGAAAACTATTAAAGGCCACATAGATGATCATTTAAAAAGAACGTCTAAGAACCAGTAAGAGCGTCTTGCAGCTGCTTTCTGTAAAAAGATGATGATGATGATGATGATGATGAAGAGGATGATGATGAAGCTGATAATGAGAAGCACTCTGCCGCCCACCAGAGCGTCTGCACAGTGCTTTTGACGGACGTGACAGTTTGATGTTGTGGTGCCGAGCTTTGAAAATGATGAGCTGAGGCTGACAGCTCACCAGGAGAGGCTGAAGCAAAGGAATCATTCGCAGAAATCCGATAAAAAGGGAATTAGTGTTCGTGCTATTTCATTTGTATGACACATCTTAAAATGTTTTTAAAAATTGTATATTTAAATACAAAACATATGATAAGGGACTAACTAACTTTTAGGATTTGGGATATTGGTACAGTTTATGATGTACCCGTGTCCATCTCTTATCATCAACATCATCTTTTACAGAGTGTGTGTTTATGTGTGTAGGTGTGTGTATGCGCGTATTTACATACATATTTTGTCTCCTTTACGTGTTTTGCCAGGCGTGCTGCGCATGCTTCTCTCCCTTTCTCTCTCTGAGTCACCACACCAGTTGGTGTACCCACAAGCCGAGCTGGCTCGTCGTTGGCACCCAGCACTCCCCCACACTGACGCCATTTTCATTTTTCTTTTTTATCACTCACAGAGCTCCGCTTCCCCTCATCCTGCGTCTCTGCTGTTGTGTTATTAAATTAGAAGACGGTTTCTGAAAAAAATCCTAGATCGGAAGCTTTTACAAATGGAAATGTCAGGGAAGGTTGTTTGTTTATTTCGGTCGGGCGTCTGAAGGAGCGTTATTCTGAGAGCAGACCGACTCTGATCTGTAACTTCACAGCCGTCACGGGATGACACGAGTGAAGTGTCGGTTTTTAACTCCACGTTACCAGCTTTCATTGGGAATTACGTCATGCAGCGCTGCATTACTCAGATAGTTTCATTGGATTCATCATAATGCTACATTTAGAGGATCTTGTTATTCAATATGTATTAGATGGTATAATATGGTTGTTTGTCCCCCTCCTGCAGCACAACAAGTAGATGTGTTTACTGGATATGTTTTCTATGTCCCCTCTAAACATTTAAGAATAATTGATCAGTTTTATGATAATTCAACATCATGGTTAAAAATGTGTTATATTTAAGCACAAAAACAACTTGGTTGGTGTTCGTGAAACATAATGATTGACATCAACTACTTTGTTAAAGGTGGGGGGAGTTCAGTCGTCATGGTTACATCATCGACTGTCAGCAGGAGACTAGAAACAAGTTTTTCATCATTGTTTTTTTCCAACCTCGTGGTGAAGACGTAATGTCACAGCATCGCAGTTGTGATATTGTTTTTGTTTTACAAATACATTATTTAGGTTTGTCCTGCATTAACATCCATTTTCCTTTTAAAAGTCCATTAACATTTTGAAGCCGCGGCGGAGGCTCAAAATTTCAATAGAAATGAGACTTAACTACCGAGTCAATTGGGGAATTTTTTGATCAATGGTTCCCGAATGATTTTCCCAAATTAAATCAGAAATAATGTATTCATATTATTTAATCATGCATTCAAATATAATTAATTTGTTCTCTTTATTTGGTCATTTATGTCGTCAAATTGCTGAATGCATTCAAATGAACAGTGTTAATGTATCACTTAAACTCCATTTATCTTGGTCCTCCTGACACACTCACTGCGGCCCTGTTGAACTTGATACAGTATTATTTTAATTGTATAAATACTTGAGATGTCTGTTAAACATCATGATGTGTTTCACATCCCATTAACATTAATATAGAGATAACAGACTTTATTGTCTAAAGGTTCTGGAGCCTTTAATAGCTAAAACAACGTTTATTCACTAGTCATTTGGGCCAGAGATATGCAGATGACCGAAGCTGAGGGGAATAACCATGGAAACGTGCAGCAATGATGGAACGGGGAGAAATATCTGAAAGGGTTGACTCAAATGAATCATTTCATCCTCCAGGAACAGATTAAAGAAAGTGGCAAACATCTTTCAGGCAATTATCTCGGCCCCGCTTTCACTCGTTTGTTTGTACTTGATTGATTCAGTCGATGAGGCTGCTGGCGGTTTGATTCCTCCTCCTGACTCGGACCTCGTGTTTGCTCCGGGGACACTGAGGGTTGTTTCTGCATTTGCTCTCTCTCTCAAATTTCCTTTTTTCGCTCTTTCCACACTGTGGATTGTTTGAACAATTTTCTTGTCTGTGCTGTTATTTACTCCTGTCTTTACAAATATGTGGACACAAAGTGCCGGTCTTGATGCTACAATAACAGTGTCAATGCACAAAGCCACGGCCCTGTTTTCCAAATACATTTTAGTCTTGTCTGTGCTGTTGATTTAGGGAAGTGAAGTGATTTTCTGAGATTATTCTCTTGCAAAATTAGACAGATTATTACAAAAACCTCAAAGGACAGCGAGAGCCACGTTTCCTTGGTAACACTCAATGAAAGCTGCTGATCGGTGCCACCAGTTGACAACCAAAAAGAGGGAAACGTGGCTGATGAATTGTTTTTTGTCAATAATGTTTTGGAGTAAAAGGAGAAAAAAAAGGTTTTAAGTTACCTGATGGAAATATGTTTAGCTGAGAGACGACCGCATGTACCGTTTGGGTGGCGAATAGAGCTGCTTACCTGCCAGTGATTTACTGTATTATTAGATTTTTCTGTATAAGATCAGAGTAGAAATTTCCCATTATATTTTTTTTAAGGTTACATCTTAAAATGATTTTTCTGTCAGAGCAACATTCCAAAAAGAAGAAATGTACATCATCGTTTCAGCCGCCGTCCCAGCAGACTTTTATCTCTTTAATCAATCAGAATTGAGTCCAACGCACATTGACGACGCAACTAATTGAAGAAGAAAAAAAGACAGAAGATAAAGCGGCATTTGAAAAGTGAAATACACAGATAATAAAACAAATGTTTTCTCCGTCGACATAGGTGGACGAGGAGGAAGATATCGGGTATGCTGAAGGAATCACAGACGGTAAGCGGATGTTAAATGATTACAACTAATGAGAGTTGTGTCTTTCCTCTTTGAAACATCGCAAGCTGACTCCATTCAATATTTGACAGCACACACACACACACACACACACGCACAAGTTTGATCCCAGTAAACGTTTGGGGTGGCATGTTAAACGTTGTGGCCCCGCTGCTAAATTATCTTCCCCTCCCTGCAGTCTGTGTGTTTTCTATCGGCATCGCTTTGCATCAACTATTGATCGTGTAATGGGGGGAGGTCCTGTCTGTAGGACCTGGGGCCTCATTTATAAAACCTTGCGTAGGATTTGCGCCAGAAGGGGCGTACGGATGAAACATAGGACGTGCGTACGCACAGAAATATTCAGACTTATAAAACCGTGCGCACGCACGTCCTACGCAGTTTTCCCTTAATACATCACAATCACTTCTAAATGCAGCGCAGCTTTTGCGGCTTCATGTCACGCCCATAGTTGCCCTTATATAGTCTGTGGAACGCCCACAAATTAATATTCATCGAATCATGGCTAACACTGAGAGGAAAACGAAGAAACGTAACTTCACTCAGTGTGAAGTCGAAATTATCATTGGAAGGTGGAAAGGAGAAGTAAAATGCTTGGAGGGCACAGTGTGGGCATCACTAATGCCAAAAGGGCACCACAGCAACGCTGCAGCCTCACAACCTCGGACCGTGGCCGAAATAAAGAAAAAATGGTCTGACATCAAAGTGGACGCAAAAAAGCGTTTAGCGCGCCATCGCCAAGGTGTGTCTGCCCCGGGGGGGAAAGGGGACACCGGAGCTGTCCCCTTTTGGTGAGAGACTGGCGGCAATGATTGGGGACCGGGGACAGGGTCTGGGCCAACATCGGCGTCAGGGGGTCGAGGCACGTTTGGAAGCTGTGCCACATTATGTAGCACAGCACACGCCAGCACGATTTTGCTCACCTTTTCAGGAGTAGACAATCTTGGAGCCAAAGACGGAGATTACAAGCGAGAGTAACGGTATGTACAACATTTATTTTTAACAATAAGATGCCAACTTTAGCCTGAGATTCATATTTAGCCTTAGCATGTTGCTAACCTCCTAACATCGACTTTGCTGATAATCGATCGCATTGCAGTTAAAAAAAAGTGTATTAAGCATTTGTTAAATAAGTATAACGACGCCATTTTTGTGAACACTTGTATGTATGTTTGAGTCATAGGCAAAAACCACTCACAGTATTAAAACTAGAAAATCTACTAACACGTGACCAGTAAGTTGTCTGAAAAACACAATTGCATGAACCTAAAAAGACTGAAAAAAACCTTATAAATAAAGTAGCCCTGTCCTTTAAGTGGTACTTTGAATTAATAAACGCTTCACAGCTACAGCTCAACTATTTCTATAGTATTTATACAGCACGGTACACGTGATAGAAAATATACCTATACCCTATTGCCCATAGATGAAACGTATGTATTTTTTTTTAATCTTTACAGGCAATCTTGCAGCTCAAGGCGGAGGTCACGGTAATGTGGGCATACCCACGATCTGACCACTGGTGGGACACAATTGTTGCGGATTTCACCCCGTTACAATTCATGCAGAATTTCCGCGTATCCCCAGGATCATTTGAGTACATCGGCTGTCAGGTCAAGCATGCCATGGGGAGAAGAAACACAAACTACAGTTTGTGTGTCCCAATCCGAAAGCGTGTGGCTATTGCCATCTGGAAACTGGCCACAGGTGTTGAATACAGGACAATTAGCCATCTTTTTGGAGTAGGCCTCAGCACTGTATTTAGTTGTGTTCAGGAATTCTGCAACACAGTCATCACAGTGCTCCTTCCCATCAACATAAGATTTCCTGATGCTAAAAAGTTGCTGGAAATGGCCACTTTCTTTAATAATCGTTGGAGAATTCCGGTGTGTGGGTGCAATTGATGGCAGCCACATTCCAGTAATTGCACCAGAGGACTATCCACGAGACTATTTCAATCGTAAAGGCTGGCATTCTATTGTTCTGCAAGCAGTTGTGGATGGCAAAGGTCTATTCTGGGATGTTTGTGTTGGCTATCCAGGGAGTGTGCATGACGCCAGAGTGCTACGACAGTCACATTTGTGGGAGGCCTTAAGTGACGGGGAATTACTAGGGCAAAACAAAGTGACTATCTCTGGCTGTGATGTTGGACATTACCTGATCGGTGATCCGGCATATCCCATGCAGAATTGGCTCATGAAGCCCTTTTGTGACACTGGCAGACTGACCCCCGAACAGCACACATACAATTACAGGCTGAGCAGTGCACGATCGGTTGTGGAGATGTCTTTTGGGAGATTAAAAGGACGATGGAGGTGCCTCCTAAAAAGACTGCAAGCTGGAGCTGAGCAAGAGGATGGCACTGACCTGCTGTGTCCTCCATAACATTTGTGAGGAACATGGTGATAATTTCAGTGAAGAGCACCCAGACAGGACTCTAAACATAAAGCCTACTGCTCATCAGGGCTGCATTAATGATGCATTTTAACAGAGGGAACGAGTGATTCTTTGAATACACCAAAGCTATATTTGTTGCAATATTTTTGTAACCCTGCAGTTTGTGTTTATTGAAATCTACACTTTTGAATTGTATTACATTCTCATCCATTAAATGAACTATGTAATCTCTAAAACTTGCATTTTGTGAATCATTTATCAATCAACAACACTTCTGGCCGGGATTAAAAACAAGCAAGTTTTTATTAACTTCCAATCATGAAGTAAGTAAGATTTTAATCATATTTCATGTCGAAATAATATAGATTTGTATAAGCAGCTAATCGCATCACTTGGCTGTTTAATGTACACATTTATATAAAAGTAAATTGCATTAAAAACACAAACCATAATGCAATATTTGCCTATTAAGTGTTTAAGAAACTGGACCAGATATTTGTATTACTAAACATGTTTATTTAAACAAAAACAAAAAAACTGAAATCTTATAAAAAAAATTAAGTTCTGTAGGTAACAACTGTAAAAAAAAAATTTAAATGACATGAAAAGCGACAACCAAAATTATTTTTTAACTTGTGCCTCCAATACGGCCACCATGCGCCCCATGAGTCCACGCAGGGATTGTGTGTCCGCTCTCATGTCCTGACACAAGGCATTATCCATTGCCTTGCTGTGCTGCAGGAACCTCTCATCTGCCCTTTCCAGATATTGAAGGATTTCCGAGGTACCATCTCTCTTCCTTTTTCCTGTGTAGAACAATTATAAAAAACCAATACAGATCGTCACGGTGTTGTCATAGCATCGCAAATAGTTGTTTTCAGCAGAGAATTACGCAAATGCATCGGCTATATTGAATACATTAAAAAAATGTATAGCATCATAATACATCAATATCACTTCAGAATTTGCTCATGTCCCGTAATAAACAGAATATCAACATTATACAGTATATAGCAAGTTAATATCAGATTGACTTCATATTCTATTCTAAACTTTTATAAAAAGACATTTTTGCTTTTTGTTCAAGGTAATATAATTGAATTTTGACATAAAGCATGTTGTATTGCTGTTCAGAAGTTAAATGAAGAAAAACAAATATAAAACAATGTTTCAGTGCATGACAGTAATATACAGTGTGTGTAATACATATTTATATATATATATATATATATATATATATATATTACAGACACATCTGTGTTTGCATAGTGTATGGTGTGATAATTTGAACATCTCCCGTTCTGAAGATGCTTCTCCAGAGCTGCTACACGACGGCACGGGAGAGCTGCAGCCCAGCGGTGGCGGCAACTCAACGTTGTCTTCACGGTCGTTGATGGCAGACAGTTCTATAAAAATAAACACAAGACGACAGTGCTTTAACAGCGGAGAAACATGCTAAGATAAGAACAAGTCAAATAAAAACTGAACTTACCATGATCAGTGCAACTTTGCTGCAGCGAATCATCCAGCATTATTGTGGCCGAGTTCAGCGCCCCGGTCACCTGGCATGCCAGCCTATCGCCGAGAACACAGTCGAGAACGTCGAAATGTGGATTTTGGCGTGGGCGCCCATTGCCGCTTCGACCGAGGTCCTTTTTTTGGTCCCTATAGTCTTTCTTTAGTTTTTTTTTGTTTGTTTGTTATCTGGACGAGGCTCCGGTCAAGACCAGCTACAGCCATCTCACTCTGAATCTGCTGCATCTGGGATGTTTGAATCGTTTCTGTGTGTGTGTGCGTGTGTGTGTGTGTGTGTGTGCACAATATGCTTTATTTGTGTTAACGAGTGTATGTGTTCACTTCTTTCTTCCGACAGGTTATTGTACAGAACAGAAGAAACCAAAGGTCATCTTCATGATGGGTACGTGCATGTAGACACACACACACACACACACACACACACACGTTGAGGATAATAATGAGCCGCTGGGTGGGCGGCAGATGTTCTGTTCGTTTCAGACGACAGCAGCAAAGTTAATGAACGCTGCTTATCAGTAGAATACGTATTATTATTGAAGTGAATAGAAGAAATGGAAAACGTTAAATCCACCGCTATTAATAACTTCCCTCACAAAAAAGTATGTGTCAAAAGCAGCAAGTCTTTATATGTTTTTTTTTTAATTTAGAGCTTATTTGTCGGATAATTCATTTAGCTGCTCAGGTATGTAAATATACTTATTAGTCCCTCTGAAAGCCGAGTGGTCGTTTTTATGTGATCCCGTATTATGCATTACAGTCGTTTGGGACTCACAGAATTACCAAATCATGACTTTGCCACTGCAGAAAAGTACTGAAATACTGTTACGGAAGATTATTTCCACACTTTTCCGCATGGCTCAATGAAGAACAACTCGACAAATCCCCACTGATCTGTGCCAACACCATTTTGTATGAGTGTTAGAGAAACGAGGAGGTTGAGTTAGAGTCGGGCTTTTCCTCACCAGGAGCAGATAATTGGAGGAAAATGCCAACGGCATAAATAAAAACCCTCACCTCGTGTCACCGCAGCAGGTTTTATATCACAAAATTAAAGGTGAGCCACGTTGGCAAAGATATTCCGTTTCATTCCGTCCTTCAGTCTGAAAGGACATTCATCAGAGCAAGAAATGCTCTCCGGCTTTAACTTTTATCTGCTGTTGTTGCACTTATTTCCCCCCGAATGCACATAAACAACTTATGGAAATGTAATCGCAATTTGGTCAATTGCAATTTTCTAAATGCAGACGGTGCAATATTTATCAAAGTGAGACACAAGGCGAAAGTATAATATTTCTGGTAGTGGGTAATTTTTTTGATTTTGGGCCATTTAGTTAGTTTTGTCTTTTTTCAGACTTGTGAAAAGAAAACCTCAGAAATTCAAGATTATTTTTTTTCTTACGATATTCACCTTTTCACTAGATTTAGTTATATAGCTCCCTTCCAATCTATATTCCTGAAGGTTTTTGCTGGGGGGTATGTTCATGTATCATTCATAGAATTTCATTCATTCATAGAAATAGAATTTCAGGAATTTCATTCCTGAAAAACATACAAATTTATTGATATATTCTTTTTTGACAGTGTTTTGGTATTTCTGGAGTGACTTCCTACTGACATTATGTGTTTAATATTAAACAAGAATTTGAACCTGGCTTTACCCAATGTTCATATTTGGGTTTGTAAGGATTCGGTGGTGCACCAGTAACATTTCTGAAAACATTCAATTCAAAAAAGTACTTCAATACATCAAAATTGTTATTCTAAAAAAATGTATCCTTAACTTCAAACCAGCATTGGCGTCCAGCAAGGGAATAAATCTTAATACTGCTTTATTTATAGCATATAAATAAAGAGAGCCAACTTAGCTATTCGCCTGTGATGACTCATCATTTGATGGAGCGAATAGTTTGTACGGCACATGACCTGAATCCCACCCGTCAGGTGTGTGTCCCCATCGTGAGACAGGTGGCCCTTCCAGTCGGGTTACACGCAACGCTGACTTTGAAAACAAGGTTGACTCAGTCACGAGGACTCGTCTCTTGTAAAGTCCCCCCCCCCTCGCTTACCCATCATCAAACCTGCTCCACTGCTGCTGATGCTGCAGCTTCTGGGGGTTTATCTGTCAGACTCTTTTATCTGGTAAAGTGCTCGGAGGTACTTCGTGCCCGTCTGTCTCCCCCCGTGAAGCGCCGATGAGAGCGACCATCGCGCCTTCTTTGAGATTTGAAGTTGCAGTAAGTCGGGCAGTAGGTTGGGGAAAACAGAAAATAGCAGCATTACACAAGAGTTCGGATGCCAGGCTTTAATGTCCTTAAATCAACAAACCAAGATGAGCTCGTCATGTGTGACAAGCTCATCAGCTCAGCTATGGTAATATTTGTATTATGTATAGTGATTCAATTAAAGAAGCTTGATATTTCTTTTTTTCTTCTCTCACTTCCGTCTTCCTCACTTCTACTTCCTTCTTTCGTTCTTTTGCCAAGAATGTTTTTCATTTGACTTGATGTCAAAAGCTGAAGCATCTCAATTAGTTTTAATTCAGAAAATTAAATTAGTAAACACTACCTGTTCAGCACCGAAAAGTAGACAATCTGGCCCACATTTAGCAGCTAATGAGTTTAAATGTTTCTATTGGGAGTTTGTATAGACAAAATAGATGAGCGACTGTAATTAGGTTCTCTATACAAACGTGATTAAAAGTAATTCACAACTGGCCACTGGCCAAATGAACTGCTTTTTCAGATCTAGGTGAGGCTGCATGATGCCACTTTAACCGGTGATTAAAAATATCTCTTTTAAAAATGGAGACTATATATTATACATTCACTTCATCTTCTGTCTGCCAGGTTATCTAGAACCGTCTCTGCCAGCCAGTTGAAGCAGCAGGTTAAAGTCTAAGCGAGTCTCTAACAAGCCTGGTGGGTCATTATTTTACTCTTGACTGAAGTGTGAAGCAGCAGAGGAATACCTCTAGTGAGCAGGGAGGAAGGGGGGGGGGGGGGGGTATATACAGCGGTGACCATGTGTGGAATGTACAATGAAGGGATCCATAATTCCCCCCACCTCTATTTCCGGCCCCCCCCCCCCCCCCTCTCCCTCCTTTCCCCGGTCGACTGTGGGTGAGTAGAGACACTCGCTCGTAGCACGCCGTGCTCCCACAGCAGAAGGTGACGCAGACTTTTGCTTTTGGAGGGCAGTGACTCGCCGAGAATACTGATGAGTGTGAAGCACGTCTTTTATTGCTGTGCCAATGGCTGGTTATGATAAATGACCAGTGTCTACTGAACACAGCTTCATGGCCATGTAATGCAGTTAGCCCGCTGCGGAAACATCCTCAGACCTCACAGCGGAGTGCTGAGAAAGTTGAGATTGCAGTGTGTTTATCTGTGGGGTTTTCGGTGTGTGTGTGTGTGTGTGTGTGTGTGCACGCTCTTGTACTTCTATCTTTGTGCGGACCTGTAGCCCTGGAAGTTGAGGGACTCTTGGGCCTGCTTTGTGACTTCAGGTTTAAGAATAGACTGGAGAGGTTATGGTTACGTCAGATGTCAGAGAGGCAGGACTCGCTGTATTCTTTAGATAAAGGGAGGTTATTTTTAAATTCTCCTCCTGATGCAGTGGAGCGATGTGGATGCTTCTCCTGGAGCTCCTAAGGCATGTTTAATTTAAAATGTAGTACAAACCAGCTAGTCTCAGCTTTTCAGCAAAAGAAAAGAAAATCAATGTGGATTCGAGCACTAGAAGTAACAAGCCAACTTTAAAGGAGGAAAAAAAAACATTGTGTCTTTCTCTCTCTCTCAGCCGGCCAATCAATGTGTGAAGCTAAGTGTGTTATCCAAGTATGAAGTGGCATGAAGTGATTTAAAAGTAAAGAATAGTTCTTCACATTTCTACAGGAACCACTTCACTGGTTACGCTTTGGTGGGAAAGTGTTGCGTCAATGTGTAACCTCACAAGTATAAAACCACGAGTCTGTGTGTGTGTGTGTGTGTGTGTGTGTGTGTGTGTGTGCGGGAGTGAGTGTTGATGCCTGTGTGTGTTAAAGTTTCCACGGAGGAGATGATCCATGACACTTGCTAATCAGCAATGACTCAAACCTGTAATGTGCACACAATCACACACCAGCAACCTTAATACCTTCTTAATGCAGTAATTATATGTGATATATACGAAGGAAGAACTGAACTGAATAGATCTTCGCAAATCCGGCAGATATCAGATCCTGATATTTCGACATCAGCCGTCGTCCTCGCCGCACTTTGTGTTTCTCAGCATCTGCCTGCTTGAATCTGTGTGTGTGTGTGTGTGTTCTCTCAGGTGGTCCGGGCTCAGGGAAGTCCCTCCAGTGCGAGCGGATGGAGGAGAGGTTCGGCCTGCGTCACGTCGCCCTGGGTGACTTGCTTTGTAACGAGCTGCAGTCTCACGGCGACAGAGGACGTCTCCTGCGGGACGTCCTGGAGAGAGGCGAGCAGCTGCCAGAGGTCAGTGTGGCGAGTGCATCGTTAAAGTGAATCAAAAACGTTAACCTTACGAGACACACGTGTGTTAGATTTTCAATACATTGTACATGGGATCTGTACCGAAAAGTCCTTTGTTACTTTAATAAACTGAGCTTTTCGGTCCCTCTTTTCTCTACGTCCTCTGTCTCAAAAAGTAGTTTAAAGTGCAATAGAAACAATCAAGCTGGAATCAGGCAGAAAGCGCTAAGAAAATATTTATGTGGGTTTATTGTACATTTTAAAAATTGCAGTCTACATCCATGAGTTTAAAAAAGAACACACTCAGAAAAAGTGGTTTGTTTTGAAATGAAAGGAGGCCATTAAGACGCAGGGATGTCAAACTGAACAGAAAAATAAGATAAAAAAAGACAAGAAAATAATAAAAGACTAAAGATGTCACAGAAACACTCACACTGTTGACTGACAACCGACTGACAACTGATCACTGGCAGCAGTGAGCAGAGACAATACGTTAAAAAAAACAAGTTATCCAATACAAGAAAAATCCCCCCACAGCTCTGAGGCTGAGAAAACACCGTATGATGTTCAATGCACCACTTTTTAAATCTCGAAATATTGGAAATAAAAAGAACTCACCGGTGAGTATAAGAACTGTAACAAAGTTCAACGTTATGAAATGTTACTGTACTGTTGCCTGGCAACACAGAAAGTAAAATGTAATGTTCTGTGTAACTATGATCCCTTTGCAGACCACCAGCTTCCCGTCTAGCCACATGTGTGCTTTCTATACGGCTGCATATACAGTGGAGAACAGTCAGGAGAACCAGCCTTAAGAGTTCAGAACATGGGATTATCTTCCCTGATGGAAACTCACAAGTTGACTTTCAGCTGCATATTTTTGAGCTGAAGCCGAAGGTCCTCGTATTTAATGTGTCAAACTGCTAGGAGTGGAGCGTTCCTTGATTTCCTGTAGCGGCTTCACATGATTTAATGCGTCTCCTGGCAGCTCAGGGTTTCAGCCCGGGGATGTAAAGTTGGTCATGAATACTCGGCTAAGGTCGCGTCCGGCTTCTGACAAGGTCCTGTCATCGCAAAACGTAAATTCATCCCCCTTTTCTTCCTTTCAATCCTGGGATTATACTATAATAAATCCTACTGTTGCTGACACTATCCCAGAGAACAAACAGGGAACTTGATGCTTTTTGTGGCTTAGAGCAGCTTTTTGTGCTTACAAATGTACAAACGCTTGCATCTCTCTGCAATTTGTGGTTTAGGTTTATTCACACATGAAGCATCTATCCGTGTTCATATGGTGATCAATTATTGTGCGGTTTGTGTGTCCGTGGCGACCAGGACACACTGCTGGAGCTGCTGTGCGATGCGGTGGCGGCGGCGGTGCGGCAGGGGAAAGGAATCGTGATCAGCGGGTTCCCCGGAGACCTGAGACATGTGCAGGCGTACGAGGCCAAGGTCAGAGCGCCCGACAGACGGGGACAGACGGACAGACCCAATCCCAATCTCCCCCTGACAGATTCACACAATCTGAGGCGCGCTCACGCGAACTCAGTGGGGGTCCAGGGTTGTCCCATTGTCAAATCGTTGAGTGTTTGAGGGCTCGCTGGCAGACATTTTGAGCCCCATTTGAACCCTTTTTGTAAATCAGCATCAGATGCTTATTGGGCCCAAGTGGATTACCCACAAGTCATTGCAACGTGACATTTATTACGGGATAACCAGAGAAAGCATGGAGGCGTATAGAGGACGGCACACGAGTATGACGGCAATGCGTCTTATTAAAATGAATACATTCAAAATGTTGAGGATTAAAGATTGAGAAAAAAACAAGATATTCATAAAATAGTTTTGTTGTTGAAGCACTTTTGGCAAAGAAATATTTTAAATGTCCTCTCATCTTATGAGGAAAGAAGTTTCTCATAAAGATGAAAATAAAGAATTTCCAATCAATGAAAAGTATTAAATAAATAACCTCGATTGTAAATCATTTTTTGACGTTGTCATGGTGACGTGTCATGTACAGCTATTTAAACCATTTAAAGCCCTCTCTCACACTCCCTGAGGGGTCAGGGTTCAGGGATTATGGGGGGGGGGGGGGATTGGGATTGGGCCGCAGACTGACAGACCACATGTGGTCGGGAACATCCACAAAAAAGGAAAAAGTTTTTTCTCTGCAAAAAAACAAACAAAAGTTTGTTTACTTATTACTCGTGTGTCAGATGGGGGAGCCCGGCGCCGTGCTCCTGCTGAGCTGCTCCGCTGACACCATGTCGAGTCGGCTGCAGTGTCGCGGCAGATCCACCTCGGGCCTCCACAGAGACGGCGTCCTGCACCGGAGAGCCGAGAGCTTCTGCGGCGCCAGCCAGGCGGTGGCGGCTCATTACGAACGCAGGAAACTGCTGCACACGGTAACGTGGATTATTTCATTTGCTGCAGCAGAATGAAGCTTCAGGTTCCATTAAGCCCCCTCGGGTACAAAAGGCCTCAGTGTTTTGTATGTTAAACATACTGACTGAACTTTTCTACTTTAGTTTATGTGCAGGATCAGAATAAGTCAAATAGAGCTCATGGTGATGGACTTATAGGGCAAACATTTCATGTCAGGGGAGCTATTGGAGGAAAGATGAGCAAGTACGTTTTTTTTCTTAAGAATTCATTTAAGGTTTTTCCTTCGATGCGTTACCAGTTTAAGGCATTAACATCAACACCATGTAAAGAAGCCCATTTGCCTTCTTTTCCGAGCTTTTATATTCCGGGTGAACAGTGTTGACCTGTCTTTTTTTTTTTAAACGAGCCGGTGGAACGTTTAAATGCCACGCTGGTGCGTGCAGCACGCTCAAATGCCACAGCCGATTTGCGAAAGACACCCAAGGGGGGGGGGTCCCGAAAAAGGCCTCGTCTCAGCCAGTGTGTCTCCGTCCGCAGGTCGACGCAGAGAGGTCGCCGGATGAAGTGTTCGCCCAGATCTGCCAGGCGATGGAGACCTTCTGATTTCTACAATTTCCTCTCAACTTCTCTCCCTCCCCCATCTCTGGATTCTCCCCCACATAAACGTCACACCTGCCACCAGACATAAGCTTGTTGAACTGTGGTACGCATGCCCCCCTCCCTCAAACGCTCCCAGCAACGGACGAACCCTCCCGCAACGTCACATTTCTGCTTCGTCGCCCTCTTACGTTGAACTCAATATATGCTGCAGACCCTCGCTGCCGAGCGCTACATAACTGCTGTGAGAAAAACACCCAGCATTCCCTGCTGTGACCGAGAGCGTGTTCCTAGTAAAGGTGTGAAATCTCTCAAATGTCAAGTGGGCTCATGCACAACATGCTTCGTAATGTAACAAGCATGCAAGGTTTACGATCAAGCTTCACTGCTTTCTGTGCGTTAAATCTAAATAAATAAAAAAACTGAAAAGAATTACAAGTAATGGAGAATATTGCGTTTGTATGTTTCCAAGCTGACGGTGCAGGTGCTTGTTGCAGTCTGGTGTTTGACATTAAATAAAGACAGCGCATTTGCTAAATGGTGTGTTGTAAGTGTTTCACGTGTGTGTGTGTGTAGTGAGAGAATAATCACAGCTGATCGGAGAGCGCCATCTTGTGGCGAGGCGGTTGCAACAAAAATGTCCTATCTTCAAAACCGCTCACCGAAACCAGCAAACGGCCATAATCCTCAGTCGCTGGAAATGAAGAATAAATAAATCTAACTAATATTTTGTGGGTGTTTCTACATTGCTGCGATTGCAAAAGCGCTCTTGATTTGGGAAATACGTCAAAAAAAGACTTGCAGTTTCTCCAACACGAGGATCTCCTGCTTTTCTCAGTTGTAGATCAGGTAAATTCGGTATCCTATCGGTAAAGTTCTCATCGGTTTTTAGACAGTTAGCTGGACAAAAGAAAATTGAAGAGAGAAATTTCATTAAATGATAATGGTGAAAATGATGCATCCAAAATGATTTCAAATGTCTTCGACCAACAGTTTGAAACCCAAAGATTTCAAAATAAGGTAAAACATTTTCAGAGAACATTGTCTTTTTTTTTTTTACTTCAAGTCAATTCAATAATCAACAAAACAACTTGAGTAGAAACACTACTTTCACATACTTTTATTTCCACGGTTCTCCTCTAGCATTTTTTTTACATTATTAATTTTTTTTTTTTTTTTTTTTTTTTTTTACATAAGAACAGACTGTTCTACACAGATATTGAAGCGGGGCAAAGGGGGTGAAGGAAAGAGACGAAAACCATACAAAATGGTGTCTACTCAAGCACAACAAAAGCTATGTGTATAAAATTGTGTGGAGGCACCAACCACTACCTCAATTCTTTTTTTTAATTTTAAATAGATTAATAAAAATACAATCTTTTAAATGGACCTCTTAAAGTGGACTGCAAAATGAAAGAAGATCTAGAGGCATGACGATGATTATGAAGGAGAATGTGGGTCGGTGGCGCCGGGGGGAGGGAGAAGTTGTTCAGGAGGTCGAAGTACCTCCCCAAAAAAATGTTTTTTAAATGGCACAGAGCAGTTAGCGCGGGCTACTTTTCACCATATACTTGTACACTCGACATGTTCAACAACGGCACACATTGGGAGAGGAGAGGAAGAGGAGGGGGGGGGGCTGGAAAAGAAAAATGAAACTTTCCATAGGATCCCATTGGCCTGCCTTCAAAAACATTTGCTCTCCGTGCTGTAGTGCTTCCCTGTCCGACGTGTTTTAGTGGAGAGAGCAAATGGAAAGGAAACGGAGATGAAAGTGTGTCTGTGTTTGAAAGGTGAAAGAGAGCAGCGTTGTGCGACAGTGCTAGGGGTCGGCTCCATGCTGAAACACACACACACACTCCGTTCTACACGCACGCGCTCGCACGCACACACACACACACAGGTCCGTCTGCAGAACGTCATGTGGCTCAGCAGGGTGTCCCACGCCGGCCTCGGCGCCGCCCACTTCCTCCGGCAGCAGCTCCCGCTGAGGGAGGCGGGACTCATAAATACTCATCTACGGATATCTAGCTAGAACATTTGTCACTCTTGCATAACACGGAGACCACATATACACACACACACACGCACACACAAACCACCCAGGTGTATCTCAGCTGATGACATCACAGTCCACTGGGACCGTGCGTCTCCTTCGCGGTGGCTCTGAGCCAGACTGAGCGCCAACTCTTCAGTTTCGAAAGCAGCAGCGGGTGGAAGGGGTAAACCGGAGGGCGGTGATGAGGGGAAGGGAGGAAAGCCCCCCCGGAGTCACAGAGCTCGGGAATGTCGGTGCGTCTTCTGGGGTATTTTTGTGTTGTTTTTCAAATTGCGGCTCTGCTGATTAACCTGGCCGAGGTGGGGGCGGGACCCTCTTGCTCTGAGGAACCAACATGGCCAAACCTTTGCTTAAGTCAGAGATGCCAGTTTACCAACAGCCCCCCGCCCCTCCGCCTCCTCTCTCCAGCCTCCCCCCCCCTCCAGCAGCACGGGGGTCGGCTTTCAGGCTCCCGGCTGTCTGCCTTGCCTGTTGGCCCTCCTGCCTGGCGGGGGGTGTTTAGCGGTTATCGTGGACTTGGAGGATAGAGCCATGCACAGAGTGGCCCGTGGGACATGTGGAGAGAGCGCGGAGCTACGGACGCCTGGGACCCTGTCATCTGTTGGCTGGAAAGTAGTTTGGGTCCAGGTAGTTGTAGCCGGCGCTCTGCGGCAGGCAGTAGTCCCTGTCCAGAAAGGTGTCCTGCTGGTGCACCGGTTCCAGGTGGTGGTCCGGCTTGTGAGTCTCGGTCTTCAACAAGCTGGACGACGTGCGGGGACAGAAGGAAGAACTAAACTATTACATACTGACTAGGCCATTTATTTTATCTTTTGAATATATATCATGTTTGATTACTACAATAACTCAAAATAAGTAAACAAACAAGACTATACTTCCATACAACATATTGTATCACCAGTATTCACTTTGAAAGCATCTCTTAAGACAATTGCATATTTTGTCCAAACACCAACGACCAGATCTGTGCGTGGTGACGTGAGGGGAGGCGGAGGGTCTCACCAGTCGGAGCAGTTGGAGCAGAAATCCACCGAGTTGTCCTGTGGACAATCCTGGCAGTGCCACCTGACTCCCTGGATGGGCTCCATGCCGCAGATATCGCACTGCACAAAATCAGAGCAGTACAAAACCATCAAATTTTGTCAAAAGGTGATTAATAACATGAGCGAACACTTATTTGTTAGGACTATAACCGTGACTATAACCATGCCTGAATGTGGTTGTTCCTTGAGGAAGATAATGCAGTAGCATTGTTAAGTGTGATATTATTATGTAAAATGTTGATCAATCTAGAAATGCTCTATTTTGTTACAACGCTCAAGGATTTCCACGATGCAGCCAGAGGCAACATTGATTTCTACCCTTTCAAAGCCTTCTCTGGTGGTGTGCTGCATTGTGGACTCAAATCAACCTCACACTCATAAACAGAGCAATTCAGAAGCCGGTGCCATCATATACTCATAGGTTCAATGGCGGCTACGCAAATGCAAACACAAGATTTGTCCACAATGAACAACTGTATAGCCCCTCTGATTCAGGATGTAATCAAATTGAATTTCCCTCCTACATCTGGGCACACTTATTTGTGGATGTCTCGCTTTATTGATGCACAGCAGTCTTCACCTTGTAGCCTACATGCCGCATCCCCGCCTTGTCCTCGTGGATCTCCTGTAGCGTCTGTTTCTTTAACCGCTTTAGCTCTAAAAGTTCTTTGTACTCGGGCAGGTTTCTCAAGTCCATCGGTATGGCCTCTTCATCCTGAGTGTGCAGGAAGGAGAGCGAAACATAAGTAAACGCATACACAGAAAGAGGGAGAGAGAAAGAGATGCTTTGTCTGTGCGTCACTCCAGCGATTTCATAGAGGTTTTAGTTCCACTATTGATCAAAATGATTTTTAGCTATCTATTAAAGGAGGTTTTAAGGTTTTCTTTCAGTGATGGTGGAGTAAGCACAGATCTATTCATCGTAAACTAGTACACGAGTGCAAACCGCTGCCTCCGTCATATCAACTGCTAGTCTCCATTGTGAATCGTGCTTTGTGACTTCAGTGTCAGAGGTTCTGTTACTGCGGCGGTGAGGAGGAGCGCAGCCTTGTGTTCTCAGCAGGAGACGGCAGCCAGGTTCTACTTAAAAGGTTACTGTGATCACAGGGAGGGAAGGAAAATGTCATTGCTTAGGTAACGGCGAGAATCTGGAGCCTTGCAGTACAAGTGGAAGTAGGAGCGAGCCGGTCTGCACCTGCTGCTCTGATTTAGCAGTTGTAAAACAGTACAATTTGTGTGGGATTGAAGGGAGGGGTAAAAAGGGCATAGACGTACATGGCCACAGGCCAAACGCTTATGTCATCCGAAACACATTAAAGTAGAGTTAAGAGGGCGAAGTCAGTGACGTGAAGGCGGACGTGGCGGGGAGCATGTTCGCAGTTGCTTACTTTGCCTCATCTTGAAATGGTTAAATAAACAAGTCCCTAACGCACATTACACGCAGCTTTTCCACGTCTTTAAACACACAGGTCACTGCTTATATGAGGATGGGGGGGGGGGGGGGGGTGAACGCAGCCTGGTCGGTTGTCCCTTTCACGGAAACCACAAATCCAGGGATCAGCCCAAAAGGTAAATAAAAGGGAAATAAAAAAGGCGTAAAGCTTTAAAGAAAGGGCGATTCCAATTTCAGGCGGTGGCGTTCCGTGACTGACCGAGTCGTCAGCAGAGGGGTCCTGCATGCTGCTGTAATACGCCGAGCGCTCGTCGTCCTCGTCCATGTAGACGGGCGGCTCGTAGGAGGTCAGGAAAGTAGATGCCCGGTATAGGTGCTTGTTGAGGTGGTGCTGCCGCTTACTGGACGCCTGTGGAACAAAATACATACCCTTTCTTAGAGGTCAGTACATTAGCAGGCAAGTTTGGGCAGATTCTTAAAAGAAGGGGCAGGGAAATACTGTCCAATATTTATATACTGTGCGTGACAATAGTATGTGACACGTAGATTTGAACAGATTTTGGTCAATTTGCCATTGAAGTATAAGTTAGAGGTTTTTAGTCCATTTTTGCAGTGCCAGAATTTATTTACTTGATACTTTGGTTCTATAAAAATTCAAAGTTCAATAAAATGATACATACATTTTTCATAATACCACAATGAGTTCAGGGCAGTGTCCTAGCTAAAGACACAACCTAAAGAGTGTCTGTTGTTGAAGTAGGGAGTCTGGTAGATGAGTAAAACGTTACCTTCTTAGTGTACATGCACAGGTTGGGTGTTCTTCCAGGCACAGGGATACCAGCCTTTGTCAGTTTGATGAAGTACTTTTGAACCCGACTGGCAACCTGCAACGTTTTAACACAAAAATGTCAGTGTTAATGATTTCCAACTGAAGTAATTTAGGTCACATGAATGTATGATGCAGCTACTCGTAGGGGGGGGGGGGGGCTTTTCTTTTAGTACTGGAAAATAGACATTAACATTCTGTGGCGGTGATTTCTTTCTGCTCAAATATTCTGAACTAGCTGTGCGAGGAGTGTGAATCAAACCAGCATTTGGTTCGGGTAATCTTCGCTCTCTTTGTCACCTGCTTTGCTGTTCGGTTGCCGAGCTCATCAGCAATCTTCTGCCATCTTCTGGACTCCACTTCCTCGGGGGGGAACTTCAAGAGAAGCTGCTCCAGTTTTTTCTATCAAATTAGGAAAAAGAGCAGCAAAACAGACAACCATGTAAGGACAGATTATTTTATTAGCCACCGATTGTCCCATCGAAGACATGCTTCATGTATTTAGTATGATTTTATCCCAAACCAAATATTAGTTTTATAAATAGTATATCCTTCAGCCCTCGTTTCAAAAATATATACTAGATATATATTCTAAAATACGATGTGGTGAATGGTGTTATGCAAAGTTCTAAAATATATATATATATCTGTAGAGTACCCTGAAACTGTTTGCACACACTGAAATGTATTGCAACATATTGCTCACTTTCTACCTACCTGTTCCTCCACGGTCCACAGCTGGTTAAAAGTGTCAGACTTGTTTGGATGACAAATCCTTCCCCTGATCATCTATAGAGAAAGCACGAGTGACAGCCATGTTAAAAAGATGCAAAAAAAAATGGGCACGCCATTATTTGAAGAGATCTGTGCATGTGAACCGCCCGACACGCTGAATCAGTCAGGGACAGACAAAGCCCAGCTGTCGGATGAAACCCAGGAGGTTTCATTGGTGAGAAACAGAAAGAACAGCAACACTTGTGAGTGACGAACAAAAACCTGTTAGAATTCACAGTGTAACTCTGTAGAGGGGAATGCAAATGTGGCTGCAGAGTGTAAACAGGAAGAGCATCAGAAATAATCAAGTTGTTTACTCAAAGCTGAAGACTGAGCATCAAAATAAAGACCTCACTGCGTATACAATGTGGGAAAATACACAAACAGACACACACACACACACACACACACTCACAACATGGGCCAAGAAAAAGACATAATCAGAGGTGGGGAAGAGGCGTCTCCCTGTGTTTCCATAGATAACATCTTTTGTGCTCACATGTGCCGCCTGCTTAACTCCGCCGAGGACTAAGAAAGGGGGGAGATGAGGTTGGCGGAGGCCTACGGGAGGAAAATGGTAATAACCTGATGATTTGTGGGCCACTGGTGACTCACCAGTTACAGTTGGGGAACGGGTGAAGCTAAATCTGCACTGATGATATGCTGTATGTGTGTGTAGCAGTACAGGTAATCTTAGCAAAGAGGCAGAGCCATACCTGCTGTTGCCTGCTGTTCTCTAGAGCGTCACTAGTAGGCAGAGAGGAGTACATGGTGGACGATTCGCCTTCCTTCTTGGGCTCCACGGGACTTTTTGGTCGAGCAGGCAAACCTGAAGAGAGGAAACGAGCAGGATGGTTGGCAGAACAAGCTCTACAGTGATTATTTAGACTGAAACCAGAAAAATTACTCGACAATTACGTATATATAAATATATATGCCTTGGTCAAAGATCAGCTTCAGCCGCCTGGTTTTCCGCTTCTTGTCACAGAACTCCCTCTCAAAGTCACCGAGGCCTGAGGTGTACTGGTCCCACCCGATGTCAGGGAGCTGGACGACTCGCTGAGGACACGGCAAGTCCAACTTAACCTGGTGGGAACAAGGATGGGAGGATTCACATCGACTAATAAATAACAATCCTCATTACCACAAAGCATACTGCAGCGAGGTTCGCCATTGAAAAAAAAAAAATGCTCAAAAGCTTTAAGGTAGGGCAGCTAGACTATTTCTCTCTTGGATATGTGTTTACCCCCGAGGTTGGCAAACTCTTGAGCACGGGATCAGTTAAGGTGGGCCGACCCTTAATGTGGACCAGCTACTTTAATGACAAGATGCACCTCAGAGTTCTCATCAGATTTGATCAAAAATTTTACAAAGTTCCCTCAACGGGGTGTTTATCTGATAGCACAAATGTATTTATTTATTTATTTAATGTTATTGAGTAAGCAGACAAAAATGTCTATTAGAAGCGAACATTGGGCCCAGTTGTGGTTGTACAGAACAACCAGCGTGAGTCCCACAAGTTTTTTTGATGTTACTCAGGAACCGCTGTGTGTCTGTTACCCGTTTCTGCAGCTGCTCCACAAAGCTGATGGGATCGCCGAGTGCCTCCCTCTGCTGACGGGCCAGCGTCTCCAGGTCCAGGATGGCCTGCGTGCGCTGAGCCTCGAGGACGCCGATGGTCTGCAGCAGTCTCTGATAACTGACACGAAGGGAGGTGAGGTTAGACAACAGTTAAGGGGTGGGGGGGAGGGGGACATCAGCATTATTCAACTTGACACTGCAATGGTGCAGTGCATCAAACTTTCAGACCCCAGACGATGCATAATTCATCCACGGCGCTGAGGACATAAATACTTGCGCAAGGCATGAGCCATTCTCTTTTCCACTTAGTTTGAAATATAACAAGTTCCCCCTTTGTAGGGTAAAAATGAAGCATCTCCAGCAAGCTGCTTGTGCAAATAAATACTTTGAGTTACTTTACTAAATCAGCAAATCAATAACTGCAGCAGATAAATGGAACAGAAAAGGCACTTAAAACACTTAAAGCACTTTTCTTATTAGAATTGACATCACATTCAATTTCATTGCAATATCAAACCCTTTGCATGACAAACGTTGGGTTTTGCGGTGCTCAACGAGCCTTTCGTGCTGTACAAGTCCGACCTTTCTACTCACACCCTCCGGGGCAAAGGAAGAGATGCAAACTGAGCTGTCAATCACTAAGCGTAGTACTGACTCGGAGGCGAACAGAGCAGGAGAATGTGACAGTCCAGCATGCTCCTATAACTTAAGGCAAGTGCTCAGTGAGGCAGAGTAGATAAATCTCCCCTAACAGGATATTTAATGAAAATCAATGCAGAGGAAACAATTTATTCAACAGCTGTGAGTGGTCACAAAATCCAACAAGAAAACCACACAAACAAGTCACCTGTGTTTAACCTCATATCCCTTCTTTGGTTACGGACACCATTATTTTACACTGTGTGGAGCTGTGTCGACCTTGCAAAGCGCTGAGCGCTCTACTGCAATGCCAAGCGGGGAAAAAAACTCATCTGTCTCTGAAGCAGTGGCACCAAAACGTATTACTGCACATTTCTCGTGCTGCAGAGTGATTCCGAGTCAAATGCAAGATCTCTGCAAAAGAAAGCAGCCAGCATGCTGCCTTGCTCAGATGAACAGATGATCTGTTCATAAATGGGTGTGAAGGGAATGGGGGAGGACTTGGCTCTGCTTCATGGCTCTCTGAAGTCCCACCATATGTCCAGGGACAAACCTGGTGCACCATTGCCACCTACTGGGCCTGAGGTTCACTCAATAACAGAGGGGCCCAATAAATAGCGGGCCAGGACAATAGTGCTACGGTGATATCTGATTTTTAAAACTTATTTACTTAAAATAGGTCAAAATAGACAAATCCATAAAAAGAAAAATACATCATGAATTATGTTTAGGTAAATTCTACAATTCAGCAACCCTAAAACGCCCCGTCAGGTATCCGTAAAAATGACTCATCGCTGTATTGATTGGAGTGTTCAGAAAAAAGAAAAAAAAACTCCTCACTCAGCACAATCTAAAACTTGGCTTGTTACAGAAACGTCACTTGATCGAATTACCTAGCAATACAAGAGCAATGAAATCGCACCCAAAAGCTATTCTCAGAATTTAAAAACATTCAGACAGAAAAGGACCTCGGCCCGAGGATCTCTACGCCGCTGCGCCTATGCAGACGCACCATGAATCAGCTGACCTGCCACAATGCAGCCGGCTGAGCGCACGCAGCACGGGAAACGCCCGCCAACATAAACATCCCATCTCCTTTGACAACGCGGCCTGGACTAAAAGCCAGCAAAGAGAAACCCTGTGAACGGACCAGCAGAGTGATTTTAACATCCAGTCATCGTGGGCTTAGAGGGAAGCTGCAAATTGGCAGCCAATTCACAGGAACAGAATGAAAGTGGAAACTAAATGCTGAATCACGCGAAAACCAGAATACAGGAGCTGGTTAGATTAATATTCCCATAACTGCAAAAATAACATTGATAATCTAACATCCTCTCCATGCAATAGTGCTGCAAAAACCCAGAACCACCTTTTTGTAACGTTTCCTAATATTAGTTTTTAGAAAATGAGGGGTGGGAGTGTGTGCAAAAAGGGTAAGATTGTTTATTTTCTGAATTAAATATAGATAGATAGATAGATACTTTATTGATCCCTCAAGAGGGAAATTTTGGAATAGGAGTTAACTTGTGGGTGGAGGTAGTTTTCCTTTATAGGCAAAACACATGAGACCATTAACACGGCAGGAACGATACAAATATTATCCTACCCCTCACATTTTAATACATTTTTCTTAAAAACTTGAATCTCTTCGGTTAACAGTTGAATTAAACAATGAAAAAGATTCAAACGAGAAACAAGCTCAAACATATTGAACCTGTGAGGAGGGATCACAACAATGCAGAGCTACAAAAGGCTGGGAACTGCTGATGTAGCCTAAATTAAAAAAAATTAAAAACAATGTTTTGAGAACAATGAGAATAATAAATATTGTATATTTTCACACTGAAGGATTACCGCTTTCTTTTTGCACATCCTCATTAGGTAAAAAAACGCCTGGGTCATTTGAAACCAAACCCCAGAAGTAATGCAATGATCACAGAATGCAATGATCATCGTGTGTGAGCGCAAAATCACAACAAAAGAAGAAGAGGAGAGAGCGCAATCCCCGGGGAGCTCCCACATACTCTTTGTTGTGTTTAAGAGCCAGGTGGTCCGACTCAAAATAATACACGTCTGGCTCCTCCTCTTCCTCCTCCTCTTCTTCCTCCTCTGCTGCTGCTGCTGCTGCCTGGGTCAGCTTCCTGCTTGGCTCGGCCTCACTGCACCCCACAGGTACAGTGTGCTCGCCACCTGCCCCGTCCTCGAGAGCCACGGAGACCGGCTCCTTGGTGGAGGGGCCGAACGAGCCTGGGGGAGCAGGCTCCTCCACCATGGGGCAGTACTCCTCTGGCCCAACTGGCAACAACTCCTCTTCCTTCAAGGGACCATTGTCTCTCGGAGGAGAGCTGAGCTTGGAGGAGGCGGCCGTGCCGCCGGTAGCAGCCCTCCTGGGTGAAGTCCGCAGTGTGTATCTGTGTTCGTAGAGATCCATGAAAGAGGAGGGCGTGCTGGATACCGAGGGATTGCACTCTGGCTCTGTGGGGGAGGGTGGGGTTGCTAGTGGGGGTGTAGTTTCTCCTGAGTTGCTGTTAATTGGAATACTGTTTGTGTTGGTGGTAGCGGAGGAGGTGGAGGCGGCGGCGGCAGCAGCTTCCTGCGCTGGTGTTGGCGGCCGGCCGTTGGTGTCGCTCTCACTCGCCGTCACCTGCTCCTCGTGGGCCAGAAACATTGGGTCGCCCACCACGTCGACCTCCACCTCCTCCACCACCACCTCCTCCTCCTGAGCCACGATCAACTCGGGCACAGGGTCCTCTGGAACGGCCTCGAATGTTGGCGTGGGCGAGGCTGGCGATTCCCCTGAGCCGGAGGCCTCCATCTGCAGAGGGACAGAGTTTCTACAAGGCACAGAGGGGTCAGGGGATGAGGGGGCCCCTGTCTGACTGCCGTTGAGCAACGCCGGGCAGTTGGTGACGGGGTGGGGGTTTGCGCTGGGCTCTTCAGTGAGGGTGCTCGGCTCCTCTGCTGTATTCTCTCCGAGTCCATTAGAGGCCCTGTGGGCGTCCGGGGGCCGAACTGCCCCTTCGCACTCCACATGACCGTCCCTCGCCTCGGTCGGCTCCCCTTCCTCTTTACTGTGGACAGGTGACGCAGGAGCCGCGTTTGCAGAGTTCGTGCCGGGAAATTCCTCACAGCTGTTGTCCTTGCTCGGCTTCGGGGCAGAGGCCGGGCTTTCGGACTTCAGGGGCACCGGGTCCTCGTCGTGTCCCTGAGACTCTCCAGAGCGGGAGCAACGCTTGGCCCTTTTGATTTGAGGAGAGACATCCCGAGCACCCTTCCCTCGCTCACAGTTCTCAGAATTCTCTGGACCGATGTCCAAACAGGAGACTGCCCGCTTCCTGGAGCTGGTCCATGACTCCGCCTCGGCAGAAGAGGCGTTCAAGTCAGTTACCTTGCCCTGCAACGAGGCCTGCTGCCGAGTGTCCTGCTTTGACTCCTGCTTAACGTCTTGTTTGCCGTCCTGCTTCGACTCCTGCTTAACGTCTTGTTTGCCGTCCTGCTTCGACTCCTGCTTAACGTCTTGTTTGCCGTCCTGCTTCGACTCCTGCTTAACGTCTGGTTTGCCGTCCTGCTTTGACTCCTGCTTAACGTCTGGTTTGCCGTCTTGCTTCGACTCCTGCTTAACGTCTGGTTTGCCGTCCTGCTTTGACTCCTGCTTAACGTCTGTTTTGCCGTCCTGCTTCGACTCCTGCTTAACGTCTGGTTTGCCGTCCTGCTTCGACTCCTGCTTAACGTCTGGTTTGCCGTCCTGCTTCGACTCCTGCTTAACGTCTGGTTTGCCGTCCTGCTTCGACTCCTGCTTCTTCTTGGGGGAGCGGGCCCTCGGTAGCGGAGGTAGCGAGGCCTCCTCCGGCTGGGCGATGCTGCGGTTCCTGAGGGTTCGACCACAAAAGTTCTCGTCCAATCCATTGAGCCCCACTGACGACCTTGTGACGCGCGAGGAACGGGACGCGGCCATGCTACGGCGGGTGCCTACAGCCTCGTCATCCTGGTGCTCTCTCCTCTGCAGCAGAATGCGGGCACCTGCAAAGTAAACACACAGACGGATACGTGAACTTTGTCAAGTCAAAAATAACCACTGAATACTGCAAACCTTTATAGCTCAAGTGTTACTTCTTAGCAATGATTTGCATCCTGGAGTTTTTCAAAAAAGAACATTCACCAAAAGTCCCTTCTTAAAAACAGCGTGGGTCATTTCTACGCTCACCACAGAGGGGTAAGGATTTCTCCTGTAATTGTATCCCAGCAACACAAGAAAGACGGCATATGGATTCTTCCGCAAAACAAGACGGAGCTAAAAAAATTACAACAAAAACGTGCCAGGAACAATTCTCAATCATGTGCTGGTCTGTAAACTCTTGTCGTGAAGTTGTAAATGATTTATCACAGCAGCACAACTGTGAAATCCTTTTTAATTTATTTTCTGATCGGACATCTGACCAATAGTGTCTTAAGTCTTGCTACATTTGTTTATTTTGGAGAATTCAATACAATATTGAAATATAAAATCAGATGTTTTATATAAATTCAGGATAAATAATAGCTTGTAAGTTTTTAATTGAAAAAAACAAGTCTTTATTAGTTGAAATTGTTGGTTACAGATCCACTTGACAAATGTCAGTTTAGATCCTCCATATAATCAGTGACTCCAGGGAAAGCATTCTCAGCAATGGAAAGCCCATAGCCGGCAAGCAGACGCCTTGTAAAAAGGTAAACTACCTGCATTAAAACCAAATCCATGTATGTTTCACTGAGGTCGTATCAATTTTCTCCCTGCAGAGATTACTGCTTATTCTGTTACACAAAGAATACAGGTTGACTGATTTCTTTCACAGAAGTTACACTGTAATTCCTACACCCAATTCAGCGGGGATAACACTGCCGGCTGTTTATCTCCTCACAACAGGTGTGCCAAAGGACCGACCGGCTGCAATCCTGCCACAATTTATCACCTATACAATATGAAATATTTATACAACCGTAGACAAAACTTAAAGGCTCTAGAGTGTGGACAACCAAAGGAGGCTAATGGTCGAGTCCTAAACCTCTGACACAATTTAAAAAGGCACAGCATGTCTTCCAAAGCTCAATCTGTCTGCTTGAGGAATCCCGCTGATAAAAGTACACTACTGTGCAACAAAAAATAACAACTGGTTTACAGTGAGACCGGAAGCCGAACACAAGAAAATGAAAATGCTAGCAGGCACTAATATTAAGTCAAGCAGAGATAGTTTATACCGAATAATCAATTTCACACAACAGATAACCTTCATGCAATTCCAAACGTAATCTCAACAATCCACCATAATTTCACTTTCACTACAATTCCATCATGTGAACACCTTCAATTTTCATCCCACTTATGTTGAGGTTGTTATTGAGGCAAAAAAACAGAGCTATCTAAACTAGCCATTTAAACCTCACCAATGATGGTGAAGTTGTGTTCTGGGCCGTGTTTGACCGTACCATCATAATAGAACAGACAGAGAGCGGCAATCATAAAAAGCGCTGGTTGTAGTACGTGGTTGTAGAAGAGGAGACCAAGTCGTAGCGTCCCGTTATGTAGCGGATATAAACGAGTGCGGTAAATGGCATCGACAACACGGTACTCATTTGTATTATTCCAAAGAACATAAATCTTAGGCCAACCCTGTGTTCAAAACTGATTTAAAAAGCTCCACGTTTCCTTCCCCTGGAACAATGCCTCACCTCTCCTAAAATGCGCAAACACAGCAACATCAAAGCCAGAGGCTACCTTGGCAACATATACAGTTTGATCATATTCCTTCAGGGAGCGAACAAAATAGTCACCTGGAACAAGCACCTATTACTCACACTCCAATGAAGACTCCAGCTGAGAAAGCTAATGTGATTTGTGCATGCATAAAATAAGAGAGAGAAAGAAAGACAGGGGGAGCCGCTTATTCGGACTGACCACTCACCCTTACACTTAAAATTGACAAAACTCATCATCTCACCGGCGTTAAAAAACTAGAACTAATCACTAATTGAAAATGATCCGGATCACAGTACAGCCAAAGATCTTTAAATACTTGCTCACACTTCTTTGTCCCAATAGTTAGCACTTTATTGACGCAGTCGGCAGTGCCTCATTTAATTAATAAAAGTCTATTAGAGATATCAGAATAACAAGTTGTGATTACTGAATAGCCCACTTAAGCTCGGCTAAGATGAATGAAAAACATGTGGTGTAATGTCAGATATTTTGTAAAATAGGAAAATGATTAGTAATTAAGCAAGAACTTGGCATTGGCAGAGAAATTATTTGGGGGAAAAAAATCAATAATAAAAACATCAATCTCCTTTCTTATGGAACAGTCTGAAATTACATGAACCCACATATACTGGAATGGGGGGGGGTGTCATTGATTCTATTGATATTATAGAAGTGGAAAGAAAAAAATATTTTAAACAAAATTGGGTTATTCTTCTTTCTCAAGAACTACTGAATGCTTTCAACCCCTTATGTGTAACAACTGAATAAATTCGATGCAGACTAAACAGTATGTGGTTGAACTGCATATAATCATGCCAGCAGTACGGCCATAATGTTTGATGAGGGGGTCACAAGTAGACATTGCTTTGTTTTATGGGGGTCAAAAGCCAAAAAAGGTTGGGGAACCACAGCGAGCATTTGATAGTTTTCTCTCAGCGGTTACTTTCACATTCCCACCAACAGTTAACAATATGAAGATACATTTCATACGTTTGTGTCCATCCCTTGTGTCATACAAATGTAACTATGACATCACAACGAATAATTGGTCCTAATAAAAACATGTATTGCCAAATATCTTTTTTTAAGACCTATTATTTTTTAAGACCTATTATTTACATGGCAGTTAAAAACATGTAGCCACATTAACTGTCACTTCGTTGCACACCAATTCATGTGTGTGCACGTTGAGCATAATTTAAAGCCACCGATCCTAACGTTTGGAAAACAACAACAACAACATGTGCTCACAGGCAAGCGGTTCAACCACGAAGGTTGAGCGTGTCGAGGCCGGATGTTAACAGTTGGAGCAGCTCCTCAGACAGCGGCCATGTGTGATTGTAATTCTCAAATCAAACCACTTCCTGTTGCTCGCAGACGCGCGTGTTCGGTTGTGACGTTATGTTAACACCTGCCGATTACGTTCCCATCGTTAGCCCAACACTGGGATTCGGACACGGGTCACTCCACTGAGATGTTTTAAGTGTGTAAACCACAGCTGCTGACACGTGAACACAAACGACGTGTTTTGCTTAACGGGACGGCAATTGTTGGCAAAGGTGTCGCCCCGAGTTCAAAGTGATGCATTAGTCTTACGATCAACCAAACAACCTTTTGTGATGTTTCACCGTCGAGCTGGACCCTTCGTCTCTATTACTGATATGTAGCTCCAACACGCCAAGAGAGCCTCCAAACAAAACCCCTTTTAAAAGTGTTTTTGGTAAAAAAAAATAAAAAATAAAAAAAACATGCCGACGAGAATCGCTCAAACCGACATCCTCGGCTTAAATCAGCTGCTGCGAGCTGCTCAATGGCGAGAAAGTTGGCCGCTGTTTTGACTCGAGACCGGACAACGTGCCGCCGGCTGAGCGAGAGACGCCAGCCCGCCGCACGCGAGGTGAACTCAAAAGTTCTGTCAGATAAAAAGTCCCAACTGCACGTTTTTAGGGCGAAACAACTGGAGTCAGGCGCTCGGGGCTGGGCGGCAGGCTAGCGGTTAGCACGGAGCGACTTCCAAGGGAGCGTTCTGAGACCTGACGTTTAGCGGGCTAACGTTAGCGAGTGAACTTACCGTTAGCCCGCGAGGCTAAATGTAAAAAAAAAAAATAACGCTTCAGACACCAGAACTGCCGACTGTTGCACCCACGAAATCCATACGTTATGTTCAACGCTCCCCGGGACCACCGAGGAACAAGTACACCGCAATCTAAAAGCCCTGTTCGTTCTCCCCTACGCGGACGACTAGTTAGCGAAGTTGGCTAATGTTCCATTTGCTAGTTCTTCTCGGCTAGTTTTCCCATAAACTGCATCGTGCAGACAAGTATCGTGGCGGTTCCAGGTGTAAAGCTAGCGTCCGTAACCTCGGCTACATGCTAACTGAACTAGCACGGCAACCCGATAGTCATTAAGTACACCAATAGAAAAAACTAAAACGAGGGGGGAATAACTACGAGCGTGGTTTCGCTTTGGTTTACATTTTAACGGTTACGCAAAGAGAGAAGCGTCGTGGTCAAACCCAGCGGTATAACGGCAGTTAGTAACCAATTAGCAGCTACGGCTAGCCACTGCACCCTGGTACCAGCTAGCCAAGCTAGCTGATTGTTACGTGCATAACTTTGCCGATGTATGCGCGTGCCGCTGACAATGCCGGGCGGACCTTTTTGGTGGACTAATAAAGTAAGTTTTGGACATTCTCGCAACTAAAAGCGCCCAAGTTAAGGCACACTTCTAAATATCGTTTGTAGCCCGAGAATTACACATACCTCACTTCCGTAAATTTGCTGCACGTTCGGCCGCAGCCATGTTTTCAATCCAGTCAACTGGCGCTAGCCGGGGTGTGTGAGCCGACTCCACCGCGCTCGTCAAAATGCAACACTATAATGTCATTATTTGGCCCCTGCCAAGAGTGCATTCGGTCACACACTCTTCGGGTCACCTCGATTAAGTGATGACTCGATGACTCAAAGGCGCACCCCCACCACCATCCCCCATATGTTGATAATAAACAGAGTAGGCGACTTTTGTAAATGTATGTCTTCCCATTCAAAAACCGTTAGAAAATCAGAAATGGTGACAAAAATTAAGGTGACCACAGTTTTAATCGTGTTTTCATCAAGATTTAATAGTGTCAGGCAGCAAAAATCAGGATGGATCTCACTCAAGTGACAGCTATATGCAAAACCTCACAGTAAAGCGTTCTCTTCACCCATTCAGCCAACTCATGAAGCGACCCTTTCACCATACTCAAAAATATTGCCTTTAATTAACTTGATTGCTGCTGCTGATTACACAGCTCAGTATGCTTTCGGTAGCTGTACAATTCAGTAAAGAGAAATCCAGATTTTGTTGTGCGTGCACATTTTATAAGAAGCTTTGCATTTACATGCAGTTACATGTGTTGTTAAATTGTGTTTGCGTGTTAGCACATGCATTCTTAACAGACTTTGCCTGCCACACATTTCCTAGAAAAAAACAACCTATTAACATCTTATTATTATTATTATGCTCCCTTCTGTGCCAAGTTACCAAGTGCTGAATCCTGACCAACATACTATCAGTACTGGTACATTCAAATACAAACCAGACATTTGCATAAGCATGCCAATTTGTACTTCTACAGAACAGTGCAAAACACAAAATTAATTCCTGAGACTACTCAGTTATTAGTCCCTTCATAACTTAGTGATTTTCATCACTTTACATATCACATTTTACGTCTTCTGGGCATTCATTGGACACAATTCTCTTTAAAACAGGATCAAGTGTGATATATCTACAGCAAAATTGTGATCCAACAATACAATACAAATGGACATACAATATGTGCTCATTTGGTCAAGAAGATATATGGCATTCATTCTGTGGAATTTTTAGCTGCACATAATTTAAATGCTTGGTTCTTAAAATAACCCAACACACGAGTGCTAATAGAGCTAATAGTGCTAATAAATTTAAGAGCTCTTCAAACAGATTGGTACAACATGACAAACCTCTTCGGACACGTTAATTCTACCTGTCAGCAGTCAGACTGTCCTGTAGCGCTAAAGATGAGGTCCTTTGTTTGACTGCATTTGAAATAAAAGTCAAGTGCAAAATGAAAAGGCTTTTAGTTTCTTGAATGTTTTCTGCAGAGTGCTTGATTAAACAGAGCGTGTTTCCATCTCGATCTTCTCCTCGGACTGTGACGATTCTGCTTCTTGGTGGCTGATGTTTGGCCGAACCGTCACAAGTGGACCGCCACCGTATATAGAGTGCAGGAAGTTCCACGTCTCCTCAGAGATCTGCCCCGAGTCGGCTCCTGCAGGGTCAAACATACAAACTTAAATATTACTAATATAATACAATAATCCTCAGAAGGTAAGCGACCACATTTCTAACAACAACAAAACAAGTTTTATTTACCTGCCCTGTTTTAAACTAACATTTTATTAAATTGTTGACAAATATAAAAATGTAGAGACCTAATGATACAATCCGACAATAACGATAACCAGAGTATTAATAACGATAATAATGAGTACCTTGTTTAAGCGTTAAGTGACCGTTCTTGTTTACTGTAATCTTGGAATTATCAATGGGCCCCGGTGGATCTGAAAGAGGAAGAAAGACAACTAGCTGTCATAATTATAAGCAGCAGTAACATGTATGCAGATTTTTCACTGAGATATCTTTCAAACCTAATTGTTTCAAAGACCAATGATGTTCAAATGTGTTTGTCACACTATGATGAGCAATCTCTGCTCCCCACTTGCTACAGTGAGAAAACAAATATTAGCATCGCCGAAGTCAGAGGCAAAAAAAAAAAAAAAAAAAACCTCAGAGGTGTTAGATATAAGCTGTTATAAATAGATGTGACAATACAAAGCAAGACTAGCAAAAAAAGAAAAAAAAATCTGATAGTGAATGCAAGGAAATAAAAAATATTTTGACTCTTCTTTTCTGCTGCAGCAGGAGGGAAACGTGACTCGGGGGACACGAGCAAAGTCTTTGAAGATAAACCAAGTGAAGAATTGGGACTTCTCGGCTTCTTTTGAACATGAAAGGCTTTAGAAAACAAGAGCCCTTTTAAGTCCCATATAAAACAGCTTATTTCCCAGGTTCTCCTATACATGTAAATGTTCAGACCTGACAGGACCTTTGTTTTAAAATGTAAATTTATATTAAATAAAAAAATCACAGCAGCTTTGCCATCACCAGATGTGAGTCACAGCAGCATAGTGGGAACATTTAGCCTTTAAATCAAACATTTAAACAGGATTGGGGGAGGAAAGGCAAGACTTTTCTCCAATTACCATTGTCTTTTCCTTTGACAAAGCCCTCCCACTCACGAAACCACTGCATGCTGATGCAGTATATGACCACTGGAGACTCCTCCTCCTGGAACGCCTTGTTCAGCTGAAAAGAGAGGGGGGGGAAGAGAGGAAATGGGGGAGGAGTGAGCAGTAGAGAAAGGAGGGAGGAGAAGAGACGCAAAGAGATGAGAAACAGGAGGGGTGAGGGGGGAGAGAATGAAAAGATTGAGAGGAGAGGAGATGGAAAAACTAATCAATTCTCTCTGGTAGTTATTTCAATTAGAACAGAGTCTTAGCACTCGACTGCACCAATTCCATCTTTCTTGGAAATTACACAATCCCTGTTCCTCTTGTTATCTTACTGAAGCTCTCTTTCTCTCTCTCACACACACACACACACACACACACACACACACACACACACACACACACACACACACACACACACACACACACACACACACACACACACACACACACACACACACACACACACACACACACACACAATCTCTCCTGCTGAAGAGCCATTGTGTGAGTGAGCAGACTGAGCAGGCAATAACAGCTGCATCGGTCCCAATGATGTATGCATTAATGATGAGGCTTTCATCGGGCTCACACCTCTCATCTCCTGCTGGGATGAAGAGCACCAACACATGCAACCCATCAACTGGTTCAATGGACTGGAGAATAGGTCGATACACTGTCGTGAGAACTGGGCCACAAAGAGTCTCAGACGCACAATGCAGACCAAAGCGCCTGTATCCTGCCTGTACATATTGTTATACACATTCGTCTTACCCTGACAAACATGTCCAGCTCTGACTTGCGCCGTTTTTCCACTTTTTCTATTTCAATCTGGCACGTGTGGCAGACATACAGGTGGTTGACAGCCGGTCCTCCGCCGTATCTGCAGGGAACGGCCCGCATTAACTCGCACAGAAGAAATTGACTTGACTAAAATTATACCGCAACAGACCTTCCAATTCCTCAATCAAAAGAGCGAAATCTATTGCACGTACCTGCTGTAAAGGTGATCCCACACGTTCTGCGGCAGCATTACTACCAAGTCATCAATAAATGTTGCTTTGTTGGGAGGCACACCTGATTAAATACATCAAAGCATCAATGATTAGAGGTTAACAAGGTAACAGTTAAAGGTCACTGGCATTATGCATTGATTATTATTATTTTGTTGATTAAACAAAGGAGCTGGTAGAAAGATGCACAAAACCCCAAAGTGCTCAGACCCTTGCAATGTATTATCTTCAGTGTAATACCCCTGTCCTCTCACATTTAGCTTTGTCTTGGGAAATGTTTGGGACATTTTCATCTCTTCTAGCATCCAAAAACAAATGATCACTCTCACATCCAAATTACAACCATGAACGGTGACTGGGAATCACAGGCACACACTGTGCCTCATTTTAAGGAATACAGAAAGATTGGGACCGACTACATTAGAAGACAAAATTTCTTTTTGAAAAATGTACAGGCAACAACATTTTTATGGCTCGACTTCTATCTATACTATCGCTAATAGTACGGCTGAACTATTTTTCAAAGTCATTATATTTGGATTGTTTTGAAATGTATTTTGATATTATAAGGAATGATAATTTGTATCTAATTTTTAATGGAATTTTTTTTACATTTTTGCAGGGATTGATATCAAACAAACATGTTTTGTTAAGTCTGTAGAATATGACGTGTAGGCCAGGCAGCACAAGAATATTTAATCAAAAATAGCATACAATTGCGATTGATTGTGCAGCTTTAACTGATTGCTCCTGTATGCTTATTCACAGAATGAAACCCCTTCTCTGCTGCCATTGTGTTCTAACAGCTTCATGATAAATCTTTCATCTTTCAAAGCCATTTCATTTTCAATTCCTTAATATCCAGCGCTCTTTCTGAATAGAGGGCAGAGAAGAAAGCAGCTTGATTGGCACAAAAGCCTTTTATAATTCTTCCCTCTTCTCTGCTAAAGCGAGAGAGGAGGATCATCTGCTCAAAGGGAAAAAACAACTTTTTGAAGTCTGTTGTGATGTGAAGGGAATACTCTGCAGCCTTTGTCAAAGACAAACATCCACAGCAAAAGATAAAATCAACATCTCTGTTATTTGAAGGGGAGAACACAATTTCTTCCCCTGAACGTTTATGCATAAAGCAGAAATAATAATATAAGAAAGGATCCCTGGTGCCGGACTCTTTCCCTTTCTGAGCAGTTTCAGTATGACGACAACACAGCCACACGCACCTCCATGCAAACACAGGAAGTCGTCATTGGAAATTGGCCCCGGCTCAGCAAAGGTCTTGAACTTGTTAAGCCACTGGCGGGAGATGTAGAACTGCAGAAGGCTGGGTTCCATCATGTTGAATAAACCTGACACCCTCCTCCGTTCCTTCAGTGCATCCTCGCTGCTCTTTCTGGGACACGAACAGAGCCACAGATTAATCTGCTGCAATTGAGTGATCAAAAGTGAGATGAAAGTTATGAGTTTACAAAAGCAGCACAGTGAGTCTTAAAATATTTCACGAACACAAGGGTTCATCTGAGCCAAGCGGTGGAGGCACGTTGGCTTACTTATAGAAGAGCACATAAGCCTCGGCGTTCTGGACACAGGATTCGGACACCTCGGTCACGCTTTGGTCGTCGAATTCATACCACAGATTGTTCAAATCGTTCCTGCAGTACGCTATGTAGTGGCCACCTGTGATCAGACCGGGGGAAACGTGTTACCGCGGCATTCAGACACCTAACAAGTACATAATACATTTGTCTACAGGCTGATGAATGCGGGACGGTCGTTCCTGCCAACTGAAGGCAAGACGCCGCGGTCGCAGTGGAAAGGGGAGTGACTGCGCCCACTCACTGCTGGCAGTGCCGTGGTGACAGATGACTGACAGCAGGTCATAGTTGGTGGTCTGGGCGGAGCTGTCTTTGGCCAGGAAAGGCTGCAGGTCCAGGCCCTCGAGCGGAAAGGACACGTGGGTGCAAATCTTGGTGGAAAACATCAGTTCGTGCCTGAAGCGCTTCAAATGTACACACAGGATCTGGAGCAGGGGAAAGGCACAGCTTTTATTAGAAATGTTGAGATAAGACCGTCGGGGAGAAACATCCGATGTGAAGATTTGTCCTTTTACCTCTGGCAAACTTTGCATTTTACAAAATTTGACTCCGTTTCGTAATCTAAGAAGTGGGTAAAATAAGAAAGAAAAGGGAGATGGAAAATTATTATATTTCCAGATCATATGTTTTCCCATTGTGAAATAAAATCGGTAGTCAGAATCAGGCACTCACTTCTTGCATTTTTCACAGCTGTACATGTTGTCTCCTGGAAAACAACAAGCCCACAGTTATCGAGTCATCAATCGAAATGTTTGTGCCGGTAGAACACATTTACGCCCACTTGCTCACCCTTTAGTTCATCTCTGGCAAAGAAAGCTGCGAGACAATCTTGTAGCGTAACCACTGGACCCCAGAACCAACTAGAAATAGAACAGAGGGGCGGATTTTACACACTACGGGTAAAGTAGAGAGATATTTGAGCTACACTGTGTATAATGCAAATAACTAGTGTACATACGAGAACGCCTTGACGGCAAAATATTCTCGATTCTATCCTTGAGACCCTTGTTCATATAGAATATGGAGGCATTCATTCCAAAAGCAACAACTACAATGTATTACTACGTAGTATTAACACACCTCTTGATGTATTCCATGACAAAGGAAATCCAGCCCTGCGGGGCATACGCTTCTCCACAAGAGCCGGCCTTAACCAGGGAGGTTTGGTGGGTGGAGGAGTGGAGCTTGGCCAGGTCTTCCTTTCCTGGGATGGGCAGCGAGATGTCCTGGAAGTTCTCCAGAGTAACAGACACCTGGAGCACAAATATAACCATGTGACATGCGGGGCGGATTTACGGCGACAGCCTGTAGGGACATCAGAGCTCATCACATCGTCAAGTACATTATTTTCATTATGTCACATCTGTAGGACCTTGAATAAAGAGACACAGTGAGCCGATCCCATTTAATGTCCACACTAACCCGGTCACAGGTGAGGCACTGAACGGAGCTGACGATGGTCCCATCAAACACGTCGGAGATGACACTGCGGTATTTCTTCTGACGCTTGCTCTTCGGTGCGGAGAATGTAGTCACTGCTGGGTGAAGGCAGAGAGGGAGACAGTGTTTTACATGTGGTCTAACTACTTTGAAGAAACGCAGGTTTTTTTTTAAATCTCAATACTGTTGCCTCAGATTATGCAGAAGTACCTTTCTTGTGTGAAGGGATAAGGCTGGACCAGCCTGAAGCAGCTTTGGGCGGACTGCTGGACATTTTGGGAATGTGTCCCTCCGTCGGGACCGGACTCTGTGGTCTTGTGGAGTTGGATATTTGGATGTCTGGGAAGGAATCTGGCAGAGAGCAGGACAAATATTAGATCATTTAAATACCATAACGTTGGTGGTGATTATCAGACGGTCAAGTAGATGGCAGGTGAAATAACCTGATGTTCTTCCTTGAACCTTGATGGCTCCCTGGCTGCTGATAATGGGCGTTGTTTCGGTGGTGGTGTCCACGTCTTTGTCCATGTCCACCCCAGTGCTTCCGCCCATGACCCCATTAACTCCAGAGCGGTAAAGGTCATTAATCATGTTCTTCTCCTTCTGCCACTCCCTGTTGGACTGGATTTCATTTTCCTCAGTAATCAGCATCTCTGCCTCGTTGGTGTCTTCCTTGGTGGCGTTACCGCCCTGCACCTCGTTATCGGCCCGCTCGCTGCTGCCACAGGACTCGCACGACTGGAAGTCGTTGTCCGACTGACTGCGGTTGTCCGACTGACTGCGGTTGTCCGACTGACTGCGGTTGTCCTCCTCGGGACCGTCGTCCACGGTGACGCCGTTGGACTGGTCGTAGGGCTCTGGCTGCGCCTCCTTCAGCTCCTCGTGAAGCTGATCCATCAAGCAGCGCAGGAACTCCTGAGAGTCCTGCAGGCAGAGTGGGAATAGTAACAAGCGACGTCAGCGGAGCTGGGAATATTTTAGTCACAGCGATCTGAAAAGCTAATCAATTTACTGCCTGAAAAGTTGAACAATAATGCAGCAATAATTCTTCCCGCTAAACATTCCAAAAACATTTTTTAGTCTTCCAAATTACAACCACTGACCGCCTCGTTTATCCCGATTCCCAGTTCGCAAAACTCCAAAACCAAATACTCACAAATGTGCCGTCAGACTCAATGAACCTCAGACATCTAATCTCCTTCTCAAGCCATATGAGCTCTCCTCCCCCAGAAACTGGAATGTTTAACTTCCATCACGGCAATGCTGATTCCAAAGCGGTTGAGCCCAGCATGCCGTGACAAATGAATATCCCTCGGCTAACTCCTCTCAACAAACGCTGGTAAGCCAAGAGGAAACAGGCCCTTGTATCACTCCACCGCTTTGGTCTATAAATCCTGTATTTACACACACTGGACCAACGTAAAAGGCCTTGTGGAATCTTTTCTATTCCAACGTTAATTGTTTCCTTTAAGCTCTGCCTAGAATCAAATCAAGCAATTCAACTTTAGTCTGTTAGTTAGGTTTGATGGGAGCATTTGCATGTGAATAACACTAATTGCGAGGCAAAAGATTCTGCTTCTGTGATTTCTGTAACGGACACAGAGGGATATGGAGCGGAAAAGAAAAGGGGAAGAGACTGTATACGATCTGGGGCAACTTCATAGTCGGGGCGTCGGACACATAATAATCCCAGCTCAGCACAAATTCATTTTCAAGGATTTAATTCAGTTCAAACCATAATCCACGTTTTATATTCATATCTTCTGCATAATATTCTCATTATTTGCAAAGCACGAGGGGCGAACGCAAAAGAAATCCACTTTTTAGATCACGACAACTGGCCGGCAAATGTATCTCTGTGAAGAAGAGTGTTTCATCTTTTATTCATGATGAATCTGTGCACATGCACTCAAATGTATTTCATCATCGGCAATGACCCACCTGCTGAGAATATCCTCTGAACATGGGGTTTATGGCTTTGATCCCCTGGAACAAGTTGGTTGGAACCACGTAAGAGGGTCTGCAATATGACAAAACACAGCATGCTTTACACTTATATCACAACATAGAGCTGCAGGGATGAAGTATTTTTCCACTGGATTTTGGATCATTGCAGAAAATAAGCAGGCATTTTTTTTAATTCTGGGGGGGATCCGTGCTTTTAAAAAACTAATTAAAAAAAGGGAAACACTCCAACCTGTTCTTGTGCCAAAGGTCCGACACAAGCTTCTGGTAACTTCTGCAGAGTGCAGGTTTCTTGTCCGTCCTCACCATGCCACCACATTCGAGAAAGAATTGCGTCAAGGGCGGGCTGCAGGGGAAAGAGGAATAAATATGTCAAAACATATACCAGGTGGCCACCAAACAAGCTTCTAGTGTATTCTAGTCAGCAGATTGATTAGATTACCAAAACATTTGCACATGATCGGTACCAGAAAGAAGCAGCGCTCACACAGACAGACATCAAAAGGAAAGTTTCAGAAAAAGGTCCCTCCCCTGGGCAGCTGCGTGACTCGGGTGGAACTTGATTTAGATTGCAAATTTTGACCCACATCTTTTCCCATTTGGGCTTGTACCCAGATTATGCAGGTGTCATTTAAAATGTATTGTAGTAGATAGTATTAGAGAGGAAGAAAAGGTCAGCTGTTCCATAACAAAAATGTAATAAAAAAGTAAAAATGTTATGAAGTAATAACAGAGGTTTTGCAGTGGAGCTCCAATTTAAGTACCAAACAATCCATTAACAAAGAATTAATGAGTAGGGCTGGAAATTCAATCCACTGTTTTTTGTTTTTTTTAATGCAGCAGACTGCAAATGAAACAGAAAGCATGTGCAGTTTCACGTGGCGACAAGGAGACGGGACAGAAGCTATCAGCAAACATTTTTAACACAAGAGGCTCCAGGGAACCACGAAAGGCCGTTTCTGGCATTTTTAATCCTCACCCAGCCACCACTTTTCAAAAGTTAACGTAACCCTGGCTGTTGTTTCCAGTCAACAACAACCAGTGAATAATAACAGCAAATGGCTGCTTAAAAAGAAGCAGCTAGTGCGTGGAAGAGGATGTGAAGCAACACCAGAGAGCGAGCGGCGTCGGCGGTGTGACAGGAAGCCGGCTAGCAGAGGACTCACCAGTTGGACAGGGCCTGCAGGGCAGCGTTCATGTAGCAGGTGTTGCCTATGTTCTTCAGCCCCGTCAGGCCTGAGGGAGACGGAACACGATGGAGACGTTATAAACAAGCCACTTAGGCAAACATAACATATGGCGTTTGGTGACGCTTGAGGTAGTCTCACAGCGGCAGTGAGGCACTCGGCGACCTGGTCGGCTCACTTCGATGGGGGCACACAGTTGTAAAGTTGAAACGACAGATTCTGCGCTTTGAACTTACTTGAACTTGAGCTTATAGCTGAAATTGAACTGTAATAAACGGCGTCTTTACTGACTTCCTAACAGTACAAATGAAATATGAGCAGATTGTGATTTTTTTTTTTTTTTCTCCCATTCAGTTTGTGTCAACATGCACACTTCCTCTGTATAAGCTGACCTCTGGCCCGCAGTTCATCCTCCTCCTCCATGTCCATATCCAGGTCTTCACAGCCTCCATTAGGTGGCACTCTCAGGGAGGTTGGGCTCCCAGGGGCCCTGCTGTTATCCTGGAGAGACAGCACAGCAGCACACACACACACAAAGTCATAAACCTCTAATCTAGTAAATGAAAAACTACGTACAGCTTGACTGACAGTTCAACTGTCCCTCGGGATAGGATGTCGGAAATTGTTATCGTACAGTTCTGTTAAGTACAATGGGAAAGGGCACACACGCTAACACACACACACACACACACACACAGTGTGGAACGAAAGCATTAATGCAGTAAACATGAAGAGAGAAACCGTTCTTTGACCCCCCTCTATGACTCAGCAGTCATATGAAGCATGTAAGCTGCGGAGAGACAATAGAAGCTGGCTCTCACCTGTCCAGCGTTCTGCGGAGACGGGAGCGGTTTGCTGGTGCCGTGGGGAGAGTGAGGACCAAGCTTACGCTCCAGGAAAACCTCCTTGCCGCAGGCGTAGCACCACACCCTGAGCGTGGTCAGGTTCACTGTGAGGTTGTGCCTCGTCTCCTGCGCGTGAAGTTGATGGAAAAATAGGTTTGTGAATAGACAAATCAGACTGTGTAAACAAAGACAAAAACAAAAAAAAGACAGTGTCTATTGAAGAACAGCTGACTAACCGCGTGTACTTTCTTATCAATGAGGGGCGTCTTAACGCTTTACTGGACAACTGGTTGCTCTGACTCTTACATAACAAATACGTAAGTGTGCCTGCGTATTTCTATGGTGTATCAACAGATCATTGATGGGAGATTCTGGCACAATCCAGATAAACAATGATATTTTCTTCAAGCACAAAGTTTTCTGCCTAAATAAAGTATTGTCCGATCCTCCCACATTCTGTCTTAACATACGTTACTATGGCCAAGCGTGCAACGCTGAATAAATGAAAATGTGCGTTATGAAATGTCAGCGTTACTGAAAATACATCAATACTATGCAGAGTTTCTACAGACACTGGAGGACAGGAGCTCTGCACTGCACATCAACCCGGCCTCCGACCGGATTAATCACATTGAAATTATTATGTTCTCAATTTAGGAAGAATAGCCACCTACAACCATGTAGGCAATGTATCAAGGCTGCAGGTAACATGCAGTATACTGTCAATTCATTATTTGGTCTGTACATGTCAGAATATTGGACCTATTTTACTTATTTGACTTTCTTTTTGTTGATATTCAAATATACAAATGTATTCAGTTTAAGAACATAAGAAATAAAGAAAAGAGAATTCTTCACAACTACCAAGCGGGGGACAACATTGGTTTTGGCATAAAACTGTAGCATGTAGGATTCAAAACTAGGGCTCCCACAATTCCCTTTCTTGTAAGGTAAATTAAAAATATAATAAACAGAATTTGAAATACACTATAACGGTAGATTTTGAAGCTTATGGGACACCCGTTGTTAGCTGAATGTCTGAGTGGGGGAGGGGAAGGGGGGGGGGGGTTTGCAGTAAGGCAGACTTCTGCTGCTGTGGAAACATGGCCGAGTTCTGCTGACCCACTGCTGCTCCGACGGACACCAGCAGGCTGGAGGGTCAACAGGAGACGGAGCAAGAGCAGCAGGCAGACACCCTGCATTATTCATTGGGGCTGCATTAGCCTTCACAGTGGTGTGGGGGGGGCACGGCTGGCATGAAACTGTCCAGCTATAATTATTTATGAAGGAAAGCATACCATGTAGGGCATCAACAACACGCTGGATTCATGAGGCCTAGATGATGGCTTTTAGCCCACGTCATGTTTTGTATTACAGCAAATTGCCTGAAGCTTTCATAATGTTCATTTGTCATGTTTATGAACGCCTCGTATACTATAACGTTCACATCTTTATTGACTTTTACATTCAAGTGAGACGAATTCCTTACTGATTCCTTGTGCACAAGGAGAAAGGAAAATGATGCATGTCTAATTGTGTCAGCGGCTCATTTAAATACTTTTTAAAATAGACGCTGATGTTTGGACAAAACATCTGCCTCAGTGAGTGATCTTCTGATTGGGAAACGGGCAGGTCGGGTCTGGCTTTGTCTGCAAAATGAGCTCATGTCTCGTCTACGAGACCCTGCGAGGGATGGGAAACACCAACAGAGAATACTCATTCTCACGGGCTTTTATCTCATTGAATTTGCAAGTATTCGCACAAACGCATTTGTAAAACCGCTCAAGGACAGATCAACACATCTGGTGTTTTCAGCGGATTGCTTGTAGCCCAAAAGCAACTGTGAGGCTGAGGTAACCTTCCAGTCCTTTATCTGCAATCTGAAGAAAGTTTACCATTCGCTGAGTTTGTTCATAATTACTTTATTTGTAATATGATCTCATACGCTCAAAAGTTTCCACTTTTGAAATTCGCTGTAACTTGTTTTGAAACAGTCACTCATATTTACTTGCAGTAGAGTTTGACTTGCAGAGGCATCTGATCTGATCCGACAGCAGTCTCTCATTGCATAGTCAAGAGATTTCATTGCCGTCCTCCCCATCAGGGCCGCCATAGTACTAATCAAGCATCGCTTTCATTTGTACAAGAAATAAAGAAGGTTTCTGTGAAGAAAAAAAAAAGGAATACAACAACACTTGCTGCACAAAGAGATGTCCTGGGTAAGCTGGCACATGAAGTGAACTACTGATGTCATTTAAAAATTGGTCTGCTAATATTAAAGCTCTTTACTTGCACCCTGTACGTGTTCAAGTATACTTATACTTAAAGGGATTGTGCTTCAACAGGCCCTTTCTTTACAACGCAGCTATGCAGTTACCAATCACAACCCCACTTGGCCCTGGCGGTCTGGAGGGAAAACACTGGGAACAGCAGAGGCTGAGCGAAGCTTCAGGGCAGCAGGGAGGGGCCGACACAGTAACCGTGGAACTCACAGTGCACTTCCCAGGGGGATTGGTTATTAATAATGGACGATCCACTGCTGAAAATGCACTTAAAGTGGAGATGTAGACAGACACAGCTGGCTTGATGGTTTTTAATAATCTGTGCCATCCATAAGCTAAAAAAATAAATTAAAAAGGCTTTCAAGACGTCCTCCCTGTCAGTAACATCCCTCCCGTCCCCCGAGGAGGTGTCTCACCTGCGAATGCACGGTGCTGTGGTCGGTGTGAGATTCTCCACAGCCAACGTATGCACAGCCATTCTGGAGAGGAAAAACAAAACAGAGGTTGAGGGAATCCAAAACACAAGTCGCATCAAATCAACAAGTTTTGTTTGTTGGGGCCGGCCGGTCTCACCTCCAAACACGCCCACAGATTTGGTCCGCCGACTTTACAGTCTTGGCATTGGCCCTAAAAAAATTGGGTTGTTGGGTTAGAGTCACATGTTATAAAACATCATCCTGTCATCTGCAGGTAAAGTATAATAAGATTATAGAGTCCTTCTTAATACCAAGTAGATTGCTATTGAATGTCTATTCCATGGTTATAGTGACCGAAGAAGGAAAGTATGATGGAAAATTTAGTCAAATTAATGTGACCTGGACCCAGATGGAATGAAAAGCCTCCTGCAAAAACGATCGACTCTCAGGACAATCACACTTTCAGTTTAAAGGTGTATCCCTACAGCCAGCATTCAGATACAAATAATAACTAACATTACAGTGTACAGCGGGAAAAACACAAGTGTAAGATATTTAAAATTCCTTTCGAGACTAGATTTTAAAGACGTTCAAGGTCAAATGGATTATAGGAGGGTTGGAATGTTATGCGTGGGGTGTGGACGGGACCGTGATGACTCACGTGGGATTTCTGAATGAGTTCCTCCTTGGTGATTTCCCCCACGCAGTCCAGGTGGGGGCAGTCACAGCCAGAAGCCGGCAGCATCGCTCACCAAACGGCCTGAAAGAGAGAGTTGGACAAAACACAACATTCAGTACGCAACTGACATTTTAAGTAGGCGATTTATACAAGCAAGCGGGATGTCTCCTTTTGAAAAGAATATTTATCAACCCCATATCTGCCCCTTTATGGGAATGAGAACCCCACGAGGAAAAAAGAAAAGAACAAAAAGAAGTCAGCCTACTGTAACCTGAGTCACCTGCACTGAACGTGAGGGCTTTTTTTGTCATGCCAGCATGACCTGAAGAATTCCTCTTATCATCAGTCGCAGAGAAGCGAAGCAGCTCACGCCACTGCTGTCAGCAACCGACATTTGACTGGGTAGCTGTGCTATGGGCTAACTCCAGTTGATGATGACGCAACGGCTCACTGTCGGCGCCATGAACGATTGCAGCGCTGATAGTGCAGGAAAACCAGAGACGCACAAACAATTAGATGTATGAACAAGTTGGAAGAAATTGTTTGCGAACAATCCCCGAATGAAGAAATTCTGCTAATCCCCATAGCTCAAACAGCAAATCAAAACGCACGTCTATCTACACGTCAGCTCCAGTGATTGTATTCCACTCCCCATGACAGCAAGATCTGAAAAGGATGGCCGACTCTGAAGAGCGCTCCATAAATAAGAGTGTTGGTCACGAGCTCTAACAGCACCATTCAAATGGATTATACTTCTGAAGGAATGCATGCGCCTGTAGCTGCATATGCAATAGTATTCGGATTATACTTTATACGTTTTTGTGCAGGTAAACTTCATATAGTGGTTGCAGACACCCAAATATGGCCAATTCTTTTGAGTAGGCACGAGGACCACACCTAAAGGCTTGTGTTCAGCGGCATCTTAATAAATGTAAGTTAGCCACAATAAAATGACAATCAACACGGAGCCAGTAGAGATGAGTGGCAGGAATGTTAATGAATTAAAAAGGCACTAAACCACGATCCTTCGGTTCAAGTGATGCCTTGTGGTAGCAGAAAAGAATAATTGAATTGTCCCGTTTGGTCCACAAAAGTGCATCTCCAGGAGAGTTAGAAACACAAGTGCAATATTACATTGTTTTGGGTAAGTACACTTTATACGCCAGCCATTTATACTTTAAAAATACAATTCTATTGACAAACTTTAAACCAATTTCTCTGTACTGCTGGAGACAAGCTGTGTACCCCTCCTCTACAGGAATGTTCCACATGTTGTTCAACCTGGTTGCTCAGAAGATGCAAATTCTAATTAAGACAAAGCGGATCCGCTTTATCAGCGTCACCCCGACAATCTTTTTTTATATTGGAGAAACCCTCCCAAGCCTTCACATTACCTAGAGTGCTGGAAAATGTGGTGTGTGTCCTTTTAAAATCTGTTACAATCAGAAATTGCGCAATAGCTCAACGATCGACCTCTGTTGTTCCTCATTTCAAAAAGTCCCACGCACTGGTCCATGTAGCCCAAGGAGGCTTCAGGGGAACGAGGGAATTACACAAAGAGGGACAAAGGACACCCGTTATTATGAGTCTGTCAATCAAAAGTTGTGTCTTTGAAAGAACTGCTCCACTACAAGGCAATCAACTGTCTCAGTTCAAGCATAGATGATCAATCTTAAATGGCAAATTATACAAATGATTAATGTTTCGCTTTAAGAACGACCAGTGGGAGAACGGCAGTGTGTGAAAGAAAATGGAAGGAAGCGAAGCGGGAAATAAGTAAATAATAGTCATAATAGAGTCAGAGGTTTATACAGCTGCTCATATTTCTCCTTTTACCTGAACTATTTAAAAAGTGTAATATAACATTAATAAACATCCTCTGTCTGAAAAGGCCTCTTAAGACCTACAAGTTGTAACTTCATTGTGTCTCACACACTCACAAGACATCGGATCACTGAACATAGGACCACTTTACTTATGGCAAGTTTATCAATGTGTTTTTCATTCGAATTCATCACTAAAAATGGAAAACCACTTGCTGCTGGAGGCACATTTGAGAAAAAAAATAACCATTAGCGAATACACACAGAGATAAAGCGAATTGGCCGATGGGTTTTACACTCAAGCTTTCGGAGAACGACATTATCTCTGCAACAATGCTGCCCCTTTCATTAGCGTAATAGATGACACAGTCATTCGTGGAACTTCTACTGTGCCTACAGGGTCGGGTACAGTACTGGTGGGTCGGGTACAGTACTGGTCGGGGCGTGAGCCTATAAAGTAGACCGGGGACACCATTTAACCCAGTTAACCCAGACGTGAAACAGTAGCGCATAACGCTGCGAGGCACGAAATTCACCAAGCTAACGTTACGTCCTTACGTCCCGTCGTTGGCATAATTCAGCAAGTAACGTTAGAGCGACAACAAAAGGGGTTTTAATTAGCTGCCACGTTAAAGAAGAACAGCTGTGGATATCGTTTTCAAGCTAGCAAGCGAATTATTTTGGCTATATAGTGTGTGTTCAATCGCGTTATGTGGCTTTGGCCTTGTCCACTTCTCAAACCGAGCTGTCAAACCGGGCGAGTCGTTGACAGCGTCACGGGCTCGACTAGCCCTTTTTTTCGTGGTTGGTGCTGGACGGCTCGTCGATATTTCGGGACAACGAGTAATGTTTTACATTGCAGGCGTGCCATAAAAACGTGCCGGGACTGTTAGAAGCACGAGCTGGGTACATTTAGACAGGGGGGGTGGCTCGCTACTTGACAACCGACGTGCTAACGTTAGCCGGCTAACGCTTCTCCTGGCTCCGGCGCTGGCCGTCCCACGGTGACTGCGGCGGAGTGAGTAGACGGCTAACTAGCATCCAGAAATAACAGACCGCCTTCGAACCTTACCTGCCCGAACGAAAGCAGACGCGGCTCCTTCTCTCGAGGATCGAGGCTGTACGTTGATGTGTAAACGCGTAGATTCAGCGTGACTTTAACGCCATTCTTTAGAGGGCAATCCGTCACATTAACGATAGCCGTTGCCCGTTCCCGTCCCTCGGCGTGGTTGCTAACGTTACATCTGTCCCCGCCTCTTTTCCGGTTAAAAAAACAACAACACATAAACCCTTCCTATCCTATTGTCAACATGACTATCGATTTTTACATTAAGACATTTTAGAGTTTAACTCTATTGTATTTGCATTGCATCACAATAAGCCCAATTAAAGCAAATATTAAATAGCTTACCGATTTTGTCACCGGAAGCAATGACATGCCAGATAATGATTGACGGTTCAAGTCATGCGCAGTAGATATGTGTCCAAACTAGAATTTTAAACATGTATTACATTTCCTAAATTAAGGATGCGTGGGCTGGGAGGGCTGAAAGGCACCCATCCCAAGCGCCACCTAGCGAGTTAACGTTAATATATAAGATAAAAATGCTTTTTAAAAGAGATATTAATAAGAAGTGATGGATATGTAAATAGTCATTACTTTTGTAATAAACATTACTTCCTCTAAAAAAGGAAACAAAATGTGACATCATGGAATTCAAAGTAGTAAGTCATAACTTACTTAACTTACTTACTTTTTTTCAACTTTTGTCAAATTGCGTCGTCACAATCTTTTGACATGAGCTACTAATTCCAATTTGTACTGTACAAAGTACTCACGTATTTTGTATTTCATAGGGGCGCTTCAAAAGTGAACATTTTGTCTAATAAGTACAAAGTATCTATTTTCTTCAAATCTAAAAACGTTTATTCCTTGTGAATATTGGACATCATATTTATGGAAGTCATAAATGTACCCTTTGATATTTTGTTTTCAAGCTGGCCCGAATAAAAAGAAGTAGAACTAATGAAAGAAACGAAATACACGTCGAGAGTTACGTAATCTTACGTGAATTTGATGTATACACCGTTTTTTAATTTACATTTGTATTATCTATATTCAAGCCCCCAATCAGCCGATCACACGTTTATCAACAAACACACGTGCCGTGCTCTAAGAAAGTCTAACGAGGGCGCTAGAACTCCATGAAGGTTTACAACGCTTTTATTTTGAAAGTCCCGCTGGCGCCGGTCGCGCGCCGCTCGAGTCCTTCACGGAGCGGCAGCTGAGGTCAGCCGCAGGAACCGGGCGAGCGGCCGGGAGCTTCAGTCTGCGCAGGAATCCTCTACAGACACCGGTGACTTCATCTCACGTTTTCCCACTCAGTTAAAAACAAAAAAGAAGAAGAAACGATTACCGACATTGACGAGTTTATTTCTCAGGCTGTTTAATTCAAGCCGTTTTAACAAATGTAGCCTGGCTAATGCTGCTAGCCTTTATTAGCCTTCTTAGATAAGTTAGCATTAGCTTCTCAGCCAGGCCAATGACCGTTGAGTGCTACAAGTTTCCAAACATGTGCTAATAGGATTAAGCTGTCTTGTCTTCAGAGCTACGGCGCTTCTTTCATTTACATCCGCCTTTTTGTCCTTTAAAATATTATTTCAGAGAATCCTTTTTGTCCTTTAAAATATTATTTCAGAGAATCGGCTGATTTATTGGAAAATAGGTGGTGGTGTGGTCATGAATGAAAGCATACTTGTACAGGTCTTTGTACAGGTCAGTCTGACCACTATAAGCACATGACGGGCTTACTTAAAAGGGGCAATTCATAAGGCTTTACACACAATTATATGTATATCTGAGAAGAGGTCTGTCATTATTTCGATCTCTTATTCATTTCTCTGAATCTTACTTGCTAGATGCTGGTACTTTAATGGCAGCAGGGTAGATCCCTCCTTGCCTCTCTACTCTTCCCATTGTTTTCTTGTTAGTAACATGGATATTATTTCAAAATACACTGTATTTCTAGAAAGTTTCTAAACTAAACGACTTATACTCAATCATTTGAAAATATCAACAACAGTAGCGTGACATCGTGAGCAATGTTCAATGTTTTGAAACAAATCAACATTCATTCAAGAAAAGACTCAAAAGGGAAAGGCATTCATGTGAGGAGCCACACGAGCCTCACGCTTTGTGCAAACCTTAACTGTACGTCTGTGTGTCGTCTCTCAGCTGTGGAGACACAACGCAATACTGTATGTTTTACCGAGGAATTTAAAGCCTCTGTTTTTTCTTATGCAATCAAAGGTGGTTGGAAATACCTTTGTGGGGTGTGCTGCTATTCCTCCATCAGTGGTTGACTCACACAGTACTTTGATGATAGTTTTCACGCAAGGCATTGTAAACAATGTTTTGGCACTTGTAGGAGGGTTATACGCCCTTCTCTGTTTCATTTAGGCAAGCGTTACTACTTGCACGTACTGTATGGGAGAGGCTTGGCGTAATGACTCATTATCTCCCATCCTGAGCCTCTGAAGTTGAATCCTTGCGTGCCAACCTCCCCCCTCGTCCCCCCCCGCAGCTCCTGCAGAATGGTGACGAGGATAAGAGAGTTGCCAAGTCATGGATAGATCGCCACCATGACACATGAGACCCTCACAAGCTCCCAGCTGTCCCTGAGGGCGGCTGCCCTGCGGATGGTCGACCTTCCGCTCTGCGTGTACGGCTCTCTGGCCCAGGTGAGGGAATGTGTTTCAATGTGGTGGACACTTGTCAACTGCTTTTTTAAATTTTGTTTATATAGTTGTTAGGGTTTTCTGTATCCATGTTACGATCATGTGCTATTAGTCTGTGTCCTGTTGTGAGGCTTCTTCAGAAGTACTACAGACTTCTGGAGAGGCGCTTACTATTCTAGTATTTAACTTTAAACTTAATTACTTATTTAAGATGAGAGTGAACTGCATCAAACAATTCACAGGTGTCTTTAACATTTAACTGTTTTTATTATTTTTACCTTCAATATTCTGGAGTCTAATTCTTTCATTTAACTAGAACACTCGTTGTATTTTTTTGGAGCTCACTGTAACGTAAAAACCCAACTCAAAGCCAGACCATAATATTATGTTCTATACTCTTAGACGGTATTGTTAAATGTGGCCCGCAGCTGAGGTAAATGCCATCGCTGATGAGAGGGTTGTAAAACTGTTGATGCAATATTGGCAAAGAGCGTAGATGGTCAAAGTCCAGCATCTGACTTTCCACCAGCAAGAATACCGGCCGTGCTGTTGACGTGCTCGTCATTTATTCTCCCAAGTGTTGCACTTGACGTTATCTGAGAGTCTCTGTGGTCGAGTTTCAAGGATAAATTCATGAACCTGGAACGTTCTCGTCGTTTGCTCTCAATGTTTGTTGGATTCTCTTGTTACAGTCGACTGCAACAGTGTCATCGATGTAAAGCTACTTTGCCTCAGACTGCCGCCGTTGTCAACATTTTGTGCACATTCAGTACTTATGCCAGCGAGCCCCCTAAACAGATAGATCACCTCCACTTGTTTGTCCCCCCCGCCTGCCCTCCAGGTGAGCATCAGCGCGGGCACCAAGAAGCTGGTGGCAGCCACGGCCTTCGGCGCCGTCTCGCTCCTCTTCCTCGCCCGCCGCTTCCAGAGGAGGAAGGGAAGAAAGAAGGCTCAGTGGGAGCAGGATGCCTTTGAGATCATCTCAGAAAAGGGTAAAAGTGCCAGGTCGCTGGCCTGGGATCTCCATTTAAGTTTGTTAGCGAAGCGGCCGGTCTGTGATGTAATCAGATTCACGTGTCGGGCCGCGTTCGCCGAAAGCTGCAGGTTAAAGCTTTTCCTTCTTTAATCTCTTTTAGGGGATTACAGTTTCCAAGATAAATTGACGCACATGTTTGACTGGAGTGAAATGTGAAGCTGATTTTAAAGGGAAACGCTTAAATAGTTGTGTCACACTCTTATCATACCTGGTTTATCTGTTCTGTAATCCACCAACATGCTGATCTTTGTGTGATCACTTTATTCCGATTCCCGTCTGCCCAGATAACAGCGCTGGAAACGTCACACTCTCCCTGGACTCCACAAACGGCCACCCAGCTGGTCTGCTTCTCAATGCAGGACACCACGGGAAGCTGTCCGGCTCTCTGCTGAGCCTGGCCTCGGTGAGACAGACAGACGTTCTTTTGAAATGTATTTTTTTATGTGTCATGTCAAGCATAGAAGCATAAAGCATCTATAATCAGAAAGACACATAAGAGCACTGTACATTTAGAGATGGATGCCTGCAGATGGTTTCCCCCTGAGAAGCAGTTCACTTGTTTGTATTTCCGGCTATATTACGCATTTTAGTATCATTTACTCTTTGGTATGTGCTGTGTAGATGGAGTTGATTAATTGGACCTGCCGGTGTCAAATGTCAGTTTCATTAACTAACTAGAGGATGCAACGTCTCAAGAAATCCTTGGTTTTTGAATTATTTTTTTTTAAACGCTGCACTGCTTCGCCGGCTTTTAAAGCGGCATGCTGGCAGGCTTGGCCTGCCTTTTTGTACGTGCTGCTTCCGCTCCTTGAAGCGTAACCGCATTATTCTGCTCCGCTTCTGCAGGTGAAGAGCGTGAACTCATCCAGCGGCAGCACCCGTGCAAATGCATCCACCTGTTGGGACCGAGGGGGGGAAGCGGATATCTGCAGCGCGGTCAACTTACCCGTCACCACGCCTGAGAACCTGTACCTCATGGGTAAGGACACACAAGAAATAGTTTGAAGTTTTCCAAAAGGAATTTCTCAGAATAATCAAAAATATGCAATGGACCATGTGAGATTGAGGTTTTTGTGTGTGTGTGTGTGTTTGCAGGGATGGATTTATTTGAAGAGGCTGTGCGGCGGTGGGAGGAAGCGCTGACCTTCCGCAGCGGGCCGAGCGAGGACGACGCCAGCTGTGTGTCCGTCAAAGCGGGAGACGCCATCGCCGAGCAGAGGGTGGAGGTGAAAACGGCATTTAAATTTGTAGATTTGTTTTCAGTGGGTTGTGGTTACGTCACCGTGATGCAGCACCAATTCAACACATTTAGTGCACAACTAACTGATTTAAAGATAATGGAGTTCTCAATAAAATGCTTCCTGATCACCTCTTCTTGGCTCATGCAGACTATTCTGCCAATACATAAATTATCCATTTAGGCATGATGTGTGGTTAAATGTGTGTGTGTGTGTGTGTGTGTGTGTGTGTGTGTGTGTGTGTGTGTGTGTGTGTGTGTGTATATATATATATATATATATATATATATATATATATATATAACCAGTTTTAATGGCTTCAGCGGTCACAAGCCGTATTTCTGTTTGTGAACCTCCTTTTATTTCCCCCGTTTTTCTGCATTCAGGACGTCCTGAGTGCGGAGTTCCTGCTCAGGCTGAAGTCGCTGCTGCAGAGGGCCTACAGCCTCCAGGAGGAGTTTGAGGGGGTGTTGTGCGAGTCTGAGGCCTCGTCCCACAGCAACAGCCAGGGTTGAGTCACTCCTTCAACATCGTGTCACCTCCACGATCGATGCGGCACCGCGCAGCGAATTATTCTAAAACGAGCGTTCTCCATCACAGATGTAATGGCCGAGGTTTTGTCCAGAGAGGAGCTGGATGACAGCTGTCTGAGAGACTGCAACAGCATCGCCTCCACCGACTCGTTTGTGTCTGCTGCCGAGGTGAGAGGAACTCCGGTCATATTTCAGAAAGCGCATTCGCTGATGAAAGCAGAGATAGTGTGTTCTGCATCTCACTGACATCTGAAGAACTCTCCTTATGCGTTGATCTCTTTTCGTATCGCTCGTTACAATGAATAAAAGCTTCGGGTGAGCGTGTACCCTCGAACCGGTTTTCACTGCTCACGGCCCACGTACTCGAACTGGGTCGCTCGTACTTATAAATAGACATTCTCCATTAAACAACACGCAGCTCGCCGTTACTCTGCAGCTGTTTTCCCCTCGCGACACGGAGAGCTCTGTAAGAGAACGCACAAAGGTCAGTTCCAGGCAGTGGCGTAACGTAGTAACGACTAGTATTATTTATTAATCAATCATACATATTTCGGAAACGATTAACTTAAGTCTTGTTTGACTCTCAGCGGGAACATTTCTTAACGTATAAAAACCGTATAATAATACAGAGCACAGCCACTAGTGTTTACGATAACCCTGATCTTAACAATGTACGTGTAAACGTGTAGTTGAACCTCTGCGTGTGTAACGTCCTTTGGCGCCTCTTCTTCTGCCTCTTATATCAGCTGACGGAGCACCGGGAGCTGCGGAGCGTCGTCGCTCTGGGCCATCACCTTTTCTACGAGGAGGCGCTGCAGATGGCCGAGGATGGAAAGATCTCCTGCAGGGTGCTGCGGTAATTCAGACACATCACACACACACTGAAAACCTGGGTTTTTATTTTTGTTTGCCGAGATTTTGATCTGGATTTTCCTCGTCAGGACAGAGATGCTCGAGTGTCTTGGAGACGTGGATTTCCTGGCTAAGTTGCACTGTGTGCGGCAGGCGTGTCAGGTACGTCTGATGAATTAAAATAATACGGCGGCCTTAATGGAGACAAAGTCATTAAGAATCGCCTCAAATAAGTTGTATTCTCCCCCCCCCCCCCAGCTCATTTTGTGCGAGAGAACGACCCGGATGTTTCTCGCCGACACCGGAAAGAAAATCCCTGTCTTCCATTATTGTGAAAGCACAGAAAGTGAGACGGGGGGGGGGGTTGGATTCCAAGTCCTCAAAGAATTGAAGCTATTCAAGGATATTTATATATACATATATTATTATTTTTTTAGAGCCCAAAGAGATTCGAGGAGGTGTTTGAGGAGATGATTTCCTTCCTGGAGAACACAGAGCACTGGGAGAACACCGAGGTGGAGCTCGCCACGCGAGGGGTACGAGACATATCGGCCCGACTCTCCCTGTCTGATCGGAAGGTGGAGCCGAGAGAAACTCCCATCTCACTCACCCATCTCACCACTCTCACCAGGTGAAGCACCTGAACTTCTACGACATCGTGCTGGACTTCATCCTGATGGACTCCTTCGAGGACCTGGAGAATCCACCGACCTCCATTCAGAACGTCATCAACAACCGCTGGCTCAACACTTCCTTCAAGGAGACGGTGGGTGAACGCAGGAAATGCTTCTATCAAGGGGCCAGAAATGACCAATATTTAGATTGTTGATCGTGAATGGGCGTTTACCGCATCGTTAGTTAGTATAGAGGGATCAATGTCAGTGTCAATGTAGTTTCTTGGATCAGGAATTTTTCATGTGTTCGATTTTTGACTATTTGAAGGATCGAACCTGCGTGTTTTTCACAGGCGGTGGCATCGAGCTGCTGGTCAGTGATGAAGCAGAGGAGACAGCACATGAAGGTAAACGACCCCCGCAGAACGTTTTCAACGGGATGAACAAGTCTGACCCCCTGACTCGGGTCACGATCGCAGGTCCAGCTGATGGGCTGCAAACAATAGTGGTTTCAGTGAGCTCTCCTCTTGGTCTCAGGTGTCGGACGGCTTCATCGCTCACTTCTACGCCGTGTGCGAACAGATCAGCCCCGTCCTGGCCTGGGGCTTTCTGGGGCCCAAGAGCTCCCTGCATGACTTCTGCTGCTTCTTTAAGGTCGGTATACGATCACATGACGTCCGTCGTGGTTTCGTACCGCTGATGTTTTACCCAAAATAGAGACGCTGATTTCCGTTTTCTTTGGAAAAAGCAGTCAAATGGCTTGGATTTTTTTCAAAATGTAAAATTTCTGAATGTTGCTCTGTGAAGGTGATCAGCATTCAGAAAATACGGATAAACTAGTGCAGTAAAATGGGATTTCTTTTTTTTAAAGCTGACTTTGGCCTCATCTTTAAATATTCAGAATAACAAGTGAATATAAGCCTTTATTGATGTCCATTTAAGAAAAAGTGTTAAAATGAAGTTTGGTAGTACAAACCGGTACGTGTGTGAATTGTCCTCCCCGTCTCTTCTGAAACCATCTTCCTCTTCCTGCAGGATCAGGTCTTGTACTTCCTGAAGGACGTCTTTGACCTGGACAAAGTGCGCTACACTTCGGTGGAGAGTCTCGCGGAGGACATGCTTCACCTGCTGCACCGGCGCTCCGAGCTGCTGGTGGCCTACCTGGGACCCGACTCCCTGCGGACCGTCGGCAGCTGCAGCTCGCAGCAGGTGCAGCTGGTGCCCAGCGGCCTGCCGGAAGCTCGCGTGCAATAAGGGGAAGGACCCGCCGTGTCCACACACACACACACACACACACACACGGGGGGGGAGACAGAAGATTGACTTGGGTGAGTTCTCACACACAAACCTGCCATAAAGACTTTTTTTCCACAAAACTGCTGATCCAAGGACTGAAATGTAAAACACTAATTCACCGCGGTCACACCTCCCATCATGCTTTGCGCTCTCATGCCGCCGCCGTGTCTGAGGATGAATTGTACCAGCAGCCTTGCCTTCACACGAGATCATCTTCTCCAGTGCGGCCTCCTCCTCCTCAGCGCCCGGTTTCAATGCCATAGAAGTGCACATTTCAAAATAAAAAAAATCATAGCAATATTTTTAAACTTTCTGTGGAGCATTTCAAAGTGGCCGTCGATCATTGATACCGCTGGGAGACTTGTCTGCTGCTATTAAGAGAAATTTGTTGTGGAGAATATTTTAGTATTTATTTTATTATGGAGTTTCTGGATTTATTTTCTAGAAGTTGTAGTTGGGCCTGTATGGTTTGTGATAAGCTTCAAACATAGTTGTATGAATGTGTCGTAAGCTTTATTAGATGCATTCACACATCGACATTGCAAAACCATTCAAGTGCTTTGTTTTTGTGGCGAGCACACGATTGATCATCATGAGGGACTCTGGGATAATGTAAAATTTGTTGGGAGTTACTTAATCCGTTTTGGCAGCACGATTCAAACCGTAATGCAATATTTAAATGACGCCTGGCTGTGGCGGCCTAGAAGGCCTTTAATCCCGCCCAGTCAACGGGATATGAACGATTATACTACAATCCTGCAGCTGTTCAACACGCGAGCCTTACTGTTAATGCACATAAGCCTCGTCTTTGCCACTGAATGTAAGTCTTAAATACAGTAAACGCCTGATCAGTCACTGCCGTGTGCACAATGTTAACGCTTGGAGCAGCAGCTACTGCAGGAATAAGCCTGCTGTACGAGGCTATATTCCAAAATCAACATATGCATTTGAGTAATCGCGTCAGTTGTATTTTTTTCACATGTGGTTTTAAAGCGTTACTGGTGTAATTTGAGCTTAACTGATTCATGAGTTTCATTTTTGGACTTAACTCATGCTGCACTACGCCACTCTGTAATTTCATTATGAAGGGATGTTCACTTCTCATTTAAAGGTCATGATTCTATATTAAGCAAATAACTGCTGTCGTTGTATTGCAATAAGTAACTTGTTCTCTCCAGTATCAAATAAAAGCCATTTGAACGAGACTCATTTGTTACAACTTTATTAATGAACATGGCAACATTTCAAAAGTCATATAATGGATTCAATAAGCAAAAAAACATTTGGTAATACACACAATCTCTCATTTACCTCTACAGCATGCTGCTTGTTTTGTCTTCTACACCCCCACAAACTTAAAACACTGAGCATTTCAGAAAAACGGTAACCCTTTAACTACACAAGTGATTTAAAACTGACAACCCCCAAATTTTACTGCCAATGAAGACTGTGCATGTCATTTAAAGTATATCACTTCCTGTCCTCATCCAACTTTCTAAAGCACATTCCTACAGATTAGAAGTTATTGAAGGAATTCAAAGACGAGACAAGAAACCATCACATAACTCTAAATACACTATGGCATCATGGATTCTTTTTTTAAACATTTATCTAACCAACACTTTGCAATCAGAGCATTTTGATTTCATTGCGTTGCTGTTTTACCTTATGACTGGAGCTCTTGAACGGTCTACGTTCAGCAGTGAGGATTGACTCAAAGGATTCCTCCTTTTGGGGACAAACTACGACGGCGCCTGATTCTAAGACCTAAAGCTCACAGCGTCTCCAACACTGTGAGCGAGAAGTGAAGGTTGCTTTGCACTGCACATGAGGGCAGATTCACACCACGACAAGATTATGAAGATAGAAAAATCAGGTCATATTACACCGTCGGAGCACATTGCAAACTTCTTGCAACATGTTTGCATGACATGCAGTTCTCAAGTACCAGCGGCATATGGTCAAGACTTACCGGGATAGATTAAAAAAAGGCTATCAAATATTTAAGCACAGACGACAACATTTCCTCATGGAGCCTATGCAACAAGTTTTTCTGGGTGGTCACTCCTTTAAAAAGTCAAACGTCATGTAACAAAAGGTCATGTCATGCAGTTCATTCATGAAAGCAGATCTTAAAAAGACTGTTCATACTATGGAAATAGTGGACATTTTCTTTGACAGCTAAGCATAAATGCATTGAGGCATGTTAAAGACAAGAGGGTATGCATTTCTTTGCAAGTAAATTGGTCATGTCACTATAGACAAAAACACCAGTTTCCTTAGGGTTCGCTTACCTGTGTTATTGCAGCAGAACCTAAGGTGCAAGGTCATGGACGACACTGCAAAGATCAGATATATATATATATTGCACTGTTTGCCATCAGTGAACAATGCTTTAAAATTAACAGCCTTTCACAACAGTGCTCATTCAGAAAAAATGTCATCATCAATACTGGGCTAGTCAGAAGCACTTTGACTACTACCATTCCACATGCTCATGTAGGACATTGAAAGAATAGCAGAAGAAGCCTAAGCATGCTACACTGGAGTTATGCAGTTGGGCTTTTCTAAGCATTACGTTGCAATAAATGGTTTTCTTCTAAACAGAACAGTCAACCGAGACAATGGCACTTCGCAGATACGGTATTTCAGAAAACGCAAAACAACCAAATGGGCAGCCTTAAAAACAGTTCCTACCGACAGTGAAACAGAATGCTGACATTCAAACCCTCAGATCAGAAATCCCAACCGACACTAAAATGCTACCAACAAATAGTCTAACAACCTACAAGTATCGATATACTGACGTCTCAAACATGTGGTACAAGAATCCAAAGTACTATCCCTCTCCTCGGAACATTTCATACTTACCCAGAGACAAGGGGGAAATGGTCATGTGAGACAAAAATACTACATCTTTTGCAGATTATAAAACATAAAAAAGGCGAATATCTCATGTCACATGTCAGTTTTGTACTTACAGTATTAGGAGGCCTCAACTGAAGGAAGAGGACCGCTTAGCCACCCCCGACCCTACAACATCTATGTTCTTATATTGGATAAACACTAACAGAGTGGGGACAGCAAAAACGATTTTTGCAATGTTTTTATATTAAAAAAACATTCTTTTAAAAAAACAGAAATTCATACATGAGAGTTAGTTTGCACTTTGGAAAGAGCAAGACAAACGTTTCAATGCATTTGGGATTACAATGGCAATTTACCTGACTGTCCTGGAAAAAGAACAGCACAAAAAAATATATATATGTATAACACTAAAAAATAGGCAACATTTCTTGCAACCACGTTTTCTGCAGAACAGGTTAGAAAAAATACGTGCTTACCGCTTTTCTAAACTTGCCTGTGGAGGAGGAAGTGTCTATATGAAGGCAATATACAGTGCATACTACCTCAACAATGTCAGCAAACCAGACAATTAAAAAGGAGCAACCCAGCAACGCAGTTAATGCATGAATTACGTTCCATGTATATATATATATACACACACACACACACACACACCTGGCAACATTCTAAATGAAAAAACATCCGCCTACTACTGAAGTCAGAGAGCAAGGTCAGGAAACAAGTGTAAATAAATGTCTATCAACAAGGACGGTTGTCTGAATCGCTCAGTCATTGCACGCACAAAACCTAACAAGCACGCAAAAAAATCTAACAGTCTTAGACAGTTGGAGAGAGACAGGACAGCACAACTTTGAGTTAACCATTTTAGAGAACTAAACCCACACATGGCCTGCAGGTTTTGGTTTTTATACTTTCCCCCCTCCCCCCTAAAACAAAAACACAGAAATTCCTCTAAACCATTTTATACCACCCCAACTTACCAACACAGGAGGTTTCAGTTTGTTTTATTGCAAAAACACAACAGGCAATAGCATTTTAAAACTGAGATGATTTACATGGTAATGTCTACAGTTTAATAAACATGAGTTCTAGCCACATTTAATGTAGATACAGGGCTGGAATGACCATATGTATAATTACCTCACTAAAAACAAAGCATTTACAAGAAAAAGGGAAAACAAAAAAAGGAGGACGAGTTCGCCGGGTAATCTGCCATCTATGTGAAACACTTTCAAACCAAGGAAATTTAAGATCTTCATCAAGGCGTCTGCATCCAAACATTTAACAAAGGATTTTGTTTCGACAATGTAGCATTTACTTTATGTCCACTTCACATTACTGGCCCTGTGCAGAAGAAATACATAGAAGATACATTGCATGTTAACAGCAGAAACAGTAGACTCAGCTTCCCAAAATAAAAAAAAGCTAAAAACCTGTTTAGGGAGGAAATCGTTTTGGTTAAGTGTGTGCGTGCGTGCAAAGTTGCTGCAGTCACTGGAGCCCTGTAAACCCTGACGAAGGAACGCGGTTACGGCAGCAAAGAATTGAGTATGCAGTGGATGTGGCGGGCGGATTCTTATCGGGGGTGTACCTGAGGGGCTTGTGGTGCTGCACCCATCGCCTGAGGGTTGGCCGTGCCGTAGTACGCTGCCTGCTGGCGATAGTACTCCGCCCAGGCGGCGCTGTAGTCCGGCTGGCCGCCAGGCTGAGTGGCAGCCGCCGCCGCCGCCGCTGTGGCCTGAGGCGCCGCTTGACCTAAAATGGGTGAGATGGGGATGCAAATGGTTGGAACCGCAAATTTCTCAAAAGTGATTGTTGACGCATCCTGATCGAAGCGTTACTAAGAACTAAAACCGACGAGTACAGCGAGGAGTGTTCTGAGACGGCAGATTTATAAGAAGGGGAACGAACCCACTACCACTTTCTTTGGGTGGCGGGACAGAAACCTTCTGCCTTTCTGTGGGGCGGCTGAGGGAGCAGCCACTCTACTGCAGAGGGCTGCTGGAGGAGCACAGCCACCCGTCAACATCAAGTACAGTCATCTCACAGCCAGAGGGCAAGTCTGACTCGACTATCTTGTTTATTTACTTTGGAACATTTCCATTTGTTTGGTAATTAAAGTTAAATAATTAAGACCAGGATTACACTTGATGCCTAAACAGTTTGCGCACTCACACACACACACCTGTGTTATAAAGTAATTAAGTGTGATCATCAGCTAACAGGAGTTCCTACCTTGTTTCTTATAATACTCCTCCCAGGCTTTTGTGTAGTCCTGAGGTTGTTGGCTCTGTTGACCTGCAAAGAGCAGAGAAACGTGTGTCAATACATCCAAATGAAAGATCTGAAATCTTACATGGTTTCCTATGTGGTTTTAATTGATGATCAACAACTCAAGCAATGTAAATCTACACTCAGTTCAGTAGCAGTTACATTCGTGGCACATGGAAAAGCTCTGCCACCAGGGCTCATAAAGCCCTGATGTATTCTAGGAAATAAGCTACTCTTAAGCTCATAAAAAGGTGGTTCTGTGTCGACAGCTCAGCCCTGTAGAAAGGCAGAATGTTGAAGTCTAAACAGCACAGGCATTAATGTCAAAGTGGCAGCACACAGGCCAGCAATAGTGTTAACTGCCCAGACCTGGAAAAAGAAGAGACTTGACTAAACGCCCTGTCGCTGTTTAGACTGACTTGTGTTAAGGTGTACACTGAAACTAGGTTCGTATACCCGTTTTCTTGTAATATTCCTCCCAGGCCTTGGAGTAATCTGCCTGTCCACTCTGACCTGCAGCCTGTTGGTCACCTGTTAAAAAAAACGGTAACTTGTAATTAGTTTATTATTATCAGAAGTTTGTCCTCCACCTGCCTGGGTCGGGTCTTTCAGATTAAAGATGGCGGAGGACAACTATCCTGCCCCTAGGGTAACAAAAAGGAAAAAAGGTTGTTTTGTTTAAATGATGCTCTGCGAAAGGTGGAGCCGGGCCAACAAGTTTCCTGCGAGTTACACCAGGAAGACGTGCTCACAGAGCACTACCAAAGTAAAGCTGGAAGCCTACACTGCTCTACCCTGCTCTCAACCGTTCTTGCTTCTCCATCTGCTTGCACAGACACCGCTATTCGAGAAACACGTCAGTCACCTTGGCCGTTGGTCTGAGTCGTGCCAGGAGCTCCACTTGTCGGGGTCATGGGAGCCTGCGGCTGCTGGCTGTACTGAGCGTAGTAGGCTGCCCACGCTGCTGCGTTGGCATCGGCTGCTGCTTTATCTTCACAAGGCAACGGTTTTGTTACAAAACAAAGGCTAAGATAAAGGCTAGTAACATACAGTTCTGGCTTGTCAT